TTCTCTCGACGCCTTGTCAGGGGCTAAGTTTTTTTCAACGCTAGATCTCTCTTCGGGCTTCTGGCAGCTTCCCCTTGACGAGCCCTCGCGGGAAAAGACAGCGTTCCGTACGCCGCAGGGGTTGTTCCAATTTAACTGTCTGCCGATGGGGTTGAATGCAGCCCCTGCCACCTTTCAGAGATTGATGGAGTTGGTATTGACGGGGTTGCAGTGGGAGACATGTCTCATTTATTTAGATGATATTATTGTCTTCAGCCGCACATTTGATGAGCATTTATTGCGGTTGGAGGCCGTTTTTGCCAGAATGCGTTCTGCTAATTTGAAATTCAAGCCTAAGAAATGTCATCTACTGCAACGTTCCGTTCGATACTTGGGACATATTGTTAGTGCGGACGGGGTGGCCACGGATCCAGAGAAAACTGCGTGTGTCCGGGATTGGGCAACCCCCGCCACGGTGGGTGATGTGCGTCGGTTTTTGGGGTTCGCCTCATATTACCGGAGGTTTGTTCCGAATTTCGCTACTATCGCCAGGCCTTTGCATCTCCTTACTGGGAAGGGGCACAAATTTGTGTGGGGACCGCCGGAGGAGGCGGCGTTTCGGAGCCTGCGCGACCTACTGGCTACTGCGCCGACGTTGGATTATCCGGATTTTGAACATCCCTTCATTCTGGATACTGATGCGAGTGACACCGGGATTGGGGCGGTGTTGTCCCAGTCAAAAGGTGGTGTTGAGCGTGTGGTGGCGTACGGGAGTCGGGTTTTGTCTCCCGCGGAAACTCGTTACTGCGTCACTCGCAGGGAACTTTTGGCTATTGTGTATTTTCTCCGCCAATTTCGACCGTATCTGTACGGTCGGTCGTTTATTGTCCGAACGGACCATGCGGCCTTGCAGTACGCTCTTAAGATGGACCAGCCATCCGGACAATTGGCGAGATGGCTGGACACGTTGCAAGAATTCTCCTTCCAAATTCACCATCGGAAGGGTGTGCGTCACGCTAACGCGGACGCACTGTCCAGGTTGCCGCAACAATCCCCTTGTGCGTGTGCGTCGGGGACGCATAGGTGTGGACCGGCTCAGCCCCCCCCTCAACCTGTCGCGCGGGCAGTGGATGTTCTCGAACCTCCGCTTACACCGGGACCGGTTGAAGGGGGACCGGCTGACGGGATTTTGCGTCTTCCAAGGTCTGTGTGGATTCGGGAGCAAATGTTGGACGATTCTTTGGTGTCGTTACGGAAACGAACGGAGAAGGCGGGTAAGGAAGTCGGTGCGGGTGGTAATTCGGAAACTGCTCTCCGAGATGGGTTACTGATGTGGAGGGAAGGGATACAGGAACACTGGCGTCTCGTTGTGCCTGCGTCATTGCGCTATGAGTTGATTCGATCTTTGCACTGTGACACACTTTTACACCTGGGGGTGCAGAAAACCCTATTGACGCTGCAACGAGACTATTATTGGCACGGCATGACGACGGATGTCGTCGGTCACGTTCGCGCGTGTCCCGATTGTGCCCGCCGTAAGCCGCCTAAACATCCATATGTTCCGCCGATACAATCGATTAAAGTATCTCGGGTTAATGAGTTGGTGGCGTTAGATATTTTGGGACCCTTTCCGCCATCAGCTAAAGGGAATAAGTATTTACTGGTGGGGGTGGAGTACCTCTCTCGCTGGCCGATGGCCTGGCCCTTGCCTGACCAGTCAGCGGCGTCTATCACGGACGCCTTTCTATTTGGGTATGTAATGGACAAAGGGGCTCCGGAGAGGCTCCTTACGGATCAGGGACGTAACTTTTCGTCTAAATTGTTGGGGGAGGTGTGTGCGGCTCTTGGAACTAAAAAGATACGGACGTCCCCCTACCACCCGCAAACGGATGGTATGGTGGAACGGTTGAATCGGACTCTGTCCGCCATGCTGTGCCATACAGTCGGGGAAAACCAATCTGATTGGGATTTGCATATCCCTGGGGTGCTTTCGGCGTATCGCATGACGCCGCACGCGGCTACTGGATACTCGCCGTTTTTCCTTATGTACGGCCGTGAGAACGTGCCGCCGATTCATGACCAGTTGGGAACCGGTGCGAGGGGGCCTGTTAAGCCTCTTCCTGAGTATATTAAGGACAACGTTCGGCGTGTCGCTGAGGCGAGGGAAAATGCCCGCATGGCTACTGCCAAGGCTCAGGCCAGGAATGAGCGGTGTGCCCGACGTTCAAAGGGGGAGTGTCCCTGGAAAAAGGGGGACCTGGCCTGGCTTCATTGCCCACAGGTGCGGCCAGGTACATCTCCTAAATTACATCGACCTTGGCAAGGGTCCGGTCCGCCTCATTGAGGTTCCCAACCCACAGTCGGCGCGTGTTCAGGTTGGTGCGCGGCGTTGGTTCGTGCACACGTCCCGGTTGAAGCCATACATTGCCCCACGGCCGGATGCGTCATCTCCCCAAGTTGCCTTGCCGGGGTCTGTTGCTGCCGACTCGCCCTTGCCTGTGTCTGCTGACCTTGCGAGAGCGCCTGCCATACCCTTCACAGACAAGCCGGCCGTGACAGCGCAGGGAGGAGGGCCTTCCGCTTGTGGGACGCCGACCGGAGCCGCAGAACCCACGGGACCTGCAGCTCTTCCTATCCCTCCGCGGACGCGAGTACGGGATGTTTCTGGACGCGAGCGGGACAGTGGCGGGCCTCCAATGGCGACGGAAGAACTTGCGCCCGTCGCCCCTAAAACCCTTCCACGTTCCCGCTCGGCGGGTGGGCCGCCGACCGTCCGGGACGGCCCGGCTACCCGTACTCGCTCGAAATCCCTCACGTTTCGTTAGATTGTGTTGTGTTGTGTTATTGTTATATTGTTCTTCAATGCTTCGTGTCTTTTTGCGTGTTGGCCCTTTACACCCGCATTGCTTTTCAGGTTGCAATTCAGCCGAGGTCGGCTGGATTTTCTTTAGGGGGGAGGGTGATGTAATGCGGTTGTAAACGGCCCTTCTGAGGTGCCGTCAGCGGGGGGAGGAGTTAGGTCACGTGGGGGGAGAGGGGTTGAGTATAGAAGGAGGGGAACCGGAAGAGCAGGGGGAGTGACGGGGAACCAGGAACAGAGGAAGGCCACGAAGGGCGAAGCGGGGTGTGGCGAGATCGCCACGAGCACGGGGGGAGCGAGGATCGGCACCGTTGGCCAGCGGTGACCGACCCGAAGCAGCGAGGAGGCTGCAGTCAGCAGCGGGGCTGCACAGAGAGAGTGGGCAGCGGGTCTGCATACAGTGACAGCCAGAGGGTCTGCACATAGGGGTAGCAGCAAGTCTGCAGGGAGGAGGTTACAGTAGATGAAGCAGAGAGTCAGAGGGGTGAGGAAGCTATAATAGCAGTGAATAGCCGGGGGCTACAAATACAGGAGTTATAACGGAGTGCCGTGTGGGTAAAGACGTGAACCTGAATAAAGACACGAAGACAGAAAGAAGTGTTCGAGTCCTTTTATTACATGTGTGTGTCTCTCCTTTTACCGGTTAGCAGTTAGTCCGCTAACCATTATAGTGCAACGGTTAGCGCGCTGCGCTATTAACCCGGCGACCCGAGTTCGATTCCCGCTCATGGCCAACACCAGTGACGATTATCTGAATCACTTCTGGGCCTCCCCTACGTAGACTCAGCCTCAAATGAGTACCTGGTGCCATGCGTCAACATCGCCACTGGGGAGAAAAAGGCGGCCGGACGTGGTGCTGGCCACCCACCCCGTGGCCTTCACAGGTGCTTGCGAACAGCACTTGCCCCAACAGTCTGTTAAGGCTATACGGGGGATCGTTGTCTTTGTGCATCTCTCTCTGCACACTCATAGGTGTCGTGGGTTTGAGCCTTCACACCTCAAAAGCAACTTCCGCAGGCATTTCAAAGGAACGTTGTTTACCTCCATCTCTTCCACCCTCACTCGCGCTACCTACAAACGTACTATATCAGGCGATCCTGTCCCTCGCCGTCTGTGGAACAGTTGGATCTGATGGAAACTATAAATACCCGCTATTGATTTTGAGGACGGTGTGGCAGCTGCACTGTTGCTGGACGCCCCCGCACCCCCCCCCAGCAAGCGTTGCATTTGCACCTGTGTGTGTGTGTGTCGCTGTGCGGTTGGCACACACGCGCACGCATCTTAGCGGAACGGAGGTTGTGCCGGGAACACTCGAGGCTGGTTGGTTTTTGCCGTGTTTTGGAACACGCGAGCGCGTTTGTGGGCAGTGCGTTTCTCCACACCGCCGTGTTGCATTGACACACGGGGCCTCATCATCGTTTATTTGTATATTGCGTTTAAGCATAAAAATTCTAATTATTTATATATATACACATACACTGGAGGAATCTGGTGAGCTATGAAGCTCTTCTTTTCTAATATGTCCAATTAAATTAGCAGGCAACAGTAGCCATGCTTTCTTTGGCGATAGTCTGTAACTGTAATACGCCTCGGAAATGTTGTACTCCGTATTCACGTCCGTTCAGCTTCTAACCTGCGTGCGTGCCAATTACGGCGGCTGAAATCTACGAAGCTAATTGGATCGGAGTCGAATTAATTTTACCGTACAAGTTCACGGACAACACATGTGTAACACATATGTAACACATTATTTGGTAACAACAACAACAACAACACAAAAAAAACTCAACACATTCATCAATAACACTGCGACCCTAGGAGGAGGAGGAAAATATATCGAAGGTGACGTTTCAGGCATGGCCCTTCTTCAGCGGACAATTGCCCAAAAACGCCACCCATTTCATACTTCAACCTTTAAGGCAATGGTCTGGGATGAACGCGTCGAGTTTTTAGACAAGATACACGTAGATGTGCGCATTTAGATGCGCGTTCAAAAATATCTGGTTTCCCGGAGAAGGACGGTGCGGAAAGCAGCCTCTACTTTGGCGTTTCTGAGCAAGCGCCGGTCTATTTGTTGAACTCCGGGGTCGAATGGCAATTGTGTGACGCCGATGCCATTGGGTTGTCTTGCTCTGTCCCTTCCCCTCTTGTCGAAGCACAGATGTCGCGCTCGTCCAGCAGCCCGGGCCTCTCGGGATCCCTCTCCAACGGTCAGATCAAAATGACCAGCTGGCTCCTGGACACGGATGAGATGGACCACTGTGCAAGAGGTAGCCGAAAAGCGATTTTAAAATCTCAGGACGTGGTGGATGTGCCGTGTGCGTGCGTGTGTGCGTGCGTGGGTGCGTGTGTGCGTGCGTGTGTGCATCCGCCAAACGGCTAAAACGCAAGCGAGTTGGTACAGCGGCGGGGAGCACAGGTGGTGCATCTACCAGTCATCTCGGTCGGTCAACCCATGACACCTGGCTCTATCCCGTGACCTGCTTTCAGCGAGCCGTTGACACTTCACATGGCCTCAAAGTGCACCTAAGACTGGCACAACCGCTGTGTTGACATCGGCGCAACATTGTGGCAAACGACGGTCAACTCAGTCGGTTAACCGATAATACCACGGTCTGTCTTGTGACGTCCTGCCAACAAGTCATCAACACTTCACGTGGCCCCGAAGTGCACCTCAAATACAACAAGCGCTGTGATAACACAGTGGCAGATGGTGGCTGCTGTTATTGTATGGGGAGCGGTGGCATATTTGTTATCACACTACCCTACGAACCTGGTTACCCGAGTCCGATGCACGGCCACGGCCAACACCAGTGGCAAATATCTGAACCGGTCTTGGGCTTCCCCTAGGTTGACTCAGGAAAGATACATGTGTATGTTGAACTTCTTCACACCGTACGTAGCCAACTGTGCTAATCGGAGGTGCGGCGTAAGGACAACAAACTAAACACAAAAAGCAATTGTAAAGAAATTCGTTTTCAACCTCGATTTTAGAAGTGCATAGCTTCCAGTTATTTCCTAACATCGGAAGGAAGAGCGTTCCAGACGGCCGCAGAGGCGCATCTGAAAGGGTGCGATGCCATCACCCCGTCTTTGTTCGATGGCCAGCCATAAACCGCTGCTGCGAGGATGACCAGATGTGCGAGGCAGATAGAAAATGTATCTTTTCGACTTTAGTCAGGGCGTCTGCACACCGTGCGAATGATACGAGTCAGCCATAACACGGAGACCCACGACCTCAACGTGTGCAGTCAAGAGCCGCTGCTCCTGAGAGCGACGAACGCGGCAGTAAACGGTAGCAGAGAGACAAGGAGGTGACAGATCGAACAGCCGTGGATAGGAGCAGTCGCGAAGAGAAGAAGAAGAAGAAGGAAGATTGACGATGAGGGAATGATTTTAGCACATTGTTGGGTAGGGAATCATAAATCAAGTAGAGATGCTGCTTTCTATACGGGTTGGATAGAGAGCAGGACATTCATCCCAAATGCGACAGCGGTATTCCAATGTTGACCCGTGGCGTTTGGCTTATTTAGCAGTAGAAAACGGTTGTGGAGTAAAGAGCGACTTGGCACTGTCGAAACAAGCCAGGTTTAAAAAAAATATATTTACTCTTACACAGATTGGTTATGCAATGACCTAACGATGAGTAAGATTTAATTCGCTTCAACAAGTACGTTTTACGGATTCAGTTTGCACAATACATCGAGTGATATTAGGAACCACGGTATGATCTACTGGACATCTGTGAAAAGGAGCTTTTTAGCTCAACGGATTCCTCCAGAATAAATAATTATGCTGATTGTGATCTCTTCTACGAGACCTTGGCATTGACCTGAGCCACCCAGCCGCACAGATGCGAGCGTCATCTCCTGTCGTCTGCGCGTAGGCCTCAACGACTGCCAGGCGAATCTCGCTCAGCTGAGCGGCATCTTGAAGAGCCTGGAGATCCTGCAACGGACTCAGTCGGCGCCTTCGTTCTCCGACATGCAGGTGAGAGCTCGCGCGCCTCTCTGCTCAGCACAGCCGGTCGGCCGTTGACGCGCACGTCACGGACACTCTGGTCTCCGATAACACTCTGTTGTTTTCAGAACGCAAATGGGATATAAATCGATTAATGTATCGGGGGGAGACATGTTTTTATAACGCGAATTGGATATGACGCGGTTTGAGTGAACGGAATTCTGTCGCGCGAGTGGGAATAATCGGTCATACGGCTTCCTCGGCGTAGCGGGATGCTGCTGGATGCTTCTAGATGCTGCCCACTCACCTCAGTATTTGTTCGCCCTGCGTACGCATCTCACGTGTTATTGCGGACCATACTTTACCCTACATTATATATAATTTATTGTAACGCGAATTTTCCACAATGCGGTGTCCTTCAGGAACGCAACTTACTGCCGCGTTATAGGAGAGCATGACTGTGTTCTGTGGCGTGACCATCCAAGAACGCTTTGCATGAGTGGAGCCATCGGCCCGGCGGATTGATCCGTTGGGCGGTGGTGGTGTTGTCGTTGGTGCACAGCACAACAATCCTGGGCCACCTGGGGGACTGCTTGTGTCGAACCAACGCTGCTGAAATGATGAACTGGCAGCTGATGGGATGTGTAAAAAGGAGAAATGTTGTATGCTGATTTATGTTATAAGAATAGGTTTTTTACCCTTTCTGGCAATAAAACGTGTTAAGATGTTAAAACACCAAACTGTTTTATTGCCAGAAAGGATTAAACCTATTCTTATATTTCGATACCGATTTATGTTGTTCGTTTATGTTCTCAATGATGCTCATGATTATTTTGGATTTGTTTCCAGGTCGTGTACAAATGGTATCGGAACATGTGCTGTGCTACCTCGTGGTCAACTCGGTTGCGAATAAGTGTTTGTGACCGTGTGTGAAGATTAGCGCTTGGCAGTTGTGGTGCAGTTGGGCACGGTGCTGGCCACACCCACCCCCTCGTCGTGCGCCAGGCCGGCCTTCAATTCTTTTAGCAGCTCAGGAAGTTATGCCACGTGCCTTTGTTACGTGGCAACTGCTACAAACCCCTACCACAGAGCTTGCCAATATCAATGCACAGAACTCTTTTAGGCAAGATTGGCCACGTATTTTTGAAACAGCCTCCTAATAAAAGGTATAAGAATAATGATGTTATACTGCTTACCAGCGTGTGTAACACGCTTGTAGTAGAACCTGAAGCATGTGGCGTGAGCTAGTGATTGTGTGTGCCCTTGCGTGTTTACATTTCTTTGTACATCGGGATCTCTAAACTAAACTGTTTTGTTTTTTACCAGGTAAGGCCCACTGAACTATATAGCTATTTTTCAGAAGCAACCTGTCCATCACAAATTATAGCTCAACGAAGTGGCTTAACATGTAGAAATGTATAGCAGCCAAATACTCTAAACGCACTTTGATTTTAAATGTGGAGAAAAAGCCACGTGACCATGGGAAGAACATGCAAACTAAAAATATACAGTCATCATCAGCGTCGGGATCGAACCCACGACCTCCTGTATAACAGGCAGGGCAGTTGACAGCTCGCCACCATTGCGCCCTCATCGCTGATCTCATAACTGTGTGGAGGCTGCCTCAATGGACTGGCTTGCCAGCTTATTTTTAATCCTCGCTGATAACAACAAAATAAGAGAGGGCGATCAGAGAGTTCGGCACGGAGATCACGGGACACAGAGAACACTCGGGGAGGAATACACGAGGCTGATTTTACAAGATAAGAGATTTGAGCCACGGGCCTGAGCGATGAGGGATACAGAGCATTCAGCAGAGAACCCATGGGGGAAGGTGATTGATTGGGGAGGGATAATGGAAGGGAAGGAGACTATATTAGTTGATATTTCTGCATCGAGCGGTGAGTAGAATGACCTTGGTGTTCGATGGGGGAGGCTGGGGTGTGAAGCCTGCCTAGACGGGTGCGAACCGAGGGCAGCGCATGTAGCGTTCAGCTGTCGAGGGTCGTGGTGCAAATAGGTGTGAGGGAGGGTGCCCTGAGGTTTAGCGAGGTCAGAGGCACCTTACGTGGAGCATGTGGTGTTGTATTTCAAACTGCACCCCTAATGAGTACACGCCAAAAATCATAATGAGTTTGAATCCCAGTTGAGCTAGCAACATGTGAACAGAATAAGACGTTAAAAATATATATATATTTATCAGGCCCTGCTGAGACTCGTGTCACTTTGGGGATTCAACGGGGGAGTGGCAAATTGCAGTGGCTCTTCTGACACCCCTCAAGGGCAAGGCCAGTGCTCTAGTGAGTGGGGTGCTGGGGTGGGCCCAGTGTTCTAGTGAGTAGGGTGCTGGGGTGGGCCCAGTGCTCTAGTGAGTGGGGTGCTGGGGTGGGCCCAGTGCTCTAGTGAGTGGGGTGCTGGGGTGGGCCCAGTGCTCTCGTGAGTTGGGTGCTGGGGTGGGCCCAGTGCTCTCGTGAGTTGGGTGCTGGGGTGGGCTCAGTGCTCTAGTGAGTGGGGTGCTGGGGTGGGCCCAGTGTTCTAGTGAGTAGGGTGCTGGGGTGGGCCCAGTGCTCTAGTGAGTGGGGTGCTGGGGTGGGCTCAGTGCTCTAGTGAGTGGGGTGCTGGGGTGGGCTCAGTGCTCTAGTGAGTGGGGTGCTGGGGTGGGCCCAGTGCTCTAGTGAGTGGGGTGCTGGGGTGGGCCCAGTGCTCTAGTGAGTAGGGTGCTGGGGTGGGTCCAGTGCTCTAGTGAGTGGGGTGCTGGGGTGGGCCCAGTGCTCTAGTGAGTGGGGTGCTGGGGTGGGCCCAGTGCTCTAGTGAGTGGGGTGCTGGGGTGGGCCCAGTGTTCTAGTGAGTAGGGTGCTGGGGTGGGCCCAGTGCTCTAGTGAGTGGGGTGCTGGGGTGGGTCCAGTGCTCTAGTGAGTAGGGTGCTGGGGTGGGCCCAGTGTTCTAGTGAGTGGGGTGCTGGGGTGGGCCCAGTGCTCTAGTGAGTGGGGTGCTGGGGTGGGCCCAGTGCTCTAGTGAGTAGGGTGCTGGGGTGGGCCCAGTGCTCTAGTGAGTGGGGTGCTGGGGTGGGCCCAGTGCTCTAGTTAGTTGGGTGCTGGGGTGGGCCCAGTGCTCTAGTGAGTGGGGTGCTGGGGTGGGCCCAGTGCTCTAGTGAGTGGGGTGCTGGGGTGGGCCCAGTGTTCTAGTGAGTGGGGTGCTGGGGTGGGCCCAGTGCTCTAGTGAGTAGGGTGCTGGGGTGGGCCCAGTGCTCTAGTGAGTAGGGTGCTGGGGTGGGCCCAGTGCTCTAGTGAGTTGGGTGCTGGGGTGGGCCCAGTGCTCTAGTGAGTGGGGTGCTGGGGTGGGCCCAGTGTTCTAGTGAGTAGGGTGCTGGGGTGGGCCCAGTGCTCTAGTGAGTGGGGTGGCCCCAGTGCTCTAGTGAGTAGGGTGCTGGGGTGGGCCCAGTGCTCTAGTGAGTGGGGTGCTGGGGTGGGCCCAGTGTTCTAGTGAGTGGGGTGCTGGGGTGGGCCCAGTGCTCTAGTGAGTGGGGTGCTGGGGTGGGCCCAGTGCTCTAGTGAGTAGGGTGCTGGGGTGGGCCCAGTGCTCTAGTGAGTGGGGTGCTGGGGTGGGCCCAGTGTTCTAGTGAGTAGGGTGCTGGGGTGGGCCCAGTGCTCTAGTGAGTAGGGTGCTGGGGTGGGCCTAGTGTTCTAGTGAGTAGGGTGCTGGGGTGGGCCCAGTGCTCTAGTGAGTAGGGTGCTGGGGTGGGCCCATTGCTCTAGTGAGTAGGGTGCTGGGGTGGGCCCAGTGTTCTAGTGAGTGGGGTGCTGGGGTGGGCCTAGTGTTCTAGTGAGTAGGGTGCTGGGGTGGGTCCAGTGCTCTAGTGAGTAGGGTGCTGGGGTGGGCCCAGTGCTCTAGTGAGTAGGGTGCTGGGGTGGGCCCAGTGTTCTAGTGAGTGGGGTGCTGGGGTGGGCCCAGTGCTCTAGTGAGTGGGGTGCTGGGGTGGGCCCAGTGCTCTAGTGAGTAGGGTGCTGGGGTGGCCCCAGTGCTCTAGTGAGTAGGGTGCTGGGGTGGGCCCAGTGCTCTAGTGAGTGGGGTGCTGGGGTGGGCCCAGTGTTCTAGTGAGTAGGGTGCTGGGGTGGGCCCAGTGTTCTAGTGAGTAGGGTGCTGGGGTGGGCCCAGTGCTCTAGTGAGTGGGGTGGCCCCAGTGTTCTAGTGAGTAGGGTGCTGGGGTGGGCCCAGTGCTCTAGTGAGTGGGGTGCTGGGGTGGGCCCAGTGCTCTAGTGAGTTGGGTGCTGGGGTGGGCTCAGTGCTCTAGTGAGTGGGGTGCTGGGGTGGGCCCAGTGCTCTAGTGAGTGGGGTGCTGGGGTGGGCCACTTGGTGGCGAATGGCGGTTGTTGTTTTTGTTGTTGTGTGCATGCATGCACCCCCTTTCTCAAGGCAGGGCTGTCGTTTAGAATCACATCCGGTCTGAAAAGCAATCTAGATGTCAACGAAGGGCACCCGTATATTTTCATCACCTTTTATTGTTGCCCCCCCCTCTCCCCAAAGTCCAGAGGCCACACGCAGAGTGTCTGTCATCAAAATCACATTGCACGCTCGTATAGATTGGTGGGTGATGCCTCGTCGGGTGCGCCCAGACGCACGATAACGGCACAACCAAAATAAATGCGACGGGGTTTAAGGATTACGGTTGGAATTTTACGAACGCCCGGCAATAAAGCATGTGTTTAGATGTTCAAACACTAAATATACACCTTTTGCGAGGAATCAAGTCTGCATTAACCACACGTACTCTGTAGTGAACATGCAAACACAACATGCTATGATAATATATGCATTCTCTTTGAAACTGATTGGCCTACACCTTCTTTAGTGCCTGGTCTCACCAGTGTCAGACCAGAGAACGAGCAGTACAAAGACAATGCCACGATTAGGGTATTTATAGCGTGGGGTGAGCAGCTACAAAACGGGACCTCTTTTGCTAGTTTCACTTGAGCCAGCAACACTCAGATCGTTGGTTCAAATGGAAGATTTCCACACAAAATTAAGCCCGGTTCTTAAGCGTAGTTTAATTTATATTTGTGCTGCATCGGTGATTTATTGTTATGCTTACTTCATGGCTTTAAAGTTTTATTGGAGAATGACACATCGTGTACAAGGCTCCTCGGTTTATGAAAGGTGCCATTGAAGACATTAAGTTTGGATTGATTTGATGATTGTGCAAATAAAATATCTGATAGAAACAGATTTTTTTTTGCAAATTTAGATTGAGCTACCCATATGTGAAGCCATTTATATATCAGTGAGGATGCCCAATTTTAGTTGTAAGGTTGACCCATGGAAGATGTCTCTTGGGGAAAATCGTAGTTAATTCCCAGTGTTGCTTATTAATTACATTTGTGTTTATATTCCAAAATAGGGGGAGAAAAAAATGGGTGCAAAATGCCAAAATAAAATAAAGATATATTGACTATGGACAGTATATACACTAGAAATATCATTCTTGATTGGAAGCTTTCGTGACTGCAGTAATCCATACTCTGTGGTACTTTCGGCAAAGTCACGTAGGTAGAAAAATAAAATAAAACTAAAATTAATTTATCACGACGTTTGGATCGCAACACAAGCGGTCGTCCTCAGACGGAAAAAATAATCCAGCAGTGGAACTGCTGGATTATTTTTATAATCCATGCTCCAAGCACGTGTGCTGTTTCATTCAGACGCTGTCGCCTCGACAGACCTGGTCTTCACCTGAGGACGGCTGCTTGCGTTGTGGCCGAAACGTCGTGAGAATTATTTTATTATGTTTTATTTTTATTATTTTATTACTTCTCTTCTACGTGACTTTACCGAAAGAACCAAGAAGATGCTGGATTATTGTTTAATTAAAATTTTCTACCTACGTGGCTTTACCGAAAGAACCAAAGAGTATAGAAATATCATATAGGACAATCATATAATACATTTTTTTTTAACCCTTAACACTTTATGATTATAAGTGGGATCGAATTCAGCCAACCATCCTTAATTCATTTATGTTCTCACGTTTGTATTCTTTGGGTCTTTCGGTAAAGTCACGTAGAAAAATAAAAATTGTTCTACGTGTCCTTCGGTAAAGTCGTGTAGAAAAAATTTAAATGTTTGTTCTACGTGACTTTACCGAACGACCCAAAGAATAAAAACTCCTGCAGTCACGATAGCTTTAAGTCAAGATTTATGTTCCCAAGTGTAGTGAATTTAATGATCTCTACATGGCCACTGGTTATTGTGAAATAAATATTATAACCATTTTTTAAATATTAATTTCAAATTAAAATTGCTCGGATGGGTGCATTCAATTATCAAATGTATTTGGTTATTTCCGTCACTTGGTGTGAAGCATCCCTTTTACAGAGCCCGGAGTACTGTCCAGTTACGGTAATGTGGATTTCCGGACCGTCCAATTACTTAAGTAATCAATTACTCCTCCCAATGATTTATTCAAATCACTTGACGTGAGTGCCGCTGGACGGGAGGTTATGGGTGGAGCTTGGTGACATCATCGCGCATCAGCTGACTCGCGCTGGGCGTGGCTTGTAGAACATTTCTGCCTGTCAAGTGGCAGGCAGATCTCAGCAGTTGAAAGCACTTTCAGATTTGAATGTTTTAAACCATGTGAGCAATGAAGAGACGGCCAGGATACAATAGTCTAATTTACAAGCATGACCTGGTCACCAAAATCGAAGAAATAAAAACATGAATTAAATAAAGTACGCCAATGAAGTAAATAGAAATCAGAACAAAAAAACGCAAAGTGTCCGAGTAATGAGCCGCAAAAAGAAGTCGATTTAACCAACTAATTAATGTATTGTCCCCGCTCTCGTAAAGATATCTCGCAGTTGTTTGCCGAGAGGTATATGGAAGTGACTTCAGGAGGAGCTCAAAGGGTGATCTGGCAGGACCATGTGATGTTTTACTGACTGAATTGATGTGCGGGTATTGAAGTCTTTGATTGGTGTTGATTGGCGTGGCTTTGCTGTCCACTCCGTGGGCCGAGTCTTCTGAGCGTGAGCTGGGAAGTGTTATCGCTGAGCACGCGCATTGATCGGTTTGTTTTTGTATGGACTTTTGTAATCAAACAAGATCAATACGTTCTTTCCTGCAAAGTTACGTTTTGTATGTTAACAAACAACATTTTCTGAACTTAAACATGATTTCTACCAATATTAGTGGTTTTTGGCATAGAGATCCACAGAAAATGTATATATTTTATCTGCGATTTTAAATTATCCGTGGCCATTCTCCCCGTCATTAGCGCAGATAATCAAGTCTTCTGTACATGTATTCACCTTGTGTCTTGTTAATGTAATTGTGAAATCCAAACAACAACAAAGACAAAGATCCCCCGTATAGCCTTAACAGACTGCAGGGGCAAGTGCTGTTAGCGAGCACCTATGAAGGCCGCAACGGCACACGAGGGGGTGGGTGGTCAGCACCACGCCCGACCGCCTTTGTCTCCCCAGTGGCGATGTACTAATTTCAGGCTGAGTCGACCTAGGGGAGGCCCAGGACCGGTTCAGATAATCGTCACTGGTGTTGGCCGTGAGCGGGAATCTAACCCGGGTCGCCAGGTGTATAGCGCCGCGCGCTAACCGCTGCACCACCGCTCCCCCATATATATATACGCACACACGAACCAGGAGCAAAACAATGAAAATTAAATGTCTGAAAAAATGTCATTCTAGAATTGAAGCTTTCGTGACTGCAAGGAATCATATTCTTAGGTGTTTTCGGTAAAGTCACGTAGGTAAAACATCAAAATTAATAAAAATAATAAAATAAAATAAAGATCACGACGATGTGTTGCCTCCGAAACGTCGTGATCTTTATTTTATTTTATTATTTTTATTAATTTTGATGTTTTACCTACGTGACTTTACCGAAAACACCTAAGAATATAAAAAATGTCATGTTGATGTTGAAGAGTTGTCAAATTCAACACGGAACTTTAAAGTGCTGTGCAAGCCCTACACCGAAGTGGCTGTCCTTTTGATGACCAAAAAACGAATCTCTGCTTTCAGGGTGCCTGTCTTGAAAACGGAAAGAAAGAAAAGCGGAGCGCTCGCCGCTGGAGAACCAAAAGCGTGAGCAAGGATTCTAAAATGCATTTGCAGGTAAATATATTCACTGTAGCGTGGCAGGGTGGCGCACCTGGTAACACCCGTGGCTCACAGCAAGAAGGGGTCCCTGGGTTCGATTCCCAATGCAGCGTGCTTTGCTGCGTGGAGTTTGTGTGTTCTCTCCCCCTGTTCTGCATCGATTTCCTCTGGGTTCTCTGGCTTCCTCTCATAGGTAAAACAAACATTTTGACACCCTGCGAATTGGAATTGAGATGCTATCTTTTAAAAGGGCACCCCCATAGACATGAGATCCTAGGTCAAGGTGGTTTCCTGCTCAAATGAGCATTGAGGCAGTGCTCAACTCCCGTTTACAGCCCTGAGATAGTGATGTAAATTCCACATTCCTATGGCAGGGGCAAGTCTAATAGGACACCCACTAGTAACTTCTCCCAACAAAGTGGTTCCATATTTTTATGACCCCGGAGAGATGATGGGCTGAGTCGACACCCAACTAGGATTTGAAATCGCAACTTCCGATTGCGAATCGTTTGCTCGCTCGCTACAGCTGAGCCACATGGCGGGATAGCCACCAAGACGAGTTAACATCCGGGAGTTGGCACTCGTTGGATGGATCAACTCCCGATAGAAGTGTTACGAGCTAAAATCTTTGCCCAATCCCAACGAGCGGGAAGGCAACAGCGGTAGTTCACCGACTACTGATGACAGGTTTAAAACTAAACTATTAAACTAAATTATTTTTATTTGACCAGGTAAAGTCCACTGAAATGTATAGCTATTTTCAGACGTGACCTGGCCACAAATGATAGCTCAACGAAGTGGTTTATCACGTGGAAATGTATAGCAGTCAAATACTCTAAATGCATGTTGATTCTAAATGTGGAGGACCTGGAGAAAAACCCACGTGACCACGGGGAGAATATGCAAACTCCAAATATACATGCGTCAAGTATGGGGATCGAACTCATGACCTGAATACCAGGCGAGGTAGTTAACATCTCGTCACCGTGGCTGACTACTGTATGAGTCTCCAACGCTGGGCCAAGTTCTGCCGATGGAGATGAGCCGAGCTGCATTGCTTGAGTGAAGACAATTGTACCTTTGCTTGGAGTGAGCTCAATTAACTGAGTCGTAAAGTGCATCATCTCCCGGAAGCCCCTTTTAAATCTATTTTGAAAACTCATTTAAATTTCTATTTAAAGCTTTCGTGACTGCAGGGATTCATCTTCTTGGTTCTTTCGGTAAAGTCATGTAAAAGGGAAATAATAAAATAATAAAAATAAAACAATAAAATAATTCTCACGACGTTTCGGCCACAACGCAAGCAGCCGTCCTCAGGTGAACAACAGGTCTGTCGGAAAGACAGTGTCTTTCCGAAACGTCGCGAGAATTGTATTTAATGATGTTTTATTTGTAATATTTTATTATTTCCCTTCTACGTGACTTTACCGAAAGAACCAAGAAGAAAACTCATTTCTTTAGAACTGCTTGTTAAGTTCCGTTTGTTGTCCCCCCCCCCCCGCACGTCCGATTACCACCGTTGGCTACGTACGGTGCTAAAAGAAGTTCACCATACATACGTAACATTACAGCAGAATTCATAATTAAGAATTAATGATCTCCAGGAAGATCACTAATGTATTTTCCCGCATATAGCCCACATACGCATATAACCCGCAGACGCATATATCCCGCAAAAATAGCGTCTTGTGTCAAACAAATTTCAGATAGCCCGCACCTCCATATACCCCACATGCATTCATATATTTAACGTCGTTACCGCAGCTTAATTCCATCATATTAATAGAACGTTTACATTTGTAATACATTCCTCTATCAATTGTTCACATTAAAATCATAACGCCCACGAAGAAAAGGTAAGTGTTGCATAGTGGATAGTCCTACGATGAATTTTTTTTACGAGTTATGACATGTCACACGTGTAAAATATTTGCGGGATAGCCCGCACCTCCATATACCCGCAGGGTTCTTGTTTTGTTTGTAAAAAGTGGTATACCCCGCGGGTTATATGCGGACAAATCCGGTACTTTATGGTGCGGAATCGTGTCATTGAGCTGTGAACATAAAGTTTTGCCACCGCTTGTGTCCTCTCTGCCCCCCCCCCCCCTTTGTGTGCTCCCCCCAGCTTCCAAACAGCCCATCGGCCTCTCCCATCCGCCTGCACGCCTCCAACCCCAACCTGAGCATGGACGGAGGGGCGGGGCTGGGCCCAGGGTTGGGCGTGGCGGGGCTAGGTGTGGGCCCTGGGGTGGGCCCTGGGGTGGGGCTGGGGGCGGCGGGGCTAGTGGAGGTGGGGGTGGAGTCTCCGGTGCGGCTGCTGAGCTGCAGCAAGGCGCGCGTCAGCATCGCCGAGTCTCTGGACGGATGCTCCACCGACTACAGCCGCCTCCAGGAGGAGTTCTGCTGCGTGGCAAAGAAAGGTGCCCCCCTTCGCCTGCCTGCCCCCCTTCCCCTCCTGCCCTGCCCCCCCTTCTCACCTGCCCTGCCCCCCCTCCCCTGCCCCCCCCTCCCCGCCCCACCTGCCCCCCCTTCTCACCTGCCCTGACCCTCCTCACCTGCCCCCCCTCCCCGCCCCACCTGCCCCCCCTTCTCACCTGCCCTGCCCCCCCCCTCCCCACCTGCCCCCCCTCCCCGCCCCACCTGCCCCCCCTTCTCACCTGCCTTGACCCTCCTCACCTGCCCCCCCTCCCCGCCCCACCTGCCCCCCCTTCTCACCTGCCCTGACCCTCCTCACCTGCCCTGACCCTCGTGCACCTGCTTCCCTCCTGACCCCTCCAACCCCCATCCCCACCTAGCACATAAAATTTTATTCATTCTGGGGTCAAAATAATTAGCTTTCTACCTTTGAGTGCAAATAAAAGTGTGCGCGTTGAGAATGTTATCGTTTTTATTACCTAATAATACTTATTTGTTGTCCTTGTTGGTCTCGTGCCAAAGAAGAAAAAGGCAGCCACAGCGGCCCCTCCGGCGCCATGACGAGGGGCGATAGAAGCGCGCCTCTCATTGGTCAGAGGCGGGCCCAGCAACAGGCGCTGTGATTGGACCCTGACCGCTTGCCGTCGTAGGGTGCGCGCGACCATTCGTGATTTAAAAAAGAGGCGGGAGTGGGTGAAATTTCAACGATTATCGGTGAAATTTAGTTACAAAACACGAATAGGACCACGATGAGCGTGAATCTGGACCGGTTTATTTTGATGGAATCTTGAAATGCCACTCGAGGCGAGTCAGACGCTGTCTTTTCGACAGACCTGTTCTTCACCTGAGGACGGCTGCTTGCGTTGTGGCCGAAACGTCGTGAGAATTGTATTTTATTATGTTTTATTTTTATTATTTTATTATTTCCCTTCTACGTGACTTTACCGAAAGAACCAAGAAGATGAATCCCTGCAGTCACAAAAGCTTTAAATCGAAATTTTAGCTCGTTAGGCTTCGTAGATCCGAAGATATTAAAGCGTCAAAGATTCCTTAGGATACAAACAGACAACACGGCAAGTTCGATAAAAGTGTGTAGAAATAACAACAACACTTTTTTTTCGTGCCATGCTTATGGCGCAAGGTTATCACGGGGGCGCCACGTCTTCACAGACAAATGTAGCCTGCGGTTGTGCTCTGTGTTCTCCGGCATGAAACAGGACCCTGCGGGGTGGGCTGGTAGGAATAATACTTAGTACCGGTACAGAGATATCGACCGGGTATAGAGGAGTTAAAGAAAAAATTACTGTATTCTAGTGTAACGTTAATTAAAAGTGTTTGTTTTGACAAGAAACGCTGTGAGATTTAAAGACTCGTAGTCTTTCATTTCCAACACCACCCTCAACACCACCCCTCCCACGGACGGACGGACGGACGGACGGACACATTAATCTATTGGTGGTCTGGTCCACTTCGTTCCTACCAGTATAATTTACCCTTTGCAACGTAGTTATGCGCGAGCGGTCTTACACCATCAAACTCTGCAATTTTAGAAGTTGATTTAATAATAACACGGCCTGGCTACGGTGATTCACACCCACAGTGGGGCTGGTTCAGTGCTCCGAAATGGGGATTCATTTCCCCCAAGCGGTCCTCCTCCTGATGTATAAGCACATGGCGAATGCGAGGAATTTATTGACAGTAAAAGGGCAAGCAACGGGTGACGGAATAAAATGTGGCAATAAAGAGTTAGAGAAGTAATTGGGGGTGTAGAGGAGGGGGGGGGGATGCAGTCGTGGAAGTTTGACATTGTTATTGCTTAACTCGTTGAGAACCCAAGAGACCAGGAGAATCTCATTTGCAAGAGTGAAACTGGGTCGGGGCATTAGTCTGCCAGTAGGGGGGTGATAATTATTGCGTTGGGTTAGATCGCGTGAATATAAATGTGTCGTTAAACCCGCCACCACCCGACAGAGCCAATTGGTAAGGTTTGTCACGTAAACAGCACGTGCCAATTCGTTACTTGTTCAGCACACCGGTGTGTTGGAAAGTAAAACCCACAATATAAAAAATATATTTATTTGCGCCAATCTAGCCAAAAAACCTCTTATGGATAATCTTGCCGTGTATCATCCCAATTGAGTAATCCGTTGGGGGGGGGGGGGTATCGCATTTGGCATATTGAACCCCCGACACCGGAGCGCAGTGCGAGTGACTCAAGCTGATCGCTAAAGTTCACCGTGAAGCAGACAGCGCGCATGATTAAAAACTGGCATAAGAGTTGACCTCTGAGGTTAGTGGGCAGGGAGAAGCCCAGAAGCCAGGTGTAAGAGGTGACGCGACGAGAAAGGACCTTGACGATTGGGTGTGGCCTGTCCAAACATCTGAAGGATCTAACGGGGGAAGGTAGCGGTAACAAGGTGTGGTGACATAAACAACCGTGGCGACGATGACGTCTAAATCCTGACACTTCAGTACACGTGCGCACATGTACAGCCCTTTCTTAAAATCTTCTTTTGGATAAGGGGCGTCTGAAAGCCATGCTAGTTCTACGAGATGTTCACAATACTTAACCGTGCTGATTAGTGCGTGCTAATAAAGGTGGGTAAAATAGACGTAGGAGCATAGAAGTACCGTAAAACAATACATTTGTCCACACTGCCCCTTGCTGTCCACCACTTGGCAGAGGTCCGCAGCTGCCTATGACAGCCTGGCATGCATGGTGGTCACCCGTCCTAAGCACTGTACAGGCTCGAGCCCTGCTTATCTTCCGAGATCTGACAAAGATCGGGAGCTCTCCTCCAGGTGACCCTCTCCGGCCCTCGACCGTGTGTCCACACGGCTGTCGCCGAGATGATGAAGCGTCAGTGGCGTGTGCGTACGTGCGCGTGCACGTTGAACTTCTTTCGCACCGTACATAGCCAGCCGTGCTAATCGGAGTTGCGGGAATCTCCTCCGCCCACCCCCTCCTCCGCATGCGCGCAGTGCACGTGACGCTCAAGTCCGTCTTCAACTCGTTGGCCATCGAGAAGGAGAAACTGCGGCAGGTGGCGTGCGAGCACGAGGCGGCGGGCGCCGGCCACGCCGCCCACGTGCTCGCGCTCAAGAAGGCACTCGCGCAGGTGAGCACTCGCACAGGGGTGGGGGAGGACTCGGTAGGCAGAGTGATGTCCGGCACAAATGTGCCACACAGGGCAGAGCCGGGAGTTGGATATTTTCGCGCCAGGGGCAAGGTACCATCTTTCCCGCTCCCCCCCGCCCCCCACATCCCCCCTTCCCCACCCATCCTTGCTTACCTCACCAAAGAGTTGAGCCACTGCTGGATATGTTTCTAATAATTCGGCCTCGCACTCAGGTGCCACCCCCCCATCAGGAATGGCGCCCTGGGGCGCTGTGCCAGTGAGATATGTTCAGTCGTCCTAATGCAGAAGCCTCCTGGAATACTGTCACTTGATAAACGAAGTATCCTGTGTTTGTTTATTCTTTAGCTTCAGTTTATTTGGGTTGTTGCACGGACGGTCCCGTTTCACCAATTAGTTGCACGGCTTTTGTGCAAGGCAGATCCGTGGTGCGTCAGCGCGATAGCAGCAGCAGCAACAACAACACAAGACAACATCATTAGCCAGCCGCCTCTGCTAATTTACAGTAAGCATTGTTATTATTCATATCCAGCTGGGTAGAAAAAAGATTGTGATTAAGCCTCACCTTTCAGGTCAGATTATAAGTCTCACAGTGCAGTTTAGTCCTGGAGAGTTATGGTAAAAATATGTTGGACATGTGCGTTAATGTTGTTCGCCCATACACGTTTTTAAGAAGAGTTGTTTTTAAATCATCCTTTATTCTACATTTATGCCAAATGGCCACGTGACATAACTCCATTCGCAACTCTCACACAACGACCCGTGGAAGTTGGTGTTAAAGAACTACTTTTGATGTCAGTAGGACTTTAATCCACACTGGGTGGAACAGATGTTATTCCCACACAAAGAGGATACGTTGCATAAAAAAGAAGCCAAAGTAGTTGGCGATCACAGATAGAGTGTGATGAATTATATTTTGAAAAAATATAAATTTAATCCCCTGAGTCTCCCAGCCATCTCAATTGGGGTTAAATACAATCTGGACAACTCTTGTCCAGCAACGTCAGCACGGAATGTGCACTTATACATTTTGGAATGTCATTTATGTGAAAAAAAAAAAAATCTAAGCTTATAAATAAGCAAAAAAAACAATTAGTTCTGTGTCACTAAAGCTCTCCATGAGGGGGGAAAAACAAACTAATTGGTTTATTTGTCAGAAAATATGCATGACAAATTGTGTGAACGATATGCTGTGTGAGATTACATATTTACTTAAGGGTGGTGAGTTATTAATCATGTGTGTGGGCTATCTGGCTATTACGTGAGAGTAACCTTGCTGAATAAGCTGCCATATCCAGGTAAGCAACCTGAGAACTGGGATTGCAAACCAAAAACACCTGGAGCGGCCTCATCCCAGAGTGGCACGGGCACAATGACTCTCGACTCCACCCTAGGCCTGTGTGTAGATCCATGATTCTACGTGTATGTACAAGTAGTTCCCCATTGTCAATCCACTGCTGGATTAACTCGACGCCATGCGGATTGCGTTCGGATATTTGACCATACTTCACAACCCTTGTCAGTGTGGGTTGGTGAAGGCGGGGAGGGGGGAAGCTGGTCTACTCTCCGCTGCCCACAATGCTGCCCTGTATCGGCACCACACCAGCTGTTTGGGTGCTCGGCACCTGTCCAAGTGCTACCCATGCTCGGTCCTGCGGAGCTTCTGAGATCTGATGAGATCTCATGCATCCCAGATGATTTGGTCGTGAGGGGGTGGGGGGGTGGTGTAGCCGTGCATCAGTTTTCCTTTTGAAACTGATTCCCCTGCTCATTTCTATTGCATTGAATCGTGTGTGCGAGGAATGATGAATTTCGATTTGCGCTTGTGTCCTTATGTGACTGGTTCACGTGACCTCTGCAGCCACCTGCCACACGAAGTCGGAGGAAAAAATAACGAGTCGAATTACAACCCCCGAGATGTGACAATTCATAGACTCGCATTGAGGACTAACACACATGTATGTATATTGTAGTTCAATATTTCAAAAAGAATATCATTGACGTGTTTTTTTTTTATGTCAGCCGAATTTTTAAGCAGTTGCACTTTAATGACTGAACAATTGCGTTGGCTCATCGTCATCATCAGCCACGATGAAATCCACTGCTGCCGGATCAAGGCCTTCCCCAATCCACCATCACCTATCACAATCCAGCGGTGTAATCATCCACCCAGCACCTGCTGCACACGAAGAGCTGTTTTCATCTCTCCTCGGCAGATGTCCTCTCGGACGCCCTCTCGGACGCGTTCCGATCCTCCTGGCCTGTCACTCCGTCGTGATTCTTGACCATCGGCCATTGTCCCTTTGCAGCGATCGTCACGTCCTGCCATAGGTCCACTCGCTTTTCCAAAACAGCTTGAACGATGTCATTGCCCTGCACGGGTTGTCTATTCCACGTGCTGCTCTTTCTGTCATCCCGAGTACGTTGGCCCGTTTGTCTATTATCATGAGCTGTGGTGCAGTGGGGGCGAGAGCGGCATTGTTTATTCCAGGGAGGTGATTTTATACTCCAAGGTCGCGGCCACGGAGGGAGCAGGTCATGCCTCTGCCCTGATGATTGATGCCCGTGCCTTTCTTCGGCAGCTGTCCTTGTAAGCCAGCACCATCTCCACGCCCCCTCATAGTGCTGCCCTGTAGTGACTAAACGCATAGAAGAGGTCACATTATGCTTGTTGCACATGTGCAGAGTAAGTTATTTATGTTGAACCTCTTTCGCACCGTACGAAGCCAACCGTGCTAATCGGAGTGCGGGGAAGGACAATAAATTAAATATTTAGATGATGAAACTGCTGACACTCAGTGCAATACAATTTAAGGGTGAGCTTGCAGAGCGGCCTTTGTCAAAACCCGATGCGCTCCCAAAAATGTCTCGCGCGTATTTTATAGAGCACAGCAAATTTACGGATTCCTTCAGCACAGCGGTGCCTTTTCGGATGATACGGATTTTCTGGCTGCGTCAGGGCAGGAAGCAGTTGTCCGTTTCAGTGCCCCCCCCCACCCCCGCTACGGACAGCGCAACCTCGCGTTGCATCGAGCAGCGACGCTGGAAGAGAAACCGCACCACTGCCCCGAGAAGTCCCTTCTGAGCGGAGAACTTCCCGACAGTCCTCGCCGTTTCCACGAGTAGCTTACACCCGTCGTCGGCACGGTGACGCGGCCCAGCGGGAAGACGCGCTCGCCGCCGCTCGTTGCAGAGGCTCGTGGTTCGAATCCGGCAGGCCACCCCCCCCCCCCCCCCCCCCGAATTTGGCAAACTTGAAAAGATGCCTGCGAGTTATTCAACTGTGACAGCATCGTCACCTCCCGACCGTGAACCTGCTGCAGACTGTGTGCAACACGAGAACGGCGACAAATACCGAATGTACTCAAGTATTGTTATACTGGTAGGAACCTCCTGGTTACACCAGCCCACAGGGGATTATTGTGTCCGTCGTGTGGGGTGGGGAGGGAGGGGCTGGGTGGGGAGGGTGGGGAGGGGCTGGGTGGGGAGGGTGGGGCTGGGTGGGGAGGGGAGGGTGGGGAGGGGCTGGGTGGGGAGGGTGGGGAGGGGCTGGGTGGGGAGGGGAGGGTGGGGAGGGGCTGGGTGGGGAGGGGAGGGTGGGGAGGGGCTGGGTGGGGAGGGTGGGGAGGGGCTGGGTGGGGGGTGGGAGGGGTGGGGCTGGCTGGGGAGGGTGGGGAGGGGCTGGGTGGGGGGTGGGAGGGGTGGGGCTGGGTGGGGAGGGGCTGGTCACCCCGTGGTGCCCTTATAAAACTCAACGTTTACCCTACTCGCGCCAGCCTGTGCCCGCCCTCAGTCTGCCATATTTGCGGAATACACAACGCTGCCGTTCCAGCTCCCTCCGCAGGAATGTGTTTTAAGACACAACCCAAAAAAGTGAAGCGCAGTGTCGCTAATCTCAAACGTGCACGAGGGAGTCCTCGTTTATATTTGTGATCCTGAGCCATTTCTAAAAATTGCACATTTCTGTAGCCTTAAGCAGTGACTCCACAGCCACAACCACTGTCAGCTTCCCACAAAGTGGAACTCATGTTATGACCATGCACAGGGATGATGGACCGAGTAGGCCCTTGAACAGAATGTCACCTCGCCTTTCAACCCACCACTGGCATCCTTCCACCCATCCTCCTTCAATCCATCAGCCCGTGCACCATCAACCCATACGCCAATCAACCTGTCCACCTCACAACTTACAACCATTCTGGATGTGAGTTGAGTGTGTGTGTAAATTGTTTGGTTAAAATCATATTTAATTTTAATTTTATATAGCGGTGAAATATAGAGCCTGGAGTGGCTGCAAGGGTGCTATGAACCCCCATTGCATGCAAAGATGCGACGATAAACACCACGCTTATTCCGCACGCGATTCCGCAAGCTGGATGTTTATTATCTACATTGTGTAGTTGTTGGGTCTTCTGCTAAAGTTATATTAAATGGCAATGTTTTTGTGTGTGTGTGTTGGGAGCAGAAGTGTCACGGTTAGCGCACTGCGCTACGAACCCGGCGACCCGAGTTCAATTCCCACTCACGGTCAACACCAGTGACGATTACTCTTGGTCGACTCAGCCTCAAATTAGTACCTAGTGTGGTGTGTAAACATCGTCACTCGGGAGACAAAAGCGGCCGGGCGTGGTGCTGGCCACCCGCCCCCTCGTGTGCCGTTCCGGCCTTCATAGGTGCTCGCTAACAGCACTTGCCCAACAGTCTCTTAAGCCTATCCAGGGATCTTTGTCTTTGTAGGTACGAGTGACCGAGCTGAGATATTTTTCTTGTGGAAACCTTGCTTAATCGCAGATGGGAAGCCTGGCATTTAGACGCCGGCTCAGTGGTCGGTCTTTGCGTACATTCCACTGGGACATTGGGGGAGGCAGCAGTAATTTGTGTAAATTCAAAAGCAAATGTATTGCTTTGCAGAGCTGAGGAGCGCTTCTGTGAGCAGAATTGTAGCAAAACGAACAACGTAGCTACGTGTAACATGTTTTTTGCTTTTTGCAAGAAGTCCGCGGTTTGAATCCAGTGGCTGCTCTGGTTAATACTGCGTATGTCCATAATAAAGCCGCCACCACATGACACGGCCGATCGGTAAGGTTTGTCACGTAAACAAAAACGTGGCATTTCGGCACACCGATTGTGTGTTGGAGAGTAAACTCACGACATTTACAATTCGAGTACTGCGACGTTTCGCCGGTGGTTGCAACCAGCATCATCGGGCGATAGCCAGGATTTACCGACACGTTTATTTTTCCAGGGACTGTCCCCGGAAATAGAGTCGTCAGATTCAGCGAGGCTTCTCTCGGTGAACAAGCGTGTTAATAAATAAGTAGAGAAATACATTTGAAGGCGACACCTGGTGATCTGAGTTCAATTGTTGGCCATGGCCGACATTCGCGGTGAGTGACACCTGGACCGGGGCTTTGGCTTTTAACCCCCTCGACTAACCCGGCACCGACCGTCGTTGTTGAAGTATGGTCAAATAAAGCCCCCCCCCCCCCAAGCCCCCACCCCCATGGTCCGCACGGCGTGTGGACGCCCTCGTCCAGCAATGCACTGGAATTTGACCTTCGCTCCGTAAGCGCCCCCCCCCCCCGACCTTCCCCCTTTCCTGCACAGGCTACGGCTCAGAATGGGGACCTTAGGAGCAGATTGAGTCGCATTCACGCGGATTCAAATCTCACGGAACCCCTTGTCAACATCAACATCATCCCCAGCCCAGACATGGTGAGAGCCAGAGCACATTGACGCCAGCTTGTCTATCGTTTTCGTTTCTGTGCTTTAAAAAAATCATTTACTTGTGTTCTAACGAGTTGCTTGTGTTAATGTCACCATTGTTTCCGTGTGTGTGTGTGTGTCCGCTCACCCTTCACACCCATCCAACCTGTGCATGCTTTACACTTACCCTTCTTCAACCCTTCAACCCATTCTCCGATAAACTCGTCCACCTCACAACTCACCCAACCGTTCAATCCACCTGCGTTTACATTCTGTCCATCCTTAAAACCACACTCTTCAACCTATCCTTCCTTTTTAACCAATCCGCTCCCTGTCCAACAACTTATCCGACCACTCCTTGATCACTTCAACTTATCACACACCCAATCAACCTCACGTATCCTTCAACCCTCCCACTCTTCACTGCTTAAACCCTCCTCCACCCTCCAACCCCCCCCCCTAAACACCCAACCCTGGTCACACAGCCCTTCAAATGGGAACTCTGAACGCCTTGAAAATTCACCACGACAGCAGCAACACGGCCCCGTGTAACACCTGTCGTGCAAGGAATGTTAACGGGGGAAACCTTGCCCCCAATAACTTTACTTTTGGGCTAAAATATTCGCCGCACGTCGTGCGCATGCAACGGAGAGCGTAGAACGTGAACGATCGGCGTAAAATATAACGGTGTGAGTCGCACTGTGCTGTACAATGGTCCGCTGGTGGTCGTGCTGAAGTTAGGAAAAGTTGGAAATATTGACGATGAATGGAACGTCTTCTTACAGGCGCATAGGGGAATTTAAATTCTGGGTCGTGATATTTCTGAACGGTGTTCATTTTTTGGTTGTTCAGTTTGTCTCCCAGTATTTGACAATTGCAGCTCTGACATTTGAGGTGGCGCGGGGATTCACTTTCTGGACATCCGTCTTGGTTTTTTCATAATGAGTTTTGAAAGGAACCTTAATTGAAATTTTTTTTTTGCACGCTGTGATTTAATAAAGTACAATCTATATTTTGTCTCCTGTAATTTTTGCAATATAAATCACTGTTTGACTTAGGTTAATTGCTAAATTATCTGCTGTATTGTTATTTTTCATTAATTACTTGCTATTAAGGATTGTATTTTCACACACCAAGCTCCATGAAATTACTTTAGCAAAGTTCCACTGGTGATAAAATATTTATGGAAGCAGAATTCCTGCGTCTTCCTGCGAAAGGGAGTGTTGATGGGGCAGTGCCCAATGGGTTTCGTGGCCCTGAACCAAACATGGACAGTCGACATCTCCACGGTGACGAGATGTTAACTTCTTCACCGGGTACACAGGTGGTCGTGGTTTCGATCCTGACCCCCAGACGCCTGTATATTTGGAGTTTGCGTGTTTCTCTTCCCCTGGTTGCGTAGATTTTTCTCTGGGTCCTCCGGTTTTTCTCCAGGTCCTCCGGTTTTTCCCTTCACATTTAAAATTTACATCACGTGTTTTTAGAGTAGTTTTCTGCTTTAATAATTTCCACATGATAAGCCACTTCGTTGAACTATCATTTGTGATGTCCAGGTCGCTTCTGAAAAGAGCCGTATAGTTCAGTGGGCCTTACCTGCGAAAATAAAAATAGTGGAGTTCTATGGTAAATTAGCATTACTGGGAGCATTTTATGTACATTTTATGGGTAAAAAAATGGTCAACAACGACTTACATTTGTATAGTAATGTGACACGTGGCCCGGAGCGCAGGATTACACAGGCAGAGAGAACGGGAGGCAGTCACACCGTCCCGATGTCTCTTTAAGTCTCAGACAGGACTCGTCTCAATTAAAAAGAAACGATTGGGTCCATTCGCCTTCCCAACTTATGTTACCTCATGCCATCTTACCTTACCCTATGTTAGCTTATGTTATCCGGCAAAAAAACAAACGGCGGTGAGAATATAGACAACGAAAATGTGATTGTATATATATTTTTTATTGCGTGGCGAGACAAATGGGAGGCTGTTTATTTTTGTCACCAGCCGGAGCAATTTGTGCTTGCGGGCTGGAGGCGGATGTAGTGCAACAGGCACTTCACCAGGCAGCGGTGGGGTTTTAACGAGACAAGTGACTCCGCACTCGCTTGCCGCTCTCTCCCGCATACGCACGCACACAGACACGCACAAAGATCCCCCTATAGCTTTAACAGGCTGTTGGGGCAAGTGCTGTTAGCGAGTAGCACCTATGAAGGCCGGCACAGCAATCGGGGGGTGGGTGGCCAGCACCACGCCCGGCCGCCTTTGCCTCCACAGTGCTGATATTTTACAAACCGCACTTGGGTTGCTGAGTCTACCTAGGGGAGGCCCAGGACCGGTTAAGATGATCGAACTCGGGTCACCGGGTTCGCAGCGCAGCGCGCTAACCGCTACACTACCGCTCCCCACATGCGCGCTCACATGCGCACACAGCAATAACAACCGCCGTTCGCCACTAAGTGTCGGTGAAGTCACCATGGCGCTTGTGCCAGGCTATGTGCACGTTAAGGCCGCGTGAAGTGTCAAACGCCCACTGGCAGGAGGTCACGGGACAGACTGCGGTGTCATGGGTTGACTGAGAGGACTGGCAGATGCACCACACACACATGCACACACCACCTCAGGCACTTTTCGCTTGGATGTGGTCTCGCTTGCCCTTTCCACACAGTGTCCCCTGTCTTCCAAACCTCTGCTGTTTTGAGGCCCGCTTCCACGTGGCCCACGAGTAAACCTACACAGTGTGTACCAGCCTCGTGTACCGACCCACTCTCTCTGCCCCTTCAAAGCCGTTGACACATCACAGGAGGTCGGGATCCCTCCTATAATGATCCACAAGAAGTGCATGAGTTTTATATTATTAAGTGCTCTTCCCCCCCCTTTTACCCTATATAGTCGCGTTTCTCTATTAGCTCTCTTCACTCACTGCAGTGACTTTGGCTGTAATGGTTCCACCTGAAGACGGAAGCTTGTGTTGCCTCTGAAACGACGTGATTTAATTTAGTTGTTTTCATTTATTTTATTTTTTACCTATGTGACTTTACCGAAAAAACCAAAGAGTATAAATCCTTGCAGTCACGAAAGCTTCAAATCTAGAATTTAAATTATTATTTTGACTGGGATCTGTTGTTTGTCATTTCTTTTTTGCCACTGATGTAAAGTCCACATTCTTATGGGAGAGGGATGAAATTGTCCTTGGATTTTCATTTGGAAAACGAGGCATGTATAAGGCATTGCAGCGTGATTATTGTGGAGGCCTTGCACTCACCGTGTGGACGTGGACTTGCTCACTGCTTCCCGTCATCATGCTCATGCTCTCTCTTGGCCTCAGTCGTCACCGTAATCCCACTGCTGCCTGTCGGTCAGGTCACAATTGGTCAAATAGATTTTTACGGTGACCTCAAACAAGAGCTCCACAATGCAGTTCTTCAGGAGCCGCTGATTGTTTTTGCATAATGCACAATTTGTACACGTGTCTGCTTGTTCCTTGAAACGTTTGGTTTTTTTCCAGCCTGCACTGATTTTTCTGTGACGATGATGGCGTTTTCTAGTCATTTACAGATTTGATTATTGCTCGCCTCTTCATCGGGAGAGCTGTTTGTGAACACGCCGATCTTAAAACTGCACTCCGGCAGGTAGTGGAGTGGTCTTTTTGATCACTTCAGAGGCAGTTTGCTGAGGATAGGCGGGTAAATTCCTGCTGCTGTCTGACCTTTGAGGAATTACCAAAGTATGGCATTGGCAGCGAAGAGTAAAGTGAGTGTTAAAGACATGTTGGTAAAGTTACCCAGACAGAGCGAGTAATTCAGCTGCGTTGTCATTTCCAGAAAGTTATATTGGAAGTAAGGAATGAAAAGTCAAATAGATGTTTTCATGAAATGAGCACTGAGGTAGTATTCATCTCATGAGTCAGTCATATACATTGCACATTCCAATGGTGAAGGTGAGTCTATCCATAGAACAGCCACTGGTGACCTACCCACAAAGTGGTACTCATTTTATTGACCCCTGTAAAGCTGATGTGCCAAGTCGATCCCCAACCAGGGTTCGAACTTGCAATTTTTATAATTGTGAGTCGATCGCTCTCCGGCTGAGTCAACTGACCGTTTTCAGGGAACAGAAAAAAAACCCTCGTACATTTTAGGGAATAAAAACCTTTCGGAATTCTATGAGTTTTTTTTCTTCACGTTGACAGTCCTCTGCTGCAAAATGGATCTTGAATTTGAATTGGCCTCACCTGCTGAAATACAGGACACACACAGCACATGCATAATGTAGGTTTTTGGGTTAGATCGCATAAATATTAATGTGTCGTTAAACCCGCCACCGCCCGACACAGCCAATTAGTAAGGTTTGTCACGTAAACAGAACATGCCAATTCGTTACGAGTACAGCACATCGGTGAGTTGGAGAGCAAACACACAACTCTCCAACACACCAGTGTGCTGTATTATTAACAAATTGGCATGTCCTGTTTACGTGACAAACGTTACTAATTGGCTGTGTCGGGTAGTGGCGGGTTTAACGACACATTATATTTGCGCGATCTAACCCAAAATAAACTATACTATGGATGATATCGGTCGCGAAAGCGACTAATATCATCACACGCACTGTACCAACGATAATAATAGTTCTATTTCCATAACGCCTTTTATCGGGGATTTCAAAGAGCTGTACAAGAAGAGACTGCAGCAAACACTCGGCATACAAATAACTCGTGGAAACGAAAAAACACAGCAAAGTAATTATAATAAATGCTAAAAGCCATTTCCTGGATTAACAGAAAGTTACAAAAAACATGTCTACCTGAGATGTTTTCCCAATTGTCAGATTAATATAGGACATTTTTTTTCAATCCCAAAAAATCAGGCTTAGTTCATGAATATGTATTCGTGAAGCACACCACACGTATGCCTGCATTTCAGAATTATCCACATTAAAAACGATGTAGTGGTCCTCAATCGCCTGCGCCCGCACGTTATCACTAAAAATAATTAAAGTCTCGGTGTCTCTGCACTCAAACGAGTGCTGCCCCCACACTAATGTCTGCTGGAAGCTCTAGCTCAGCAGTGGAAATTCCACATTCTCATGACCGGAGCCAACCACTCGCCACGGTGGCGAGATGTTAACTACCTCGCCTGGTATGCAGGAGGTCGTGGGTTTGATCCCGAGACTGACGCCTGCTGCTGTATGTTTGGAGTTTGTATATACTCCCTGTGGTCAAGTGGATTTTTCTCCGGGTCCTCTGGTTTTCCCCCTCCAGAATTAAGAAAGCATGTATTTAATGTAATTGGCTGCTACGATATATTTACACACGATAAGCCACTTCGTTGAGCTACAATCTGAGTCCATTCTGAAAAAGAGCTATATAGCTTAGTAGGCCTTACTTGGTAAAATAAAAAAAATTGTTTAGTTTGGTTTTTAGTTTACTCCATGGCAGGGGCTCACCGCTGTCATCTTCCCTCGACGTTGTACCCATCCTGTTGGCCCTGGAGGGAGGGAATGATTGGGCCGAGTGGAGAATCATGGAAAGGGAGAGTTGGTGGAATGCGCGCACACGCGCGCGCACGTGCTCGTAACTGTGTGGCCACAATGCCCCGTGTGCACGTGTACCAGCCCCCCGAGCCCCCCCAGGAGGGACCCCTCGTGCCGGTGCCGCTCAGCGAGAGCCGCCTCTCTGTTTCCGAGTCCGTCTCGGAGTTCTTCGATGCCCAGGAGGTGCTCATCTCGGCGAGCTCCTCTGAGAACGAGGTGACTGAACATTCGCGATCTTCGTTTTTCCTCGCGCCGCGCAGTTCAAACTTTCCCGCCAAATTGGTGTTCCGCGCCCGTGCTGCTGTGGCCCTCTCCCATTGGACTGGCACAATTTGTCCGGCATGACTTTCCGACGTTTCGGTCCAGCTGTGCAGCATACTTCAGGAACCAAATCTCCCGGCACGCAGAGCGAAACGTCGGACGTCGTGCCGAACAATGCGCGTGCAAGATCTCCAGAATTTCAATTATATTCTGGCGATATTTTCGACTTGGCACTCCTACTGTGTTTCTAATTTTAGAACCGCTCCGTCACTTCTGTCAGCTTTCTATACTCGCTTGACACGTGCGTGATTTTTCACGTTATTGTCGTTGTGTATCACTGGGGCACCTGTTACTGTGAGAACCAGCCAAAGGTATTTATTTGAAAGTCCTATTCAGCCCCCAGGTTAGGAAGCGGTTTACCACTTCTGCTCGAACAGAATTATTTGCAGCAAGCTTGACACTATTGATGAGACTCTGTACCCATCCTGTTGTTGAAACCGGTCAAGAGTTTTGTTTGTATTGAACCAATGTTGTTGAAATTATGCACTCCCAGAAGGCCTTGTGATTGCCGGGAAATGTGAAAAATAAGTTTATATGGTTTATGTGGAGGAACAGGTTTGTGAATGAGGCGTATTTTACTGCTTTCTTTATTTTGTTGCTTATATTCTTCACAAAGACGCTCTTTATTTTGTGTTAAGATATAAGATGTTTAACTGACATGGCCGTGCCATATAAGGGACTAAGAATAGATGATACAAGTTCTGTTTACCTTGATATCAATGCATGCAGTTATATATTTTTCGAACCAACTTTTAAACAATCGTGCCTTAATGTTCATGTTTCAAAATGACAGTAAATTTGACCCATTTCACGTGAAAGCCTATTCGTCTCACCGAAACCCTTACCTGGTCAAAGGAGACATTGGATCGATTTGGTTTCGTATATATTTCGCTTGCTATTTCTCACTGCAATAATGTGCGCGTGTGTGTCGGCCGCGTCGCGCGGGCGTTGCTCCCTTCTCGCCGCTTTCAAAGCCATCGGACGACGAATCCTACGTGAGCGACGTGAGCGACAACGTGTCGGAAGACAACATCAGCGTGACGGATGGGGCGCCGCAAACGTGTGAGTTGCCTCCGTGGCCCGCCCTGCGGATCTCGGTGTGGGACCGAGGCCTCGCCATCAAAAGCACACCCCCCGTCCCCGGGGTGGTGACGCGGCCCGGTGGTAGCCGTGTCCGCCGCTTGGTACGGAGGTTCGCAATTTCCAATTCCGACGACCGCCGCCCCCCTGGTTAAATACTGCGACCTGCGGGTGCGTTAACCGCCCGCTTCACGGGTGGACATTGTCGATGGCGTGAGGTCATTCGCAAGAGTCGGCTGTTGTTTGCCGGCGTCAGAGTCCAAATTTGTCAAATTGTAAAAAATTACACCACAAGTTACTCAGTTTGGATTATGCACCGCAATCAACAACCCCTACTGGCAAACTGATGCCTCAGGTTACTCTTGCGAATGAAACGTATCTTTGTTGAGTTCTTACATGATTATTATAAAATAAACTTGAACAACTCTGTGTTAGCAATATGCTGGTGTATGCTGGTACATCGTACTGCACTTCTCAGAAACCAAATATATAACCCGGTATTTTTTTGAAAGGTCCCTATCCCTGTGCTGCGATGTTTATGCAGAGGTGAAACAACCATTAGGTACACGCGCAGTCTTTTTTTCAATCCACTGCTGGATGATCTCCACGCCGTACAGGTCGTGGGGGGTTTTCGCAGGGCCCAATTAAGGTTATGAGGGGCCTAAGGGCTAATAGGAGAGCCGGGCCTAAGTATGTGTTACATTTTGGATTTTTTTTTATGAAGTCATCAAATATTTATCTTTGCAAAATGAACAAATGTAACCGAATCAAGGTATATTAATCAAAGACAAATGACCCACTGCACTCATTTAATCAAAGAAACAATTTTTGTTCTTCGTAGCTTTGACTGTGGCAAAGTCATGAACGATGACATTGAAATTTGAAAGACAAAAAAATGGTGAGGGCTGCCCTGGTGTCACTCAGCTGTTACTTCAACATGGAATGGATGGCCTACAGAATATGAGGGCCTAAGGCCTTTATTAGCCTCATTAACCTATGGGCCATGCCGGCCCTGGTTATTTGTGCGTACTTCACCCAAGTTTGTCAGCACGCGTTGGTGCAGGCGGTGAGCGTGGTAGAGTACAACGATGAAGTTAGCCGCACCGCCTTCTGCTTTACCAACGTTGCTCGCAGAAGCCTTTTAACACCCATCTCGGGCATGGTTGGTGGTGGTCGCCCATCCGAGATGGATCCAGGCTCACCCCTGCTTAGCTCCTGAGAGCCGACCGTGTCGGTTTGCATTGCGGGTGAGGGTGAGGATTACTTGTCGATTCCTCATCAAATGAACTACACAGGTTTTAATATATATATATTTTTTTAATGCCGCTCAAACCCGTAAAAATAGCACGTAGTTCTTATCCTGTGGACACACCTCATGAAGCTTCGCGAGTCACTTAAAAAAAATTAACCCGTAAAAACAAAGTTTTTCACTCTAAATCCTTTATATGATTGTCTGTTAGCATTAAGCAATTGGTAATTAAATATTAAATGTTTTTTTTCCCTAAACAGTGTAAAATTTTGGGAAAAAAATTTCACGAAAATAAATTGTCTCGCACAACGAGTCTGTGTGGAAAATGTCAGCTCGATTGGATCACGGGAAGTGGGTTAAAAAACGACCGAAAGATTTGCACGGTCGTAAGCAAGCACGCATGCACGCAAGCAAGCAAGCGAACTTAATATAAAGGATTTTAAAAAACCCTGCACCCTAAGATATTTGTTTACGCTATGCCCGCTATACAAATGCAAGTTATTGTTTTCGTTGCTGTTGTTATTTCAGCGTTAAGCACACGGGAGGGCGGCTTCCGCAACGGCAGACGAAGCTTCCTGCCGGCGCCGTGCCCGGACACGAGCGGCGTGAGCCTCTGGAATATCCTGCGCAACAACATCGGCAAGGACCTGGCAAAGGTCTCCATGCCGGTGGAGCTCAACGAGCCCCTCAACACCCTGCAGAGGCTGTGCGAGGAGCTCGAGTACAGCGAGCTGCTGGAACAGGCGTCCGACACGGAGGACCCCGCGCAGCGCATGGTACGAAGCGATGGGAGGCTTCCCACAAAGCAGTAATTATTTTACCGACCCAAAGGGATGATTGGCCGAGCCGACCCTCAACCGGGCGTTCGACTCGCAACCCTCCCAAACGTGGCGCTCGAACCAAAGTGCCCGTCGGCTGAACCAGCGCTGTGTAGAAGTGACCGAAACTACGAGGGATGTAAACACGGCCTCAGATACATGACAAAGTGCGCTGCCCCCCCCCCCCCCCAGCACCTTCTTGTGGCTTTCTTATTTCGCTCGCACTTCATCAACCAATCACGCTTCACTTGTCCTTCTGCGGCGTTGGTAAGAAGCAATGATGTGCCCGAATGTGACAGGGAAGCTTTTCAGAGTGGCTTTTGCCGTTGTTCGTAGCTGCGCCCCAGGCTCGGGGCGCCGCGGTGGCAAGATGTTAAGTACCTCGTCTGGTATGCAGGAGGTCGCGGGTCTGATCCAGACCCTGACGCCTGCCGCTGTATATTGGGAGTTTGCATGTTCTCCTCGTGGTATTGTGGATTTTTATCCAGGTGTTCCGTTTTTTCCCTCCACATTTAGAATCAACATGAATCAACATGAGTGTAGAGTATTTGGCTGCTAGAAAATATTATTTGAAGCCAGGTCGCTTCTGAAAAAGAGCTGCACAGCTCAGTGAGCCTTACCTGGTAAAATAAAACATTATTTTTTGCAGCCAAATACTCTAAAAGCATGTTTCTTAATGTGAAGGGAAAAACCGGAGCACACCGAGAAAAATCCACATGTGCAAACTGAAAATACAGCAGGCGTCAGGGTCGGGATCAAACCCACAACCTCCTGTATACCAGGCGCGGTAGTTAACATCTCGCCACCGTGGCGCCCCTACTATTAAAGGAACCTCTGTGGTAGTTGATGATTTTCCCATTTGTGCAATGATTTATGTGACAAATTACCAAAGTGTGACCTCATCTATGAAGATGACATTAAAGACCCTTTGAAATATTGTGTAATGGGTTAATTTGTGTCTAGCGGTTTCCCACACAAGTCCACATACACTGTATCTGTCGAACATTTTTAATTCAGCTACCTGCGGAAGTGGTGTGTGTGTGAGCAAAGCCTTGTTTGTCAAATATTACAGCTCCTGACACGTAGATAAAATGTATTTGTCTCTGGAGCATATCCATGTCAGTGGTGTCAAATGCTCTGACCATCCGCCATCTCTTTAAATTCTATTGTTTTCACACTAGGTTGTTGGGGGGCGCCTGTGTCGACCCCAAACAACCTAGTATTCACCAACGTAATGGAACGTCTGTCCCTGCGACTTGTTGATTGTTGATAGCGTATGCGGGAAGAATTGTAAATTGTCGCCGTCGCAAAACAAATGGCAAAGTCGTGTTGGTGGGGGCTAAGAAGATTCTGGGAATCAACACCGAATCACCTCGTTCTCTCTCTCTCTCTCAAGCGTTCATCATAGACACATAGAGCATTTTTTTTTATAAATATCATTTTACATCCGGAAGACTTCATTGAAAACGACATTTCACGTGCATTTTCTATCGTTAAATAGATGTCCTTGCTGGGGGTTCGGTTCGATGCGGACTTTCACCTGTTTGGGATTGCGGGATCGAGATAAGGCGACATTAGAGCTGCTGGCCGTGCGAGAAGACCGCCGTCTGCAGATCGATTCCAACGTAATCGAACGTCTGTCCCTGCGCCTCCGTCGTTCGTGCACGGGGCGCGTAGGTTTGCAACGACCCCTGCATGAAAACGAGGGGAAGTACAGCGTTCATCATATTCATCACAGATAAAGTTGGGCGCTTATATTATTAAATATTAATGGGCTGGAGGGGGCATGGCCTAGTGGGCAGTCTTCTTTTTCCTCTTCCTCCTCTTCCTCCTTATACAGCTGATGTAGATGCAGAGCAACAACTACAGTTTCACATTCAGGTAGTTAAGCCAGACAAGCACGTCAGGAGCAAAGGAGTGTATCGCTGTGATGGGTGGCGTTGCGTCGTTCTACGTTGTACGTTCTGTTCTGGGTGACCACAGTCTCGCACTACTGCAGAGGTTTTTTTCTTTCCATTTTTTTTTCATTTGTGCATCAGGGTATCCGCATCTCCCGCCATGATTGTGCAGTGGATGCGGTTTAGGGGTGGACCGCGAGTGGTCGGTGAGCGAACCGCAAACTGGTCGATGTCATTTGGGCTGAAGGTTCCATTCCCGCAGCTGGCCACAATTTCCTGCAGGAAATGATGTGAGATTTTGAGCTGCAATAATAGGAAGAGTTAATTTTGATCAAAGCAGAGGTAAAAGCAGCTTTTGTATGTACTGTAAGACCATTCGAGTACATTTTCTGTCACGCTACGGATAGATTGGGTCCCACCATAACAATGTGGAATTTCCTTCACTGTTATAATTACAAAATGTTTGATATTTCTTGGAAAGACAATCTCACATTTGCATTTGGATTAAAAGCCTTGAACACATAACCCTATCCGTTTTGCCCCTGTTTTTGGTGAGTAAAGAAATTATATATGTATGGTGAACTTCTTTCGCACCGTACGTAGCCAACCATGCAAATCGGAGGTGCGGCGAAAGGACAACACATTCACTCATACACACTCACTACTATACTACACCCACTACTACACACGACTACACACTCACTACTGCACACTTAATACTCAATACTCGTTACACAATGAGCACATTTTGAGAAAAGAAGTTTGAGAAAGGGAACATTTTTAGCAACACGTAAATCCCTTTATAGTTAGTTCCTCGGTTAACAGTGACATCGGTTAACGGTTTTTTTGGTTCATGTTTCACCTCCCATAGGACCCCCGTGGTGTCGAATAACGTTAACATTGTTAATGAACGGTATGTTTGTGTGATGTGCATCGTGCGCCAATTTCGGCCAATCCGAGCGCTCGTAAGCGGGGCTGAGCCATGTCCTCAGCCAATCAGCGACGCCCATTCATGAGCGTTTAGACCTCGACTGGCTTTCTTGACGTCGCGTTTTATATTTTGGCAGTGGAAACAGTTCTCTTGCAGACTCAAGTGCTTTTTACTTATTTTTCAACTTGCAAGTGAATTCGATTAACAGTTATTTTGGCCAACAGTAATTTTCGTGGAATGGATTAAAAACGTTCACCGAGGGACTACTGTATTACCTCTTTCCCACTGTATAACCGGGGGTCTTGCCAGGACCTAGACTGGCTCGGATCAGGGGTCGGCAGGTTGTTTTCCACTGCAGGACCCAAGCTATGCTGCTGACATCAAAACACAATGAACGCCCGGCATCGGCGTCGCACTTTTAAGTGTGCCAACCGATCCAACGTATGACAGAAATTGTTAACCCCTGGCCCTGCTTGCACCTCCCCAAGCCAGATTCAAATGGCTTGTGTGTGCACGTATCTATGTATGTTGAACTTCTTTTGCACCGCACATAGGCAACCGTGCTCATCGGAGGTGTAGTCTATTTCCCTATTCGGCACCTTACTAGCTAGTGTCGTCAAAGATGATCGGCACTCAGGATGGTCTGGAAACAATACAACTCTTTCACGATGATAATGATATAACGGGAACAACCACAAATCACGGCTCACTCCAGCTCGCACCATAGCTCCCCGCCCTCACTGTTCCAAAATGGCGGCAAGGAAAATGGCTCCGCTTCTTTTACCATGACGACCAAAATGTAAGTTGTCTACATTTGTAAGGTTTGGTTCTGGCTCAGCCCGGTAAACAGTCTGGTGGACGAGTGCCCCCCGCACCGTGACAGGCCCCCATGCTGCCTTGGCCCCTGGATGTGCCAGCGGTAAAAAAATGGCTTTCACGAGTTTAAAAAAAAATTGTAAGGCGCGGCGCCGGCTGCGTTGTTGCTCTTTGCGTGGCCCCGGATTCGGTCCCCCCCCCTCCCGTTCCGCCAGGTGCTGACGGCGGCGTTTGCTGTGTCGGCGTACGCCCCCACGTACTACCGCTCCGGCAACAAGCCCTTCAACCCTGTACTCGGCGAGACCTACGAGTGCATCCGGGAGGACAAGGGCTTCCGCTTCGTGGCCGAGCAGGTGAGCCACCGCTGCAGTGTGTGACGAGGAAGCTTTCGCTTCTAATCTCGTCCATATTTTTAGAGAGCGCCTTCACTCCAGGTGCCCTGACATGGCTTGCAAAGCGGTGACGGAGAATGGAATGATGTAGTTGGCGGGGAGGCGTTGCTGCCATGGATTGGTGGAATGAGTGACAGCGATATAGGGGTACATCGAGGGATCGTGGAAGGGCCACAGGGAAGGGATGGGAAGGAGTGGAGGGATGAGGGGAGAGAAGAGGAAGAGAATGGGTAATAGAGCAGAGGTGAGACGTTAAGAGAGGAATGGAAGGAGGTGTAGGAGTGGCACTGCTTAATGTACAGGGCAGTGTTGAGTCTATGGGCGGTGTTGAGTCTATGGGCGGTGTTGAGTCTATGGGCGGTGTTGAGTCTATGGGCGGTGCTGAGTCTATGGACGGTGCTGAGTCTATGGACGGTGCTGAGTCTATGGACGGTGTTGAGTCTATGGGCGGTGTTGAGTCTATGGGCGGTGTTGAGTCTATGGACGGTGCTGAGTCTATGGGCGGTGTTGAGTCTATGGGCGGTGTTGAGTCTATGGGCGGTGTTGAGACTATGGGCGGTGTTGAGTCTATGGTGCATTGTTCAGTCTATGGGCAGTGTTGAGTCTATGGTGCAGTGTTAAGTCTATGGTGCAGTGTTGAGTCCGTGGTGCAGCGTTGAGTTTATGGTGCATTGCTGAGTCTATAGTCAGTGTTGAGTCTATGGGCGGTATTGAGTCTATGGGCAGTGTTGAGTATGGACAGTGTTGAGTCTATGGGCGGTGTTGAGTTTATGGGCAGTGCTGCTCAATGTACATGGAAAGTTATTCCAGTGGAGGGGTGCGAGGAGGGAGAAGGCCCAAAAACGAATTGGGTACAGGGAGAAGGAGGCACAGAGAGAGAGACCGAGAGAGATAGAGGAGATTGTGAACAATGGCTCGAGGAAGGCAGTGAGGTTGTTACAGCCCGCTGCCGAGTCCGGTCAGGATAAGTGGGAGTCCGCGAGCCGCGTCGTCTGCGTCTGTGGCGCCCAGATGGCAGCGCACTTTGTCGCCTGTCTCAGGCCGTGTTTACATCCCTCGTAGTTTCGACCACTTCTACACAGCGCTGGTTCAGCCGAGAGGCACTTTGGTTCGAGCGCCACTATCACGTTCGGAGGGTTGCGAGTCGAACGCTCGGTTGAGGGTCGACTCGGCCAATCGTCCCTTATGATCGGCGAAATTTGTACTGGTTCGTGGGAAGTCGCCCATGGCTCATCTAATGAATAGACTTGTTCCTTACAATTGGAATGTTGAATTTCCATGAATGATTCAGGGCCACCAACGGGGATGACCGCGATTAAGTTGCTTATTTGAGAAGAGCAAAGCTTTGACTTATAATTGCGGTTAATCTTGTTAGACCGTGGGTCAGAGCAAACTTGATTAATAACAATGTATTTACGTGGCGAAGTACATACGAAGGTATACATGATAGCCTTTCCACAGTGATCACAGTCAAACATGTATTGAAGCACACAACAATGTATAGCCTAGACAGACAAATGGGGCAATTGTTTGTGATCAATTATATTAAGGCTATGGTCTATTCACAAATGTCATTTTAGGCTGATTTCACCTTCGAGAGGTTCAGACCACTTGGATGCCGTTTTGCCACCGATGCTGCGCATTGTCAGCAATCGTACCACGGTTGTTAAGACCCTAGCACGTGTGCGTGCACACGTGGAAACAGTTGCTAGGATTACATGTGGTTTGGAATGTGCATAAAATGTACTAAACCCATTTTAACACGTGCATGATCATGTACAATTCAGGAAAACCGTAAAATGCGATTGGCACATGCCAAGGCATCTAAGCATGGCCATTATTTTACCATCAGTGTTCCTAAATCTGTGGTTTATGCTGTGCCTGACCTGCATGATATTGAACGGATTTCCTTGTGCATTTGTGATTATATTTAGGTTCTTTTTTTCATTTTTTCATTCAGGTCAGCCACCATCCACCCATATCAGCCTGTCACTGTGAGTCAAAGACATTTGTGTTGTGGCAAGGTGAGTCTTAAAAAAATATATATATGCACGGCACCTTTGTTTGAACATTTTTCGTGATATTTCATTGGCTTTAAAATGCTAATTTTATAGAATATAATTCATCCAACAAAGGCCAAGTTCTCAATGTCAATGGCTTGACATTCCCGGAGATGTATGGACTGGTTTTTCAGGCCACTATTGTGTCTCAAAGTAAAGGGACATTGACAAGTATACGTGCATAATTTATCCAGACATTTCCAGAATTAAAGTTTCATAGGTCTCGTCATCGGTACACTAATCTCTGTCCAACTAAGCTTATTTAGGTTTGCACGGACTTATTCGGGTCATGGGGAATTGTCATCTCCCTTTTTGTACGAACTTCGATGTTTAAAAACTGGTTTGCCCAATAATGAATCCTCGGTGCCTGCTCAGGGTGAAAAATTCTAACTATGAGTTCCTGCAAGCATTTAATCTCCAGATCACTAATACGAATACTAGCAAGGTCACCACAGTCGGATTGTAGTTTTGTAAGAGAAAAATTACGTCGTTGCGTCTGACAGTGTATTTGTGACCTGAAATGCAAACAAATATGCTTGGATAATGTATGCACTGTCCTTGAAACTGATTGGCCTTCACTTTAGATGGTCTCATTTTTTTGGCCTCGTCCCACCAGTGCTACAGACCAAAGGTGATCAGTGCAAGGACGACGCAAACACCGACGCATTAATAGCTCGGCTTAAGCAGTTACGCCTCGTTGTAATAGGTGTCTCTTTTTGGGTGTGTGAACATCTTAACACCTGTATTGATGCCAGAGAGGGTACAAAGCTTTTTTTTTCATATTCAATAAGTAAAAAAACTGGCTAAAGGGTCGCGTGGAAATCATGCGAAATGTCTACGGAATATTAAAATGAATAGGGAGAGAGGGTCTCTGAAAAAGGCACCTGTGTGTGTGTGCCACAAAGCGTTCTGCCCATGCTGGATACTGCCTAGGGAGGACACTGGTTACGTTCACCACTCAAATTGGTACTGACCATCCCCCTCGGCTCGTGGGCTATCACGTGGGGAGGTGTGTTGCAAGCGAAGGTCATTATTGCGCGCTTGTGTGTTTGACGGTCAACATCCCCAATTTTGGGTGTAATCGCCCGCGAACAATAGATTGCAATATCTTTCACATGCACCGCATGACTGTGACCAGCAGTGTGTCGGCTGCAAAATTTGCAAGTTAATTTAATCTGCTGAAATTAAGACAACATTTTCACTATGTGTAGAGCCTGTTTGGTCTGGTGAATACAATGGCTGTACTGAAATTGTATCTGTGTAATTAAACACCAAAATTACTTCGGGATGTTTTTTACTCTCTCTCCATTACGCCAAAACACATAGACACACGCATTTTTTCTTTTTCAGCAGACGTTTCAAAACACCGCAAAGATGCCTCTTTTCATTAATCTCGCTCGGCACGGCGGTCAATTCGGCACAATTGTTCGGAGGAACCCATTTATTTTTCGTGCATGAAATGGCATTCAGCGTTCGCCGCGGACGGGAACAAATTTGCAGATCCCTCGAATAATAAATGTGCTTCGTAAGCTGGGCCTTTAAACACCACCACGCGCCCTCCTGCATGCAATTAGTTGTCTCGTTTCTGTGATACGGTGTCTGCGTCACGGCGTATTTGCGAGCCATCCCCCCCACCCCCCTTTGCATGTTTCCCGATTGTCTCCTAGACGTTCGATGGAAGAATAAATTTTGGGGCAAGTCAATGGAAATCCTGCCGCTGGGAACAGTCAGCCTCAACCTACCCAAGTGAGTGTCACCGGTCCATTCGCCCCCCGTGGCATATACATACGTAGAGGACAACCGAGGAGCCCAAATGGATCCCTATAAAAAAAGTCCACTCCTGTCCACTCGGTCTCTCGCACATTACCAGGCCGCCTCAGGGGGCTGAGGGGCTCTCGTTGTGTGTGTGCGCGTGTTTAGTTTGTTGTCCTTCCACCCGCACCTCCGATGAGCGTGGTTGGCTACGTACGGTGCCAAAGAAGTTCAATGTACTTACGTAGATGACGGTTGTCCTGGGCTCCGGGAGGTTGTTGTCGTGTGAGTGTCTCTCCGGGATGTTTTTGCACCACCCCGACAGTTGCTCTTAAAGGGGCAGCAGCTCAGCAGCAGAAATGTGCGCGGGACCATCGCAGCATCGGTATTCTTTGTAAATCTGCGTGGCACAATGCTAAATGATCCCGCTGGGTGGCACTGCCCCAATAACATTTGACTTCGCTTGCAGAATATTGTGAGTATCCATCCCAATCAGTCGTTCACTCAGCCCGTCATCCCTCTGGGGGCGGGTAGATAAAACGATTACCACTTTGTGGGTAGTTTTTTGTTATTTTTTGTTATTTTCTTTGAACATATCTACGTGACTTTACCGAAAGACCCAAAGAATACTTTGTGGGCAGTCGCGCAGTGCTTGTCCTATGGACCGACTTGCTCCAACTACAGAAGTGTGGAATTGTCACTGCTGGCTCGGGAACTATTAACAGATTAACGCCAGCCCCTTGCAATGCATTTAGGGTAGACAATTTTTGGTCGCCTTATTGAAATTGCAATGACGTGGGAGTATGTCGACTGGTAATAACAACGCTTGGGAAGATCCGACACGGACGCAGAATGCATGCCGTGGCACGGCCATGCATCGCTAAAGGACGCTAGGAAGAGCAAGAGGGCGTTGGATAGACACTGAGGAAGGACACGTGAGGAGAAAGGTTGAGCCGTGAGCAGTGCAGGAGAATTGGTGCAGAGCAGACGCGAGCGTTGGGAAGGATTTTCATTCGACCCCAAAGCTGACGGAAGGCGTAGCAAAAACAAATTGTACAATCCACCCTGCTCACCGGGGAGATGCTGGGGTGTGAATGAGTTGTTCAGAATATGGTAATCGTGCACTTTATTATTTTTGAAAGTCTCAGACTCTGATTTTGGTCTCCTCAGCAAGTTTGGCTGTTCATAGCAATTTATCCGGAGATGGCAGTTCATACGGATAATAAAACCTAACAGCCCGTGAGTGTCTCCTTCACATGCTGTGCGTGGGATTGTGCCACACTGACACATCCAGCCCGTGCAACCAATTATTAGCGCCACTGGCAGTTAGGAGCGTGACTTTAGGTAAAAAAAAAATCCTGGACGCATTTCACACCGTGACACTATTGTTGTGCGTTGTTGCATACATTTGTGCTTTAGTATTGATTCCTATTTGTTTATGACGATTAATAATCAATGTTGGACTTTGCCACCTTACATCGCGAAAATCCGAAGTCCTGGCGACAACAACAAGCTAAACACAAAAAGCGGTTGTAAAGAAATGAGTTTGTCAATCAATCTAGATGCTTTAAAAGTGCATAGGTCCACTGGCTTCCTAATATCGCAAGAAAGAGAGCATTCCAGACGGCCGCGGAAAAGCACATCATGGACGAGCGATGACGCGAGCGATGACGCGACGAAAATCTTCCATTGGCTGCGAGCTGACTTCACAGCCCATCGGCCAGAAAGCGTCGTTTTGATAGGGGGCGACTTCAAGCTGTGGTGGCAGCAGCAGCGGCAGTGGCGGCGATGTTCCTGGAAAAGCATCCCGGTGCTCGGTGGCTCGGCCTCGATGGCGATGTCAGCACAGAGCCTGAGCGTTGTTCGGTGCAGGGGGTGGGCCGCGCAGGAAATCCACACCGGGGATCTGACTGGCGCAGTGTCCCCTGGCGCCATTTGAGGCTCGCCCTCATACACACGCGTGCAGACACGCAGAGAAAAAAAGACAAAGATTCCCCCCCGCCCGCCTCTATAGACTTAACAGACTGTTTGGGGCAAGTGCTGATGGCGGAGCGCCTATTACAGCTGACACGGCACACCTCCCCAATGCTGATGCTTACAGACCAGTACCCATTAAGGCTGAGTCGACCTAGGGGGGAGGCGGACCATTTTAGATATTTGTCATTGATTTTGGCTGTGGGTGTGAATCGAACTCGGGTCGCCGGGTTCGTAGCAAAGTGCGCTAACATCTACGCTATCGCTCCCCACACACACACACACACGACTCAAATGTCTGGGGCACACCATATACTGTAATATGCTTCATTCCTCTGCCCTGGATTTTTTTTGGCCAAAGTGCCTCCTGTGACACCACTGGTAATTTGACATTGTAGTTATTTCCGGAATATAACAGAAATAAACCTCGACTCCACAAATTATCCTTCCGAAGAGATTTTTTATTTATGTACATGTTATACAATGCAGTACGTGTTGTATATCTCTCAATAGCTGGTTGGCACTGGGGTTAGGTGATAGCAAGGAGGTCGATCCTCTGGCAGTCGTTTGGCAACATTGGTTGTGTGGCTTGAAGCAGGCATTGCTTCACGCTGATTTGGATCAGCTGCAGTCCTTCCACATGCGATGCCAAAGACGCCCTCTTTGCATTTGATGGTTCGACTTCATCAGAAATGTCACCGTTGCATCTGCGACCGGTATCCTAGGGATTGAGAGCCTAGTTCGAGGGAGGAGACGGCTGTCGTGATGCGCATAGTGTCGGGATCGAATCTCACGACCTCCTGCATATACCAGACGAGGGAGATAACATCTCGCCACTGCTTTTTGTAGCGGTTGGAGCATCGCTCGAATCGCATTTTTGCGCCCCCACGCTGCCACGGCAGGTACGGCGACCTGTACGAGTGGAACAAAGTGACGTCCTGCATCCACAACATCCTCAACGGGCCACGCTGGATCGAGCACTACGGCGAGATCACCATCCGCAACCGCCGCAGCGGGGGCTGCAGCTGCAAGCTCACCTTTGTCAAGGTGCGGAAAAGGAGACCCTATATCTGTCATGCAAATGTAGAAACTTTTCATTTTATATATTTGGCACAAAGGCCAAAAATGTGAAGCGGCCAGCAACAAGCAGCACTATCGAAGGTGTGAAACATAAAGAGTTAATACGTTGTCTTGAATTGAATTGAGCAAGGCTATTATAAGAACTGCGGAATACGCGACCACGGGAGGGAATTCCCAAGTTGAGCAGTCCCAGGAAAGAAGCAGGGAGAGAGTAAAGTGTTTTGCCCTGCGGTGGGGTGTTGTCGAACACAACCCGGATGAGGTGCAATGCTCAGTCTGGGCCCCCACCCATGGGCAGAGGAATCAATGCGCTCAGCTCAGCTCTGGAACGTATCCGACACTGGCCCTGCGATCGCGTCGACCTGTCACGATCGCGAGCGGTCCGTGGGCGGTCAACGTGAGCGTCCGCGCGTGTTCTGCGCAGGGAAACTACTGGAACTCCAACGTGAACGAGGTGCAGGGAGCGGTGATGGATGCCGACGGCAAAGTGTTGCACCGGCTCTTCGGCAAGTGGCACGAAGGCCTCTACTGCGGCGTTCCTCCCTCCGCCAAATGCATCTGGAGGCCAGGTCGGTGACCCGATGCACGCGCGTGCCCGAATCTGTCGTCAGCCTCTCGTGTACCCAAGGCGTATGTCGCAAGTCGGCCAGGTGTGGTGACAATGCGTGGCGTGTAAATCCAGCGATGTTAGACGTGGCGGTTGGTGGATTGCGGGGAGGTGGAGTTGACGTCTACGTAAGGCAACCACTTGCAGGGCAATGTATGTATGCACGCGTGTTGAACTCCTTTCGCACCGTACGTAGCCATCCGTGCTAATCGGAGGCACGGGAGGGAAGGACAACAAACTTAACACAAAAACGATATTCTAAAAAATTTAGTTTTCGGTCGACATTTAAAAGTGCATATCTGCAGTGGCTTCCTAATATCGGAAGCAAGAGCGTTCCAGACGGCCGCAGAAGCGCATCTGAAAGCGCGCGATGCGGTGACCGTCTTTCTTCGATGGAAGCCAAAAGCCGCTGTGTGGATGACCAGGGTTCCCGTGATGTTCTATGCTCCTTTGACGTTATCAACGAGGTATCGTGGTTCATTTGTGGCACTCGCTTTGCGTGTAATGAGTGCGGCCTTATAATAATGTACTTTGTTTGGCAACAACAAGCCAATGCAGCTCGGCCAGCACTACGTGGGCACGGTCGGATCTTGCAGTACCCGTCATGACGCGCGCTAAAGGGTTTTGTTCTGCCTGCAGAAGGCAGAACAGGAAGCTGAAGGTTTTAACCAGGCGAGAGCACGAGAGACCAGGGTCGTCTTAATTATCATCGTGATTTGGTTCACCAGGCTTCTGACATATCTCTCTCTTGGGGGATATGGGAAACAAATGCACGCAAATTACAAATTATCGCACAAATGTAACGACGATGCCCAGGATGAGTTATCCTTACCGGTGTTAGGTTCATTATTTCGAAACCAATTGGGTGTCACAAAGGGGACGCAGCCATGGTGTAATGGTTAGCAGACATCTCGGTGAGATGACAAAGTCATGTTTTTTTACTTCACTCGAATTACTTTTTTATATATATTTGACAAGAGCCAGGTACAAATCACGAAGCGTAACAAAGGAAGGGGCTTGCAGAAATTCCCTGGACAAAAGCCCAAACTGACTACCCCTGCGGTTTAAGGGAGGGGGGCAAATGTGGGCTCACTGCCCCACTCACGCAGGGACTGCGAGTGGGAGTGTCGATTTTTACATGGGGGGGGGGGGGGGGGGTGGGGAAGACGAGGGAAGAGGGACAAGAGTGAAGGGAAAAAGAGGGGTGGGTGGCGGGGGGAGTCACTCAAATGACTTTTAACATCCAGTGGCTTCAGTCTACACATAATCACCCATAGCATCCTCTCGCAATACCTCTATAAGTGTGATTGCTCAATATGTGTGTGTCTCCACGAATCTGTGTACAAGCTTCTGCTCCTGCGGGGAAAAAAATTCAACATTCATTAACGTCTCACAACCATACCAAACGTACGGGTGAATTACTTATTCAAAAAATATCCCACGCTACGTTATTTATATACTCCACAACGACACCACTCATTATTTTGCGTTATGCATTACGTCATTTTTCATCGCAATACGATCCATATCTTAAAGGGAGGGTCCTTGCCTGTAGCATCTGGGAATTTGCCAGCAATGATTCAAGTCAGTCTGACTCTGCCAATGAGACACTGCATGTCGAAACAAGGTCCAGAGTTTGCTTCGATCGAATCAAAGCCGCTGAAATTGTTCATTCCCGGGAGGCCGCGGGGCCAATCGGTTGTGTAAAATACTTTTAGTCATTGTGGGGAGACAGATATATGACGGAAATGTATTGTCTGCTTATATACTTGTTATTTACAAAGTACTAAATATTTAGGGATTTAGTGAAAAACCCAGCTTTATATCATGTTATGTTTTATACAATTGTTGACACCTGAGCTGAGCTCACCACACTTTCTGTGCAAGTGTCATGGGTTCACTTGAGAGACACACTGATTCAGGAGGCAACACCATTTATTCTATAACCACAACAGGGTAACTAGATAAACCACAACGGGGTAACTTCACAAACGGGTCAGGTCCGTCGGCACACTGCCTGACCCACGATGCCGAGCACGAAGACCGAAGACGGAAGAGAAGACGTAGCACGGCAGGTTCCATTCCAGCAGACAGCCCCGATGGGAGCCCGGGACCTCCCTTTTATGGCCCCAGCTGCGGCCTGGCTCCTCCCTTGGCCACGCCTCCTTCTGGAGCTTCCCAGAAGATTCTGGGCCATGCACCACGTGTCCCTTCTGTCACCTTTGACCCCTGTCATATCACGTATCCTTGCCAGCCAATCGGACTACTACGTCCTTAAATGCCCCCTACTCTGCCAGCCCCCAGAACCATGCTCCCCTAGAGACCTTTCCCATGGCATCGTGACCTCTGCTGGCAGAGGGCTATGACACACGCAATTCCTCTCTCTGTAGGTAGATGGCGCTAGGCGCCGTAGTGACCCACTATATGTCACTACACAAAGTGCTCGTATGTCAGCTGTGCCAGTTCACTACCACGACTCATTTGTGCCAGTACCCTCCTGGGCTGCGCATGTACCTCCCTCGTCCTAGCATCTCACGCAGATCTGGAAGAACGCTGGCGAACAGACTGGAACAACGCGGGTGTCCAAAGCAACACGTTATTTTAGATCCAAACATCGCACCACATGGCTTTGACGTTCCTTGAAGTCACTCCGTCTAGCATGTGGCTAGTATGTGCAAGTCACACGTCCAAGTTTATGTCTTTGAGCCATGCGATAGCTTCGGAGGTAGCACGACTCATGCTGCTCAGTCCGCCGGAGAGCTGGGCGTAGGATGGAGTTGTTTGCGATACGGTGGTTCCATTGTATGATTCGGCTGGCCGCAATCACTCTGTGGGTTCTCATAAATTCTCCACTTGCTGGAGGAGATGTGACGCAGTTGTGGCAGATCAAAGTCACTGGCGAACTATCCATCACACCAGAACATCTACAAGCCGACGCACACATCTCCTTCATATACGTACAATTAAATACGATCCCCAGGAGTGCGATTGTGACCATTCAACCAAATTATGGACCGTCCAGTAAACCAATAGAGCTACATACAGATGCACAGAGATTCATAGAGTCCCATAGAGATAGATATCCATAGAGACAATTAGAGACTCGTAGAGATACACAGAGGCTCGTAGACACTGAGATACATAGAGAACTCGTAGAGACCCATAGAGATACATTAAAGATCATTCACAGTAGTGCAAATGTGGCCATGTAGCCCAAACTATGGACCACACGGTAAAAACACGACAGTCTGCGCTGCTTCAATAGAGGAGGAAGAGCGACACGACACAAACGCCTGAAGCTCTCTCGTCGTGACCAGCAGCAGCAGCAGGACCTCAACATCGAGCTCCTGCAACCACGTGGCCATGCACGAGAAGAGAATCGCTCCTCTTGCTCTCACATCTGCCCTTTGCCCCCCCCCCTGCCCCCCTCCAACACTGCGCGCTGCCCCAGGCTCGATGCCCAATGACTACCAGCTGTACTACGGCTTCACGCGTTTCGCCATCGAACTCAACGAGCTGGACCCGGCCATGGCGGCCGTGCTGCCACCCACGGACACGCGCTTCCGCCCCGACCAGAGGTGGGACTCCCCGTCGCATGCGCTCTGCGCTGGATAGGCGACGCAGTGGTGTGTCATGGAGAATTTTTAAAAAAATTGCAATTTAATTGCGATGGTGTTGTTGAACACATCCGTAGGCTTTCGCGTCCAGTACTATCCACGGAGGTTTCTTTTTTTTGTGTTAGAGCGTGTAAATATATTTTTTTAAACTTCTAATATGGGCAAGGTATTGGTTTTATCTTGATTTAAAGCTTTGGTGACTGCAGGGATTCATATTCGTGGTTTTTTCGGTAAAGTCACGTAGAAGGGAAATAATAAAATAAAATAGAGCAATTTTTATTTTATTATTTTCACGTAGAAGGGAAATAATAAAGTAATATAAAACAATACATATTTTATTATTTCCCTTATACGTGACTTTACCGAAAGAACCAAGAATATGAAGAAGGTATTGTTTGTTAAATGGTATTTGGGGTGCCACGATGGCGAGATGTTAACTACGTCGTCTGGTATACAAAGACAAAGGTCCCTCATATAGCCTTAACAGACTGTAGGGGAAAGTGCTGTTAGCGAACACCTATGAAGGGCGGAACAGCACACGAGGGGGTGCGTGGCCAATACCACGCCCGACCGCCTTTGTCTCCCCAGTGAAGATGTTTATGCACCACACCAGGTACTCATTTGAGTCTGAGTCGACCTAGAGGAGGCCCAGGATCGGTTCAGATAATCGCCACCGGTGTTGGCCGTGAACAGGAATCGAACTCGTGTCGCCGGGTTCGTAGCGCAGCACGCGTGTGCGCGTTCGTGTGTATTACGCATGTGCCCGCGTGTCGCGTGCGAGCCACAGGTTACTGGAGGAGGGGAATGTGGAGGCGGCGAGCGAGGAGAAGCGGCGCGTGGAGGAGACGCAGCGCGAGCGACGGCGCAACCTCGAGGAGATGCATCTGCAGCACCAACCGCGCTTCTTCCGGTGACGTCTCTCAGTGACACTCGAGCCTGGCAACAACCCCTACAGCTCACCCTGACAATAACCCCTACACCTCACCCTGACAACAACCCCTACAGCTCACCCTGACAATAACCCCTACACCTCACCCTGACAACAACCCCTACACCTCACCCTGACAACAACCCCTACACCTCACGCTGACAACAACCCCTCCACCTCACCCTGACAACAACCCCTTCACCTCACCCTGACAACAACCCCTACAGCTCACCCTGACAATAACCCCTACACCTCACCCTGACAATAACCCCTACACCTCACCCTGACAACAACCCCTACACCTCACCCTGACAACAACCCCTACACCTCACCCTGACAACAACCCCTACACCTCACCCTGACAACAACCCATACACCTCACCCTGACAATAACCCCTACACCTCACCCTGACAAGAACCCCTACAGCTCACCCTGACAATAACCCCTACACCTCACCCTGACAACAACCCCTCCACCTCACCCTGACAACAACCCCTACACCTCACCCTGACAACAACCCCTACAGCTCACCCTGACAATAACCCCTACACCTCACCCTGACAACAACCCCTACACCTCACCCTGACAACAACCCCTACACCTCACGCTGACAACAACCCCTCCACCTCACCCTGACAACAACCCCTTCACCTCACCCTGACAACAACCCCTACAGCTCACCCTGACAATAACCCCTACACCTCACCCTGACAATAACCCCTACACCTCACCCTGACAAAAACCCCTACACCTCACCCTGACAACAACCCCTACACCTCACCCTGACAACAACCCATACACCTCACCCTGACAACAACCCCTACAGCTCACCCTGACAATAACCCCTACACCTCACCCTGGCAACAACCCATACACCTCACCCTGACAATAACCCCTCCACCTCACCCTGACAACAACCCCTACAGCTCACCCTGACAATAACCCCTACACCTCACCCTGACAACAACCCCTACACCTCACCCTGACAACAACCCCTACACCTCACTCTGACAACAACCCCTCCACCTCACCCTGACAACAACCCCTCCACCTCACCCTGACAACAACCCCTACAGCTCACCCTGACAATAACCCCTACACCTCACCCTGACAATAACCCCTACACCTCACCCTGACAATAACCCTGACACCTCACCCTGACAATAACCCTGACACCTCACCCTGACAACAACCCCTACACCTCACCCTGACAATAACCCCTACACCTCACCCTGACAACAACCCCTACACCTCACCCTGACAATAACCCCTACACCTCACCCTGACAACAACCCCTCCACCTCACCCTGACAATAACCCTGACACCTCACCCTGACAACAACCCCTCCACCTCACCCTGACAACAACCCCTCCACCTCACTCTGACAACAACCCCTACACCTCACCCTGCCAACAACCCCTACACCTCACCTTGACAATAACCCCTACACCTCACCCTGCCAACAACCCCTACACCTCACCCTGACAATAACCCCTACACCTCACCCTGACAATAACACCGATGCACTATACCTGACCCTGACTCTAACCCTATTCCACCTGACTATGATCATAACTCGAGCCCCATACCTGACCCTGACCCTAACTGTAACCCTATAAATTACCATGGTAATAATCCGCTATGATAGCTGAGGCCGACTGCTCCTACCCCGATGCCTGGCCCTAACCCGACCGTTTATACCTGATCATAACCATAATCCTACCCCTATACCTGACGATGAAAATTCCTACCCGATACCTGACGTGAACTCAAACCCTATCCCCATACCTGACCGACAAAAATTATACCGCTATAACCGTTACCCTCAGCCTTCCCCTATACCTGACCCTGACCATAACCCTTCCTCGATACCCTGACCCTACCAGCGATTAGCACTGTGGGTTACGTACAGTGTGAAAGAAGTTAAACATGCATAGATACAGCCACTAAACCAGATGCTGACCCTAACCTTACAGTAACCCTGCCATACAACATAAACACAACAACAACGTCTAACACTAAATGAAATTTGAAAAATAAAATCAGCATGCCAGTGGACTGAAAGAAGAATGTCTAATCATCATCATCAGCTGTGCTCTATCCACTGCTGGGTGAAGGCCTCTCCCAATCAATTGCCAATCGTTCGTAGACTCACAACGCGACGATCCCTTTAGCTGCCGCACACGACCTGTGACCTCATCGCTCCATTTCCACCGTGGTCGTCCTCTCGACTTCTATTGGTTGGGTTGGCTGCCAACCTAAACCCCCACCGTGCTCCTTTGACCGCCGGCCATCACCCCTCCCCAAGCGACATGTCCTGCCCAAGCTACCTCGACACACTTGACACCTCTGCCTTTTAGACACTTTTTGCTGTGAACCTCAGAGTGTAATGATTTTCTGCCACTTGTTTCCACATCCCCATTTCTGTGAATGTTACCCACCCCCCCACCCCTGCCCCCTCCCCCCCACCCCTGCCCCCCCACCCCTGCCCCCCCACCTCTGCCCCCATCGCAGGAGAGTGGTGGACTCCAGCGGCCGGGAGTGCTGGGTAACGAACGGAATCTACTGGGAGCTGAGACGAGAATCTGGGTTCGCGAAACTGGAAAGCCAGATTCTCTGGTGACGTCCTCACCCGGGGGGGGGGGGGGGGGGCGCGGTGTCACACCGGAGGGGCACATTCATATTCAAACGTAAGACCCATTAGGTGTGCTCCATCAGGACCTGCCACTATAGCCCAATTATTACCAGGCAGGTGGAAATCCCACCGCAGTTTTACAGCGGTCATTTGGCCCCGCCCCGTTCTCGCAGTCCCCTCCCACTCATTATCCTAGCCCCTCCCCCCGTTTAGAAGTTGGCTATACCCCCCCCCTCTCCCTTCCCCAAAAGGCTCTTTGCCCCTTCTGTGCACTCATATACCAGTTAAGACTTCCGTTTGGTTGTTATATAAAGTATATATGTAAAAAATACCATAAAGTCATATAAATTGAGAAAAACAAATATTACGTATTATACAAATTGTCCGTATCTTATAGGGAAGTGTATCATAGCACGAATTCAATGCAAAGATTATGTATAGCGCGATAGCCTGTGCAGCTCTGGAAACAAGCTGCGTGCATTTTTTTTTCTTCTTTCATAAACCTGCTATGAATGTTGCAACATTTGCACAATTTCTAATTTAAAGTCTTCACCGGCGGTGGTGGTGGTGGCGCCGATGATAATCGTGCTAGGAGAATACTATGACACGTGCAATTCTGTTCTCATCATTAACAATGCTGTAACGACTGAAATCCGCAAACGTTGTTCTCTGCTTCCGTTCGAGTTAACGGATAAAATAGGACTTACAGAAAATAAATATATATATTTTTGCTGCTAAATTTCGAACTTTACATTTTGCATGTTGATATAAATGATGAGCATCGTATTTTAAAGGGTGGAAAATTATTACGATGAAACAATGTTTTCCTATTTAAACTGTAATAATTATTAGCATTGTAAGTAATTCTCTATTAGCTACTGTCAGAAAATGATCCCCATACATTGTGATATTAGCACTTAAACATCAATATAACCTGTATTCAAATAAGCAAATAATAATGTACGACCCTTTGTCAAATCCACTGCTAGATGAAGGCCTTCCCACACGGTATGATTTACGGTGATACGCTATTACCGCAGTAACAAGATATCACCAGCTGCAATGCGCAAGACCTCTCCGCTTTCGTGAGAAACAAATATGTCCCTTTGACTCCTTTCCACAAGTCAGTCGTGGGTTTTCCCCGTCCATAAAACGTTGAGAAATACTCGCAAGACGACTGATGGGCACGACCTCTCCTGCGTCAATTGTGAATGGCGAGTCATTAGACATCGTTCTGTCACTGATCAAATGACACACTGCTCCACGCACAAATGGTAGTTTTCAATTGAGGCTCGCAGTCCCATTGATCGCACAGCTGAAACTCACTGAAGCCCCTTAAGGCTCCCTCCCGTATAGAGGGTTTCGTATTTGACTTCATGGCTCCGCAACGCAACGGGCTTTGACAAAAAAACTACTAAATATTTTTTTGTGGAAAAGTAGTGATTTGTAAACTGTGTAATCCGCATCATCATCATGATGAAAGGCCTATCCACTACTGGATGAAGGCCTCTCCATGCGATTGCCATCCCTCACAGTCCTGTAATACTGTCAGCGGTAAATCTTTAAAACATTGAAATGGTGTGATGTCGACTGATCTCTTGTCGCGTCTAAACAAGCTGCAGACGATTTACTTAAAGCTCATTTCATTTTGCACGTTCGGTTTCATAAAATTCGCCAATTTTTCAGTTTAATATCACTTGTGTCGTACTTGTTTACTATCGTTTGTAGTCTTATCGTAAATTTTAATTTTCAATGGGTTGAGCAAGTGAGTCTTTGTTAAATCGCGTGAGGTCGAATCACAAAATGCGTTTGCTATTCAAGGGGAAATTAAAAAAATAAAATGTAACCACTTTTGGCAATGACTCCCTTAAATCAGAAAACTATTTCGACTTAGATTTAGGGCAGTTGGGCCTTCTTCCAGGGCTCTCAAATACACATTAATCTATGCCATTGCACAACTGCTAATGCAGTCCCTCAATTAAGACTTTACCTGTTTTATTTCGGTTGTGCTCTTGCCATCGTGTAACGAGGTGGTGCCATCGCTCCGGAACTTGCACAGGAGCGGCGCTTCCACCCCATGTTAGAGAAGAGGCCTCGGCATTTAAATTATTTTCATGGTTAGAAGTGGACACCACAGATCTACTTCTTCAATCCCTTAAAGTGACCTTTTTTAAATCTATACACAGCGGGTGGGAAACTTTGCCCATGCCCCCTTGCTGCGGGGGGAGATATTCGCTGCATTGCAGTCAAATTTTGTTATTCATTCTCAGAGCTGTAAGTTGGTCGTCAGGTTAAGAGAAAAAGACAAAGTATAAAGTGACGGGTATTTTTTTGTGCAGTCATTGGTGACCGGCTAAAACGAGATAATCACGAGACTTGAGAATCTGGTATTAGAGTATTTGGCTGCTATAAATTTTCACTGAATACGCCACCTCGCTGAGCTATTGTTTGTGGCCAGGTCGCTTCTGTAAAAGAGCTAAATAGTTCAGTGGGCCTTATCTGGTAAAATGAAAAATAGTTTAATCACAGGGAGCCAAAACCCAGAGTCGAACCGGGCATCTCAGCAGTGCTGGCTCGGTGCTTTGACCTCTTGAGCCCCGTGGCTGGCATAGCCCCGAATTTTTATTTTAAAATTTTTACAACGTAGACCTGGGACGGAATAAAAAAAGATGATTACAAGCAAGATACAAATCAACCGTGATAATCGCACCTCTGATTAGCACGGTTGGCTACGTACGGCGTGAAAGAAGTTCAACGTACAGTACATAGATACAAAACAACGATGGGAGCAACTCATCTGTTGGTGGAGGGGACACTGAATGCTGGTGAATCACTCCGTCTCTCTTCGGAGCGAACGGAGAATCGGGTAGATGGACTGCACTGCCAGGTGCAAATTGCCCTTCGGAGACTTATGAACGATAACCGTTCTTGTTTAAATTTACATTTTAAGCTCTGGAGCCTGTCTTGTATTTGGAAACTAATGTGGGCACATGGAATCTTAATTTCTTTTAGGAACAATTGCCCACGTTATGTGCTATGAACCCGGGTGACCGTGAGTTTGATTCTCGGCCTTAGCGAGCATTCAGTGGCGAGTGATACCTTAAGCGGTCTTGAGCCTCCCTTCACCAACCCTCACTAGCCAGCGAAGTGAAGTGTGGTCAAACAACCACCGCGATCGCCATGGCGCCAGAGGTCCTTCATCTAGCAGTGGTTTGACAAATGTCTGAAAGTTATTATTGCGAGCTGTTTGCCAATTTACTCAATGGCAGATGAAAAAATGTAGCAAAACAAATTTTGATCTCCAAATGGTTAAATACATAACATCAAATCGATTTAAGTTTCATATCACGTTTTGCAGTGATTCCGTTAAAGTTAATGTATTCATTATTTATCGATTACAGGCCATTACTTAGGTGAGTGTGCATAGCGTAATCTAATCTCGTGGTGTTAAAACATATAATTCGGTTGAAGTCAAGAAAATCAATTTGCTCTGGAGAGCCCCACTAGAGAATATTTGGCCTACTTCTCTGTGCTGGCCAGCCGTTTTCTAAGAGGTGGAAGTAGCCACACTTAACTCCACCGCGCGCGACCAACCGATTGACTAAACTACCTGCGATGTACAACATCTGATGCCGCTGGGTCGACAGCGGCCGGGGGGGAGGTGGATTTAAGACATTTTGAGAAACGTGGCTCTGTTGTTTAAAACTTACCACGGATGCCGGTCGATGGAACCGGAGATTTCCTGGCTTTGCAAGTCGATTTGTGCTAAACTGTTACATCACAACAGCCGCACTCCTCGCCCCGCGCCTGCCCTAGTGCGCGCCCGCGCGGGGATTGATGTCAAAAAGGGATTGAGAAAATTCAAGGCACGTTTACGGCTTCCAAGAACCTTGTTCCAGATTCATGAGATCTCTGTGTCGGGGATGATATTTTTTTGTTTCAATTATATAATTGATTTTTACCGTATTTATTGTTTGTTGTCGTCATGGAAAGCTCATCTGCCTTTGATGTTTTCCAGCAGACCCGTTGCCTCCGTCAGTTGAACCACACTTGACTATGGAAAACCTGCGTAAAGCTCCGTATGGATAATGACAGAGCGCGTAATTGTACCAATATTTCGATTTAAAGCTTTCATGACTGCAGGGATTCATATTCTTGGTTCTTTCGGTAAAGTCATGTAGAAGGGAAATAATAAAATAATTAAAAATATTAAAAATAAAACAATAAAATTGTTTATTTTCAGACGGATGGACGAGTGTCCACCTTAGAACACATTCCTGCGGAGGGAGCTGGTAGGAACGTTGGGTTGCTCGGTCAATGGCCAGGGTCAACGGCGGCGTGGTGTATTCCGCAAATATGGCCGACTGTGAGGGCGGGCACAAGTCGGCGTGAGTAGGTTAAATGTTGAGTTTTATAAGGGCACCACGGGGTGACCAGCCCCCTCCCCACCCAGCCCCACCCCTCCCACCCCCCACCCAGCCCCGCCCTCCCCACCCTCCCCTCCCCACCCAGCCCAACCCTCCCCACCCAGCCCCTCCCCACCCTCCACTCCCCACCCAGCCCCTCCCTCTCCATCCAGCCCCTCCCCACCCTCCCCTCTCCACCCAGCCCCACCCCTCCCATTTTTGGATGCACGATGGACGGACGGACACAATAATCCCCTGTGGGCTGGTGGAACCAGGAGGTTCCTACCAGTAAAATTAACCTTTCCACCACTGGCTCAGAATTGCAAATCGAGATAATCGGCCAGCCAATGATCAATCGATCGCAGAGGCCACGCTTAATGACATTCTTTCACTGCAGCGTTATTGAACGCAATTATACAGCCATACTGCAGATTAAAAACGACCGTTTTTTCCTTTCCAAGAATACATTGAAATAAATGCTGTAATTATTTTCCATTCGTCATGTACGGGGAAAGGATACTTACCCAGGATCATTCCTCCTGTGGCTGTGCTGTTTAGCTCAACTACGTATGTTCTGGCCATAGCGCATTGTTGTTCGGCAAAGACGTTCGACGTTAGGATAGCGGCATGGCCTAGCGGTAGCGCGTCCGTCGAATTGTCGCAGACGTTCACGATTCGAATCCGGCAGGCCACCCTGATTATTACCGTAATCATACGCACCGTCTGCTTCATGGTGAAAGTTTAACATCCATTGATGTCATTTGCAGGAATAATGCCATTGTGTGCTGGCATCATGGCCCGACCTGCAAATTGCTCAATTGAGATCATCCCAGCAGTCGTCGCCCCCCTACTGGCAGATTGATGCCTCAGGTCACTCTTGCAAATGAGACTCACCTGGTCTTTTGGAGTTTTTCACCTGGTTCAAGAAAATATAACATTCCTGGGAGCTTCTTCAGGAACTGAATTACAGGAGTTCAAGCATGTAAACAAAAATTTGCATCGAGTATGTACACTGTTTTGGATTAATTCAATTCAGAGTTTTTTTCCCCCTGCAATCTGAGATTTCATAGGAAGGCAAGTCTGAATATGTCCATCTTGCACAGACCACAGAATTGGATGGTATTCCAGATTGTTGGGATTGTGAGAGGGCTTCGTCCTCCCGGTGTCGGGTTAACGATTCTGGCCTGGGCAAGTCTTGTTGTTCCGGTACAACACAAATATACATAGCTGAGCGTTCTTTACCCAGGAATGCCCTGTGTGGGTTATGTGTTTGTCGCTGAGATGTGATTAATACATTGCCTCTTTCCTACCCCCGTTGTCCTGTTCAGACTCTGCCTGAAGCCAGGAGGATATTGTTACGATATCAGAGATGTGTACGTTATCTATAATGAATATTACTGCTGCGGCTATGTACATTCTTGCGGTTAAGACATTTGTGTGTTGAGAAGCTTGGATCTTTTAAAGAGGCACTGTGTAGGCAGCATGTAGTGACAATCATCGTAAGTTGAGATCTTTAGCCAGGCAAGCCTCATAGAATCTGAACTCTTTATTAGGGCTTCCTGCATGAAATGTTCTGACCGATTGTTTTGGGTTTTTTTGCACGTAATTATAATCTGGTTCAAATATATATTTTATGATAATGCTCAACTGCCACACATAGGGCTCATCAGAAATCAACTTTCTGTACTGCCCCTGTAAGGCAATCCCTTACCCAGAACGTTGGTATATTTCACGCACATGATCTCTGCGTGACCCGCCAACCCCACCACTAAATTTATATATAGGCATGTAGTGCCACCAAGAGCTCGTCCGTTTGTGTATAACCATGTATGTTGATAATATGTTGAACTTCTTTTTCACCTCACGTAGCCAACCATGCTAACTGGGGTATACTACTGTAGATGCACAATATCCATGTGTATGCTGTATATGCAGACATCTATTATACATCAATATACACTCAAGAATATAAATATGATGTCCCTGCCATATGAATGTGGAATATTCAACCACTGGCTCCGGGCCACCAAAGGAATACTGCTACATACACAGAACTCTTATCCGCAGCCCTATTATCCGCTACTCATCTTATCCGCAGTCCTATTACCCGCTACTCATCTTCATCTGCAGCCCACTGAGCTAATAGCTCAGCTGGCTTTACCTGCTACATTTGAAATTGTTTAGTTTGAGTGATTTGCTTACCTTTCCGATACGTTGCACCCCTATCGTTTTTTTTTGGGTATTTTCTGTTGTAACTTTCTGACCCGCCCCTACTGGACATGTGTGAAAAAGAGTGTTTCATAGCTCATCGGATTCCTGCAGTATGAATAAAGATACTGGTTCTGATTCTTTACAGTTCATTAAAACCCATCGGCATTAGCTGTAGGGGCCATGCACACCTTCAATCGCATTTTTGGCGTCGCGGGTGTCTGACCGGGATGCCAGCAATTGATTCGCTGGTTCCTGCAAGAGGCATGGTGTTTCTTGAGACATTCACCTGCTGGGTACTGAGATTGCCACATGAGACAGTACAGCCAAGCAGGTTGTCTGGCTGGCCATCAGGTGCAGAACGCACCAGTTGTTCAGGTGCACGTGTGGCTTTCCTCCTTGCGCCCTAGCTAGCCTCACGGCAACGCGCACAGATGACGCCCCCGAATCGAGTTGATGAGACGTTCCCAGCACAACCCCCTCTGCAAGAGTGACACAGACCGAGGCTTTTGTGGGTTAAGGCGGTGATTTCAACTACTTTGGATTAAATATAGAAATGCTGAAATGTAATTGTAAGAAAAAAATGAACATTTATAATATGTGCAATCAAAAGTGATATGTTTTAAATATACTATCATTCGTTTACGGCCCCTGCAACCCTCGCCCAGACTCCCTGTCCATCCTTCGTGCCAGAATTACCTTCAAGATCGCTTGCCTTTGCTCCCGCACCCTAAAATCCGGCTACCCACCGTACCGAAATTCTCTGCTGACGCCTGACACCACTTCAACGATTCGTAGACACCTTCACAGTGCGACGCGGGACCTCCTTGAAACCCCCAGGACAAGGACTGTCATTGCTTCTTCTCGTCGTTTCTCCGTCGCAGCCCCCCGTCATCTGGAACGCCATGCCCCCCCCTATTCACATCTGTAACGATCAATAGTTTTCTTCGTCTAAACACCATCTCAAGGCACGCCTCTTCAGCTCGACATTTAACGGAGTCTCACCGGACCGCGCGACACGATCTGACACCGAGTTCCGCTTCACGCCTCAGAATTGCGTCTTCGGTCCGCAACATTGTGCGCGTTATAAGTTGTATTATTATTATTGCAGCTTATGAAGACGCTTTGGGTACATTGGGAGTCGGCATTAATGCACACGGCCTGTTGTGATCACAGCCTTGTGTTTTAACAACAATAATAACCATGACTTATTTACCCAGGAAGTCACACTGAGTCCAAGGACTCTCTTTGTCAGGAGGGTCCTGCATTGGGTTTAGTTTTGTTGTTGTTAAGATGTTTGCACGTGGGAGGAAACCGGAGGGCAAGGAGAAACCCCACACGTGCGGTGGGGGAAACACTCTATCCCATACAGATGGGACACATGATCCCATACAGATGGGACAGATTATCCCATACTGATGGAACAGATCGTATATATTAATCCGCACTTTGCCGTGCCACCTTCTGGCGAGCCAGATTGGCATCTTCCCCTAACGCCCATGAGGAGGGGGGTTTCACAACAATGTTTGCGATCCAATCAACCCTCGCCTCCACGGTGCTGGATTACAAGGTGCACATAAGCCACCACCACCGACCAGCTAATAAGTGCCTCCCAAAAATGATAGGTTTTCTTAATTTTCTACGTGCAAATTTGAGCCATACTCTTTGCAAATTATATACAAGGCCAAGAATGCGTACGTTAGGTGCGGTTTCAGATTGATATTAAATTGATATTAAACGCATGCACTCCCTCACTGCGTTATTTAATTTTTAAAGACATTAATTCGTAACAACACGTGTTCCGTGATGTGTACGTGAGGGCTAGTTTGTAATTTACATTCTAAACAAATTTAAACTCAACCCTCGTGCATTCTGTAATTACGTGAAAATGCATTGTTTAACAATACGTTGTATAATGCTATAAAGTACGTGTAGGTATAAAAATGTACACACTCGCACAAACATCAAGTTCAAGTTCAAGTTCATTTATTAGGTATAGCCCTGTGAGCCATTCAGCTCTTGAATCGGGTGCAACCGCAACAAACAAAAAACAAAAACATGAACAAAAAAACATCTTAAAGTGAATATGGACAATGAGTGGACCTTGTGCATATATTTTGGAAAATGTCAGCCTTTACGATGCATCCATCTTCTGACTTTCATACGAATGCAGTGCCTCTTTAAAAGCCTGTGCTCATATTTGTGTTGCAGCCTTAATGCTTTCAATGGTTGTCGGATCACTTAAGGAAATGCAATCTTTTGCAATCATGCATCATCTCGACCAAAGGTTTATGGGCACCGGTGGACGTTTAGCGAGTTTTTTTGCCGGCAGTTTGCTGGTAAATCACCTCATTGCTTCAGTCTCGGATCGGAGAGCGGAAATGCTAATCAAGTGCAATTTCAACTGTAATCTTTTGGTTAACCGAGTGGAGGTCTTTGTTGATCTGTACGTGCTTGCAGCGAGACATAAAATCTATTTGCTTATTTTATAAGTCTTGTCGAGTGATTTTCTCGCGTGGAGTTTGAACTCGCGTGCCGGTGTGACGAGGTGTAACGTTGATGATACTTTCCAGACTTCGGTTAATCCGCTGCTGGGTGATGCCCCCCACAACCTCCTCCTCCTCCACACCATGTGGGTCATTGATGTTATCTGGCCATGCTTCACCACACTGGTGAGTACAGATTGGTAGAGAGAAAGCACCCAAGGACCGGTTCATATATCGCTCACCACTCCACCTGAGGTGACAGACTTAATTCACAGCGTGGTACACTAACCACTGCAACTACCACTCCCCATGAAAAATGCATTCTATTATTTGTACGTTATGGTGTATTCTTGGTGTGTTTTTTTATGAGCTAGTCTTAAAAAGCCTACTACATTATTCGATTGCAACAATTGTCTGGTTACCTCAGGAGACAATTACCAAATGCACCATCTCACTTGTACAACACACTTTTTCTGGCATAAGGTATTCCAACGGGTTTAAGGTAATTTTGGGGTGCTGATTCCAAATCTGGCATCAGTTTTTGTCTATCGAATATTGAATTTTCAATAAAAACTGCAGAAGAAAAATATTAAATAAATGTGGATATCTACATTAAATGATATTATAAACACACTATCCTAAAAATACAGCACCATATTTTAACACTAAAGCAGTCACTGACTCGCAACAACTTGCAATCATAAGTGATAGTTAATTTCGGGTAAAATCAATGAAAATGGGGTATGCCGATAACATAAAAATGAGATGTGATAGAGCAAATCTGAGATCAGATTTGGAATCAGCACCCTGAAATTAGTCTAAAACAGCTGCAAAATTCCAGGCCAGAAAAAAAGTTTTTTTTGTTGACCGGTGTTATCTTTAGTTTCACCTATAGGCAAGTGAACGTCCGTGTTCTGAACCAAATGACAAGTCTACCCACAGCTCATCTGCACTCTTGGGTTCGCGCTCTTCAGATTTACGGTGGTTTGCATCGGTTAATGATGCTATTAATTTGGATGGAGTACTTTGAGGCTTGTTTAAGAAAGTCACAGACGTGCCGATCATTTGATGTTAATGAAAATGATGTATGTATGTTGAACTTCATTCGCACCGTACGTAGCCATCCATGCAAATCGGAGGTGCGGGAGCTAATCGGAGGTGATGTCCAAAGTGATCTAAACTTCCGATCTACGTGTGATGGAAATATGCAATGGCATGATGATCAGAGCACAATGATTCATGAATGAGACTTATCGTGTTTAATCAGGCACAGTAACTTAACAGGTGTCTCACTATCAGACCGATGCTGTCACCTTTTTATACCCAAGCTTGATTCCTGTGTAAAAAACACAATAAATATGACATCTTCATTCTGGCTCATGTCTACACGGGCCCAATATAAAAATAAAAAAGTCAAGCCCATTTGAAGTTTATTTAATTCAAAGGGTGCGAATACAAAATCCATGCGCAGAAATCTGCTAATATCAATAACTTAAAAAAAAAACCTTCAGCAAAGTCATGATAAACAGCATGGACAACAGAGGTTATGAGGCAGGTTGGTGTAGGCAGGCAACGAGTTAGGTAGGTAACAGATCCTCTGCTAACCACATGAAAACACATTCACGATGAGCCAATTTTGACCTGCGACTGCATCAGAGGAAACGGTGCATCTTGGATTACGGTAATTGGAATCCAGAATCAAAACCCTGCCATATCCCTCGGGCTCCATAGGCAGTCAAGCATCATCAACAAAAGGCTTAATTTATACACAGGCCTTGATATTCACAGGCCTTGATATTCACAGCCCTGTGCGTGACAGAGCCCAAATGAAAACTGAAATCCATCAGGCACGGACTCAAAAGCGTTGGGGAAGAAATTGCCCTCGCCAGGAGACACCGACAATGGTGCCAAGAATTTGCAGGGACATCTCGCTCCGCTTGGGAAGTACAAGGCGTGACAGCCACAGATCATCAACGGCGTTCACAGGTCGAGAAGCTGGGCGGAATACCTGACCACTTTTTTTTTCCGCCAGCCCTCATATCCTCTGATGAGTATAACAGATTACGACAGGGAAAAAAAATGCCGCTGTGCAGTGGACGTTAAAGATCCCGTCGTATTACGGTCCAAACTTTCAGGCAGATTTTAAAAATGAGCTGCTTCTGTACTGAAACTGAATTGGGAGTAACCCCCCTCCCCCACACAAAGTAACATCGCTCCCCTACTGGCAGACTGATCCGCACTCGCAGGCCGGTGCTGCGTACACCTTGCCCGTACAGGGTCAAACCACCATCAGGCAGTTCAGTTTCCTGTAAACGCGAATCCTGAATCCCGTCCGGTGTTTCTTTTACGTGAAAATATGTAGGCACTGTGCTTTGGGGACTTTGTAAACACGGATTTGAAGTACAAAAGCACAGCCTGTGCCTGTGGGCAGTTTCTATTCGGCTTTGATGTGTAGGCGGCTGCTGCTGCTGCTACTACCCCATGTTCCTACAGCACGGTTTGATCCTCATCAGTCAGTGGCTTCGGCTGAAATGCGCCTCTGGTCTCGGTTTGTATCTCGGAGTTCTGAGGCCTCCGTCACGTGCTTATGATGCCGTGTCACTAGTTGTAACTCAGTCCCGACAATCAGCGATTTTTTTCTGGTTGGAATAAGACAGCAATCTAAATAATATCATAAATGTGGGTGTGTATCTGACCTCCCGGTATGGTTATTGCTCAGGCAATATCCCGCATTGCATGCCCAGCAATTGGCCACTGAATGTATCTGCCAAAACCACAAGGTAGCAACTGTGGTTGCCAGCATTCCAAAATTAAATGCACAGAAGGCTGAATGAGACATTGAGTCCTGATTCGTGCGTTGGCAAAAGTTGCTTCTACCAATATTTTGTCAGAATATGACCAAATACCTGGGATTTTCACCTGATTTCACCATTGCTCACCAGAGTAAAACTGCGCGCGATGCAATGACCGCCTTTGTTCGATGGGTTAGCCAAAAGCCTCCGCTGCGAGGATGACCGGAGTTCACGTGACGTTTTATGCTAATGACGATATCCGCAAGATATCGGCGGTTCATTAGTGGCAAACACTAAGCGTGTGCGATGAGCCCCGCGACCTTATAACCTAGAGAATGAAGAGGGGAGGGCCCTGTCACTCGGCAACCACTAAAACAAGAACTCGAGGCGGGGGGTGGGTTAGAGGCGGGGGGCAATCGACGTTCAACTCTTCATCTTCCTGTGCCAGAGGTCGAAGCAGGGCACTGCGTGGAGCCTCACGTACTTGTGCCCCCCCCACGCACACTCGAGGCAGCCGTACACCGTGTCCCTGGGCCGCGCGCCCAGGCCGCAGAGGGCGCACGGACCCTTGGAGACGCCCTGGTGGAGCAGGTTGACGCGCTGGTGCGCTCCGGGCTCCTCCGGCGGGAAGCCGCCACCGCGGCCGCCGCCGTTGCTGGTGCTGCTGGCCCCGACACCGCTGGGCCCCGACAGGTCGGTGAGCGTGGCCGTCTGCTCGTAGAAGTCGACGGTGGTGGTGTCCGCCGTCGAGCTGCGGCGGCTGGAGGGCCGGTAGCCCCCCTTCATGTCTGTTGCCCGGGATTTCCCCGACACCACACAGGAGAGATGGTGTTGTTAATTTACTTATGGAAAAAAAGTCTTTCGAAGTTAGAAAGCTTTGAGTTGAATTCTAAAAGGAAGAATCTCAGAGGTCAGGCGGAGTTCCTCCGGGCAACGCGTTCCACGCCTGAAAACCGAGGACCGAACCAAGCCTGAGTTGGACAGCGATTTGGATGAATCAGCTCACATGTGAGAGTTAACAAACGTAACGGCGGAGGTGGAGACATTGCTCACGCCACTGCTGTGGCACAATGGCCTTGGCTTAGAAGGAGCTCTATAGAGCCGCCCCTCCATTGGGGCACTTTGGCCTCCTCTTCCACATTGGCCAGACGCCTTGGAAGAGGGGAGTTCCTACAATGTATATCTCCATCCTTGACCTGCCGATGGCCTAACCGTGGTGCATCCATTCACTCTGCTTGGTGTGGACAGAGCTGCTGCTGGTGGTGGAAGCAGTGGGTGAGGGTGTGTGGATTTAAGAAAATTGCACCTTTCCGGTAATAATACAGGAGGGTGTTAAGATGTCCAGACACCAAATAGACACCCGTTGCAAGGTGTCAAGTCTGCATTAATCACACATCATGCTTATGGTAAAACATACAAACATTGACAACGTTGCACATTGTCCTTGAAACCGATTGGCCTACACCAGAGACAGCCTCCTCTACGGCCTTGTCTCACCACCGGCGTGAGACCAAAGATCAACGCCAAAAGGCGAACAGCACAAAGGGAACGCAAATATCAAAGCATTAATAGGCCGGGCTGAGCAGTTACATGGTCAATGCAGACTTGATGCGTTGCAAACGGTGTCTCAACATCTTAACACTCACCTGTATTATTGCTGGAAAGGATAAACATCATGAGGCCTCCTTTGCCAGTACCAAAATATACTAATAGGGGTTTTCCCCTTTTTTCTGGCAACAAAACTGACACATTTTGCAAGGAATCATGTTCACATTAACCACAATTAACCACAATACTTGTAGATGCTTACCCCGAACTCTCATTACTCTGATAGTGCATTGTCTTTGAACTATGCGCCTTTTGGCATCATCTGGTCGAACACCATATGAGACTACGCTCTAAGAAAAGCTGTCTCTGGTGTGGAACAATCAGTTTCAAGGGCAATGCATAAATGATCAGAGTATTGTTTTTGTTTGCATTTGGCTGCAAGTATTGTGGTTAATGTGAACATGATTCCTTGCAAAAGGTGTCAGTTTTGTTATTAAAAAAAGGGGGAAAACCCTATTAGTGGAAAGGATAAAGCCTATTATATCTCTTTTTTATCATCTTGATACCGGCAAAAAGTGTCCCCGAAGATGAAACCTGCACCGTTGTTGCAACTGCCGCGGGGGGGGGGGGGGGGGAGATTGTACAGATGACCTGTGGAAGTCCGGTGTGCCAACCTTTGTAAATGTGAACACTCTGGGTGGGGGTGGCCATGGGATTCTCTTCTTCCATCACATGGCGGCTGATGTCGATGCAGAACAACTACAGTTTCACATTCAGGTGGGTCAAGCCAGATGAGCGTGTCCAGGAGAAGCAGCGGAGTGTACCATCGCTGTGATGTGGGCCGTCCATAAATGACGTCACGCGATTTTGGACGATTTTTGACCCCTCCCCCCCCCTTCATCACACGGCGTCACAAAACGTCAGACCCCCCCTCAAATATGACGTCATAAAGCTCTGCCCCCCCCCCCCAAAAAAAATATTAAACATGCTTCAAATCGTTTTAAAGCTTTCGTGACTGCAGGGATTCATCTTCTTGGTTCTTTCGGTAAAGTCACGTAGCAGGGAAGTAATAAAATAATAAAAATAAAACATAATTAAACAATTCTCACGACGTTTCGGCCACAACGCAAGCAGCCGTCCTCAGGTGAAGAATGAGACAATGCCAAGCTAGGAGCTTATATATAAGCTGCGTTGGAGGTGGAAGAAAGAGCGCCTTAACAAAAGAATGTGCATATGAAGAGGAATTTAGCATATACATTGAAATGCGTAGGAGGTGGGCGGGGGGGTTTCAAAGTCATATTATGCCCATGCATTATGCAGGATCAACACAATGCATGGGCATAATATGACTTTGAAACCCCCCCGCCCACCTCCTACGCATTTTCCATGTATATGCTAAATTCCTCTTCATATGCACATTCTTTTGTTAAGGCGCTCTTTCTTCCACCTCCAACGCAGCTTATATATAAGCTCCTAGCTTGGCATTGTCTCATTCTTCACCTGAGGACGGCTGCTTGCGTTGTGGCCGAAACGTCGTGAGAATTGTTTTATTATGTTTTATTTTTATTATTTTATTACTTCCCTTCTACGTGACTTTACCGAAAGAACCAAGAAGATGCTTCAAATCGCTTTAAACTATTGTCATTGTAGTGCGTATTTAATGTGAGGCTGCACTCTGATGTTGTAGGAGAAAGCATTTATTAAAACGTCTATTTAATTAAGTAGAACGTGTTGTCTATCTATATATATAAAATCGCGAATCTGTCTGTGTGTGTGTGTGTCGCCGGACCATACGCACTTTCATTGGACGCCGGTTGCCCCTGGCAACGCTTTATTATTTCAGTCGTTTACTGCCGTACGCACCCTGACAGTCGTGTGTGTCTGCAGCAAGCGCGTGTATGTGTACCTATGGACGCGCGCGCGTGTGTTGTGTAGGGGGAACGGTAGTGTAGTGCTTAGCGTGCTGTCTGTGTGTGTGTGTCGGTGTGTGTGTGTGTCTGTGTGTGTGCGTGTGTGGTGTGTGGGGAGCCGTAGTGTAGTGCTTAGCGTGCTGTCTGTGTGTGTGTGTGTCTGTCTGTGTCTGTCTGTGTGTGTCTGCGTGTGTCTATGTGTGTGTGTCTGTGTGTGTGTCTGTGCGTGTGTGGTGTGTGAGGAGCGGTGGGTGTAGTGGTTAACGCTACGCTGCGCTACCAACCCGGCGAACCGAGTTCGATTCCCGCTCACGGCCACCACCGGTGACAATTATTTGAACCTCCCCTAGGTCGACTCAGCCTCAAACGAGTAACTGGTGTGGCGTATTAACATCGCCACTGGGGAGACAAAGGTGGCCGGGCGTGGTGGATCCAAGTCTCGGGCGAGGCCGGGTCATGTGTATGTGTGTATGTGTTTATGTGTATGTCTGTGTGTCTGTATGTATGTATGTGTCTATGTACGTGTGTGTATGTGTTTGTCTGTATGTATGTGTGTGTATGTATGTGGGTTTTTTCGTATGTGTTTATGTGTATGTCTGTGTGTCTGTATGTATGTGCCTATGTACGTGTGTGTATGTGTTTGTGTGTATGTATGTATGTGTGTGTATGTGTTTCTGTGTATGTATGTGTGTGTATGTATGTGTGTTATGTGTGTGTCTGTGTGTCTGCATGTATGTGTGTGTGTATTGTGTATGTGTTTGTATGTATGTGTGTGTATGTGTTTCTGTGTATGTATGTGTGTGTATGTATGTGTGTTATGTGTGTGTCTGTGTGTCTGCATGTATGTGTGTGTGTATTGTGTATGTGTTTGTGTGTATGTATGTGTGTGTTTGTGTGTATGTGTATGTCTGTGTGTATGTATGTGTGTGTATGTGTGTGTATGTGTTTGTGTGTATGTGTGTGTATGTATGTGTGTGTATGTGTTTGTATGTGTTTGTGTGTTTACGCTCGCATTACACAAATGTGTTGCAGGTCTAAGGCGTTCCTCGCGCAGCATTGCCGCTTTATTATTTCAGTCGTTTACTGCCGTACGCACCCTGAAAGTCGTGTGTGTCTGCAGCAAGCGCGTGTATGTGTACCTATGGACGCGCGCGCGTGTGTTGTGTAGGGGGAACGGTAGTGTAGTGCTTAGCGTGCTGTCTGTGTGTGTGTGTCGGTGTGTGTGTGTGTCTGTGTGTGTGCGTGTGTGGTGTGTGGGGAGCCGTAGTGTAGTGCTTAGCGTGCTGTCTGTGTGTGTGTGTGTCTGTCTGTGTCTGTCTGTGTGTGTCTGCGTGTGTCTATGTGTGTGTGTCTGTGTGTGTGTCTGTGCGTGTGTGGTGTGTGAGGAGCGGTGGGTGTAGTGGTTAACGCTACGCTGCGCTACCAACCCGGCGAACCGAGTTCGATTCCCGCTCACGGCCACCACCGGTGACAATTATTTGAACCTCCCCTAGGTCGACTCAGCCTCAAACGAGTAACTGGTGTGGCGTATTAACATCACCACTGGGGAGACAAAGGCGGCCGGGCGTGGTGGATCCAAGTCCCGGGCGAAGCCGGGTCATGTGTATGTGTGTATGTGTTCATGTGTATGTCTGTGTGTCTGTATGTATGTGTGTATGTATGTGCGTGTATGTGTTTGTGTGTTTGTATGTGTGTGTGTATGAAAGGGGGGGGGGGGTTTGTGTTTATGTGTATGTCTGCGTGTCTGTATGTATGTGTGTATGTACGTGTGTATGTGTTTGTGTGTATGTATGTGTGTGTGTATGTATGTGTGTGTATGTGTTTGTGTGTATGTATGTGTGTGTATGTACGTGTGTTATGTGTGTGTCTGTGTGTCTGCATGTATGTGTGTGTGTATTGTGTATGTGTTTGTGTGTATGTATGTGTGTGTTTGTGTGTGTTTGTGTGTATGTGTATGTCTCTGTGTATGTATATGTGTGTGTATGTGTGTGTATGTGTTTGTGTGTATGTGTGTGTATGTATGTGTGTGTATGTGTTTCTGTCCATCTGCTACAGCAGAGGTGTAGGGAATTCCAAAAAGACCTACATCTCTGCTTTATTGACCTGGTCAAGGCCTATGATACCATCAGTAGGACTGGGCTCTGGGTTGTTCTTCGTGCTTTCGGAGTCCCTGACCCTCTGCTCACGATCATTAAGGACCTTCATGATGGTGAGCGGGTCCGGGTAAAACTACGTGGCCGGGAGTCGGAGCCTTTCCCTGTACACCTTGGGGTGCGACAGGGATGTCCTCTGGCTCCAACATTATTTAACATCTATTTTGACCGCGTAGTTCGTGAAGCCTTCAATAGCTGTACCGGGGGAATTTCCATTTGGTACAGATATAATGGGAGGCTGATCGACGCCCGGGTGCGATCAAGGGATGGCTCCCTATTGGTCAACCACGTTATGTATGCCGATGATTTGGTAATAGCTGCTCATTCAGAAGAGGAGTTGGAGACGCTGCTGCTGAGACTGGAGTGTGCCACTAAGAGGTGGGGCCTTACCATCAGCCCCACCAAAACTAAGCACCTGCCTGGGTATTTTGTACCATCGGACACTCCACCCCCACAACTCCCAATTGGTGATGGGCCCGTTGTGGAGAGAGTGGAGAGTTTCCCATACCTGGGCAGTGTGCTTATGACCGGCTCCAGTTTATCAGCAGAGGTCTCACTCCGAATCAGTCGAGCGGCAATATCTTTTCATCGGTTGCGTAACGCTGTGTGGAAGCTACCTGGTCTGTCGCTCCGCACAAAGCTTCAGGTCTTCTCGGCCACGGTCATTCCCTCCCTTCTCTACGCTTGCGAAACGTGGACCCCCCTGGTGGAGCATCTTCGCCGGTTGGAAACATTTAGGCTGGCCTGCCTACGATCCATCTTGGGTTTAACCAGGCTGGATTGTGTGAGGAGCTCACAAATCCTTGAAAGATCTGGGCAAAGTCCCATCAGTGAGCTCCTCCGGCAGGCAAGGCTGCGTTGGCTGGGTCATGTAGCCCGCATGCCCAGCCACCGCATGCCTAAACAGCTTTTGTTCGGCCGGATCGAGGGGGCTAGACGGGCGCGGCACGGGCTGGAGAAGAGATGGAGTGATGTGGTACAGGAGGACGTGGAGCTGAGTGGACTTGCCGATGACTGGTACCAGCGGTGTCAAGATCGGCCTCAGTGGAGGAGGCTCGTAAAGGACGCTACTGGGCAGTTGGAGGCAGTCGCCCTCCAACAACAACGGAGGGCGGAGGAGCGACGCTCACAACAACGAGCGGAGCGCCGGGTGGCTAAAGCACAGCAAGTTGGCACAGTAGGGGGCACAGGTGGTGCATCAGCCAGTCATCTCGGTCATCTCGGTCAGTCGACCCGTGGCACCTGCTGGGTCTGCCCCGTGACCTCCTGCCAGCGGGCGTTCGACACTTCACGTGGCCTCAAGGTGCACTTGGCCTGGCACAAGCATCGTGGTGACGTCACCGCCACTTAGTGGCGAATGGCGGTTGTTGTTGTTGTTGTGTCTGTCTGTGTGTGTGCGTGTGTGGTGTGTGGGGAGCGGTAGTGTAGTGCTTAGCATGCTGTCTGTGTGTCTGTGTGTGTGTGTGTCTGTCTGTGTCTGTCTGTGTGTGTCTGCGTGTGTCTATGTGTGTGTGTCTGTGTGTGTGTCTGTGCGTGTGTTGTGTGTGAGGAGCGGTGGGTGTAGTGGTTAACGCTACGCTGCGCTACCAACCCGGCGAACCGAGTTCGATTCCCGCTCACGGCCACCACCGGTGACGATTATTTGAACCTCCCCTAGGTCGACTCAGCCTCAAACGAGTAACTCGTGTCGCGTATTAACATCCGCACTGGGGAGACAAAGGCGGCCGGGCGTGGTGGATCCAAGTCCCGGGCGAAGCCGGGTCATGTGTATGTGTGTATGTGTTTATGTGTATATCTGTGTGTCTGTATGTATGTATGTGTGTATGTATGTGTGTGTATGTGTTTGTGTGTATGTGTGTGTGTATGTATGTGGGTTTTTTTGTATGTGTTTATGTGTATGTCTGCGTGCCTGTATGTATGTGTGTATGTACGTGTGTGGATGTGTTTGTGTGTATGTATGTGTGTGTCTATGTATGTGTGTGTATGTGTTTCTGTGTATGTATGTGTGTGTATGTACGTGTGTTATGTGTCTGTCTGTGTGTCTGCATGTATGTGTGTGTATGTGTTTGTGTATATGTATATCTACAAATAGTCATTAAGCTGGGTGAGCGTACTGACAGTTTATAATGTAAACTGTAGCCTGCTTATTACATTGCCTGAGTGTACTGCCAGTCTATTATGTAGACTGTAGCCTGCTTATTAAGCTCGGTGAGCGTACTGCCACTCTATCATGTAGACTCTAGCCTGCTTATGAAGCTGAGTGGCTGTACTGGCAGTCTATAATGTAGACTGTAGCCTGGTTATTATAATCGATTCTTTAAATGTTCTTTGTACAAATAGTCATTAAGCTGGTTGAGCCTACTGCCCGTCTATAATGTAGACTGTAGCCTGCTTATTCAGCTGCCTGGCTGTACTGCCAGTCTATCATGTACACTGTAGCCTGGTTATGAAGTAAAGTTAGTCAATTTGTAACACGTACGCCGATTCCCACTCACGGCCACCACCGGTGACGATTATTTGAACCCGACCTGGGCCTCCCCTAGGTCGACTCAGCCTCACACGAGTAACTGGTGTCGTGTGTGAACATCGTCACTGGGGAGACAAAGGCGGCCGGCCGTGGTGAATCCAAGTACCCGGGCGAAGCCGGGTAGTAAAGCTAGTATTTATTTAAAGTTGCGCATTTTGATGTAACGTCACATTTCTCAAACCCCCCCCCTCCCTCGTCACACATCGTCACAAATGTCTGACCCCCCCCCCCCCCCCCCCCCTAGGTGCGTAGCGTCATTTATGGACGGCCCCTTTATGGATCGGGGCAGCATTGCGTCCGTTATCTGTTGTACGGCATCTGTTCTGGATGACCACAGTTACGCACTACTGGAGAGTTTTTTTTTATTTATAAAAATTTTCAATTTTCGTGCATCAGGTACAGAACCGGCCCTAGACCTTTGGGGGCCCTAAGCAAAATTTGGTTGGAGGCCCCTTTGATGTATGATTTTTTTCACCCACTCGCTAGCAGTGACTCTAGGGGGCCCTCTGCTGGCCACGGGGCCCTTTGCAATTGCAAGGGTCGCTTAGTGGCTGGGCTGGCTCTGATCAGGTATGGGAGTGAAGTTGTGAGGGTGGGGGAGGGGTGGGGGACTGATTGATGGGATGAGTGCGCGTTACCGGACGGGGAGGTGCGGCCCTCTGGAGCGGCCCGGAGCGATCGAGAAGGACCGCTGCTCCCACGCCACACGGCCAGACGGGAGACGAGGCGACGCAGACGCTCGGCCAGCGTCTCTTCGCGCTCGAACCCCCCCGGCAGCTCGGCGGCAACGCACAGCTCTTCATAGGGGCACAGACAAAGATAACCCCCCACCACAGATAGTTAAGAGCAGTTGGCTGCTACATTTGATCATCGATTATATTATTCGGCTGCTTCCAACGTTGTCCCGCTCCAAAGGCTGTAACCCGGTCTGGTTACTGGCAACGTGTGTGCGGGACAAAAAAAGTAACTGCTTAATTTCAGTGTCAAATGTTTCTACAGTACATTGTACACTACGTACAACAACTTAATGACAATATTGCACTATATACATCACCCCCCTATGCAGAGTCTTTGGGATCGGAGGTGTAAGTATGGCTCAGTAAATACTAAATACAGTACCTTTTTACAGGTTATTTGTGTCTATTTGTATGTTTGTTTATGCCAATGTCACGTAGTAAACATTTAAAATACAAAAAGACATCACAACACCTAAAAACACAATTTTATACAAGAATGTGCAAAATAAGCTATTTTAAATCATGACTTAGTGATTATCCGGCTTGTTTGAAAATTCGGCGTCCCCTCCACCCCCGAAGCCGCCGAACAATCGATGATCTCCACATTTAGAAACGTGCATTAAGATCATTTAGCCGCTATAAATTTCCACATGATAAGCAACTTCGTTGGGCTATCATTTGTGACCAGGTCGCTTCTATATATGTTGAACTTCTTTCGCACCGTACGTAGCAAACGGTGCTAATTGAAGGTGATCTCTAGCTCAGTGGGCCTTACCAGGTAAAATTAAAAGTTTCGTTTCCTTAGCCTTAACAGACTGTTGGGGCAAGTGCTGTTAGCGAGTAGCAGCACATATGAAGGCCGACACGGCACCCGAGGGGGTGGGTGGCCAGAACCACGCCCCACCGCCTTTGTCTCCCCAGTGGCGGATGTTTAAACACCACACCAGGTACAGTACTCATTTGAGGCTGAGTCGACCTAGGGGAAGCCCAAGACCGGTTCAAATAATGTTGTGAACCATTTGTACGGGGATAGAGTGTTGCCCCCTCACCCGCATCAATTTACTCCGGGTATTCCGGTTTCCTCCCACTGGTATAATTAACACAACTCATCCTTAATTGCCTGAAACAGAAACCCAATGTAGCAGCGGCAGGACCCTCCCTCTGAAAAAGAGTGCTACGACTCGGCCTGGCTCTCCTGGATAAATAAGTCGGCGAAGTGAAATGTGCGTGCGTGCGTGTGCGTGCGTGTGCGTGCGTGCGCAGCCACCGAACGATCCGTCCAAGCGGATGTAGAGGTCGAAGACGCTGAAGGCGACCGTGGTGTGGGCGGGGATGACGATGGTCTTGTCGCGACCCTTCCCCTGACGGGCGCCCTCCTCCGATGCCCTTCCCTGCGTGCGGCACGCGCAGCGAAGCCGCTCTTATCCGGGAGTGGGGAAAGCTCTTCCTTATCGAGGGCCGAAAAGGACTTTCACATAATTGTTTTTTTACCCTTCTATCTGGCAACAAAACTGACACCTTTTTTTTACAAGGAGTCATTTTTTGCATAGACCACAATACCTGCAGTCATAATGCAAACAAAAAACATAACTCTGATAATGTATGCACTGTCCTTGAAGTTGATTGGTCCACACCCGAGACAGCTTTCATTAGAGCCTAGTCTCACATGTGTTGGACCAGATGACGCCAAAGGCGCACAACTCAAAGACAATGCACTATCAGAGTATGAGAGCTCGGGGTTAGCATTTACACCATTGGAACCTCATTTGACAGAGTTATGTTTTTTGTTTGCATTATGACTGCAGGTATTGTGGTCTATGCAAACATGACTCCTTGTAAAAAATAGGTGTCAGTTTTGTTGCCAGATAGAAGGGTAAAAAAACAATTATCATATTTTTTACCGCCAAAAGAGGTTCCAATGGTGACTTTCACATACTCTTGGCGAGCGACCACACGCCAACACGCGTATGAGCATTACGCAATCGAAGCGCGCGTGGTGACCGAGTAGAGGGAGGCTTTTGCAGGTGGCCAGATCTCTCAGAGGTCAGAGTGCTGAGATGGCAACGCTGCGAGTAGGATAAGGTCATATACATTTGTATCCACTCATCAAATTTCCAAAGTTTTTCTTTCTAAACAAATGACATTTATTCGCATGCAGAACTCAATTGTAAATCCAATACGCCGGCGATAGCTATCGATGTGTTTTTGTTTTTAATGGGTAGAAATTAAGGCTCACGATGTATGTATAATGTAAGAGAAAAGGTGAGGTAAACGAAATTGCCCTCCCGATTGGGCAATGGTTTTTACTCCTGCAAGGGGAGCCCTGGGATGAAATGTACATACTTATTTAGTTTTGTTCACCTAGGATAGGGCCCGTGAGCTAAACCGCTCTTTAACACGCTTTTATTTAACTCACTCTGTATGTTGTTGTCGTTGTCGTATCCTCAAATCTTCTAACTCAATTTTAACCCACTTCCCAATGTGGTATCGACTGCAAACTTGGTATACTTATGTCATACTGATGACAATACTATATTTTATCATAGAAATATTTGTAAACATTATTTTTTACATGTTATGTTTCGGCTTGGGTCTAATTGTCCACGCTCAACTAAGGTTGGCCGCAAATTACCACGGCCCCTTATGTTATGGCAAGCTTCGAAGCCACTTCCTGGAGTCGTGGAGTTCTTCCATTACTAATACATTTCATAAAAACGTATTTAAAAAAAAGTTTTTAAAAATATTACTTATTTCATGGGTGATCCCGGTGGAGGGGGAGGAGGATACAGAACAACACAACGCTCTCTGAAATCACAGCGCATCGTATAATTGAAAACTAAAAATATACCCAGTGGGAAATTTGCAAAGGATTACAAATTGGAACATTCAGCGTGACAGTGTTCTACAATATGAAGACTTAAATCTAAACAATGCACACTCAGAGAAATCCCACTCAACGTCAATACCTTACTGCCAATCAGACAGAACTGATCATGTGAATTAACATACACACTGGGCAACATGCAAGCAGACATATAAAACTAGCCGCTGTGTGTTTATGCAAAGAGCAAACGCGCACCTGCACTTGAATGTGAACAAGAATCTGCTTCTTTTTAACATTCTTCCGTATAAATGTACCCCCTAATATTAGCCTGAAGAGTTGTAATGAGATACAACCCATTATTCCATTAATTCGGTGAGAACCCTTGGAGACGACACCTTTCTTTTTTCTAGGAAGATGTTTAATTCCTTTGTGAGGTTTTGCATACCATTCCTAAAATTCAGTTGAGAATCAAGCTAGATATTGGTGGCAAGATGTTAACTCTATTGACTGATATGCAGGTTCTGGGTTTGATTCCTCATGCCTATATATGTGTAGTTTTGATGTCTTCCCTGTGGTCGCGTGGATTATTCTCTAGATCCTCCGATTTTCCCCTCCACATTTAGAAACATGCATTCAGATTATTGGGATTATTTGCTGCTATAAATTTCCACATAGTAGCCCACTATGTTGAGCTTTCATTTGCAGCCAGATTGCTTCTGAAAAATAAGTTAATACCTCAGCGGCCTTTGCCTGGTAGGATGGGAATGGTTTAGTTTCATTCGTATGTTTTTGGGTGATTTGTTTGACTTTCTTGTACTTTGCACTCCCGTCGTGTTTTTGTATTGATTGTTGTTGTAATATTCTTACTCACACTTACTGGACATCTGTGAAAAGGAGCTTTATAGCTCATCCGATTCCTCCAGAATAAATAACTATTCTGATCTGATTCTGATTCTTTTTTCACAGATGTCCAGTAGTGCGAGTAAGAATATTACAGCAACAAACAATACAACAACACGACGGGAGTGCAGAACGTTACAACTACGAACAATAAACATCGGGCATCACTACTCTTTGCTTCTTTCGGTAAAGTCACGTAGGTAGAAAAAATAATAGATCACGACGTTTCGATCGCAACAACAAGTCTTCAGATGAGAGCTCTCACCTGAAGACGGTCGCTTGTTGTTGCGATCGAAACATCGTGATCTATTATTTTTTCTACCTACGTGACTTTACCGAAAGAACCAAACAGTATCGATTCCTGCAGTCACGAAAGCTTAAAATCTGGCATCACGCGGTGTGAACCCGGGAAGAAACCCGACAGCGATGACCGGGTTAGAGGCGCGCTTGAGCCGGGGTGCGCGTACCCTCGCTCGGTTCCGGTGGCTCTGCACCCGCAGCTTCTGCTCGAGGGAGGCGCGCACGGCGAGGGAGCATTGCCTCGTCGTGCGGATGCTCTCGGCCACGACGCACAGCACGGCCCGGCCGCTGGCGCGAGTCTGCCGCACAAGCCAGTGCTCCACGTCCACCCTCCTGCAGGCGACACGGCACAACGGGGGCCAAGGGCCTGTAGGCAAACTTCTCATGTTCTTGTTTTTTTTGGTAAAGTCACGTAAGTAAAAAATTAAAAATAAAAATTAAATAAAAATCACGACGTTTCGGAGGCAACACAAGCCTCCGTCTTCAGGTGGAACCGTCACAGCACGCTCGTTGCCTCCGAAACGTCGTGATTTTTATTTTATTTTTTATTTACATTTTTTACCTACGTGACTTTACCGAAAAAACCCAAGAATAGGAATCCTTGCAGTCACGAAAGCTTCAAATCTAAAACTTTTCATGTTTCACTTGCACTGTTTTGGTGCTTCATTCGTTCATTTGTTCAAGTTTCTAAGCCGGCCGGCCAGGATTCAATTACAAACAAATTGATCAGCGTCTAAATTATTTCAAACTGTTTTGCTCAAGTCATGAGATAAAGTATCCATGTAATGACAAATCCCTGACAAAGGAGTGCGATTCTTCATGTTAAAGAATAGCCCATCGAAGCGGATTTAACAGAGCTACCTCTGAGATCCCGAAAAGTGTACTCTGGTCCACACATTCGGTGGTAGCACTTTCCTACTGACTCTGCCAGAGCTGCTTCATGTGTTTGGTTTGGTGTCCTTCACCTCCGATGAGCCCGGTTGGCTACGTACGGCGCAAAAGAAGTTCAACAAATATGAGAATAAATTGTCATGCCATGATAGTTAAACTGATATTTTAAGTTTCAAAGTTAGAATTCATACATATTGGGCGCATAACCAAATTTTACATGATGTTTTCTTTCGTGCGGTCATTCGTGACTGAGCATGAGAACCATCAACTCACTATACCTGACAGCCGTTTTAATAACAGACGGCTGCCTCGAATCGAACGATAAGATTCTCAGCGGTGCCAAGCTCAGTGCTCTCACGTCGGAGAAACCCCGCCAGCCAAATTGATGCGCGGTCATTTGAGACCGGGGGAATGGGTGTGTTGATCGACGGGGCAGAGAGGTGGTAGCGGCGGTGGCATGGCACCTGTTCTTGGGTTTTTTCGGTAAAGTCACGTAGGTAAAAAATAAAAATTAATAAATGTAAATAGGTGGAATTCCTCCCCGTAGAGGGTATTAATTCCTATTTACTTTTATTAATTTTAATTTTTACTTACGTGACTTTACCAAAAAAACCCAAGAATAGGTGCCATGCCACCGCCGCTACCACCTCTCTGCCCCGTCGATCAACACACCCATTCCCCCGGTCTCAAATGACCGCGCATCAATTTGGCTGGTGGGGTTTCTCCGATGTGAGAGCACTGAGCTTGGCACCGCTGAGAATTGTATCGTTCGATTCGAGGCAGCCGTCTGTTATTAAAGCTTCAAATCTGGCGTGGCACCTGTTGCGCAAGAGGCTGAGGAGGAGAGGCACGTCGAGCTCGTGCTTGGTGACGATGCCCAGGGACGCGTGCACCGCCACGTTCTCGGAGTGCGCCACGCTGAAGCCCACGCCGGCCAGCACACCCTCGGAGCCGTGTCGCTCGCGACGACCCGGCGCGCCGTCCGACTCGTCCTCGTAGTTCACCAGCTGGTACGACGTCACGTCTGCGGCGTACACTCGTCTTGGTCAGGGTTCTGTGCGCTCGTCACGGTTTTAGGCGGGGAGACGACGGAAAACTTGCGGGTTTCGTTTTAGTCGTCGTCGTCTCAGTCCAGGGGCGGGCATCCTGCGGTTTATGCAGCTCTTTAAAGGACTGCTTCGGGACGCTATTTATTCATCCGCTCCGATGACGTACGTGTTTACGCAACTCATCAAAACCGATGACGTACGTACACGTAAGTCATCGGAACCGGGAGAAAAAACTAAATACCTTTATCGGTAGCGAGGCTCCCACAGAGTGCAGTTGTGTAGATCTAGTTCTCTACGGTGAGTACAATGTGTTTAAATACAATTGCGCTATGCCTCTCTAAATAAAATTAACGCTAACCGTTTGCACGTTCCGAGAGCCAGTTGTGAATGGGGCCCACCCTGCAACTTGTAGTCACCTGGGAACGGGAAAAGGTTAAGGACCGTCTCATATTCACATGCGTTGTGGCTCTTGAATTATATTTTTTACCAAATTCTAAAAAAACGCTCTTCTTGTTATTATGTGGGCATATTCACACGCGTTGCAGCTCTTGAATTATTGATTTTTTTTTAACCAATTCGAAAAAAATCGCTCTACTTGTTATTACGTAGGCAATTCGTCTCCCCACATTGTCAGGTCAGCCAATCAGTGAACAGGTTTTTTTTTAATATACCGTATACACCAGCAGTGCCCGCGCGTTTGCGTGGAATACACGGCCGAGGTGGAGGGAGGGTGGGTGAAGGGCGTGACATTTGCACGCACGAACCCGGCTCAATGCTGTGGGGTGTGTGAGGTCATCACGCAGATGTGGAGTGGTGATGCCACCCACACGCGAGCCAGCCAGCCAGCCAGGCAGCCAGCTAAACTTTTTTTTGTAATTTTTTGGTCTTCAACGGTGCATTGAGGTCTCTAATAAAGTTACAAAATTATCTTAGACCGCGACTTCAATCATTAATTTCATCTCATATTCAGTTTTACTGTGGTCTTTAGTGGATAGTGGTATAAAACAAGTTAAATTTCGATTTAAAGCTTTCGTGACTGCAGGGATTCATCTTCTTGGTTCTTTCGGTAAAGTCACGTAGAAGGGAAGTAATAAAATAATAAAAATAAAACATAATAAAACAATTCTCACGACGTTTCGGCCACAACGCAAGCAGCCGTCCTCAGGTGAAAACCAGGTCCGTCGAGGCGACAGAGTCTGAATGAAACAGCACACGAGCTTGGAGCATATATATAAGCTGGGCGCATTGACAAAGGATTTTGCATATCAAAAGGAATTTAGCATATTTATGGGAAATGCAAGAATGTGATTAGTCCTGCATATGCATGTGCATTATGCAGGATTAACAGCATCAAAGGGAGCTGCAGTTACTGCTGCTGCTGAAATTACTGCTGCTGCTGCAGTTTCTGCTGCTGCTGCAGTTGCTGCTGCTGCTGCTGCAGTTGCTGCTGCAGTTGCTGCTGCTGCTGCACTTGCTGCTGCTGCTGCAGTTGCTGCCTTATCCATTTTAATATAATACTATGTATTATTCTACCCACCCTAATGTGTATCACACTGCTATATGTTTACTATACAATTACGACACCATACATTACTCTGCACACTGCACCATGCCAGTGAGTGGAACGCGGTCTGAAAGTCACCGTAAACGTGAACACAATCAGTTAAGATCCGAAATGGTTTATTACGTCCTTCCAATGATTGCTAAGCCAGAATCCATCTTCTCGGTTGAAATTGTCTCTGTGTTTGTATATGTGGATCGCCTCATGAACGAATCTCTCATGATAGCCAGATGGCTTGCAGAGAACCTCTGTCTTGGAGAAGTCAATGTCATGTGAGCCCACTGAATTGTAACAGTGATCTGCCACGGCTGAGGTGTTTGTCCTACCGTGTTTCAAGTCTGCCTTATGTTCACGGATGCGGTCCGAGACATGTCGTTTGGTTTCTCCAATGTAACTGCTACCACAGAGGCAACTTAGTTTGTAGACGCCAGGGTACTGTATGTCTGGAACCACATCTTTTACAGACGGGACCAGATCACGGATTTTATGTACTGTGTTGAATCGGACCTGGATCTTGTGTTTAATCAGGATTTTGGAGATCTTTTTTGTGACCCCAGCAATGTAGGGTAAGGTGATGGTCTTGAAAGGCTCCTGAACAGGATCCTTCTTGATGGTTGGAGTGATGGCTTTGCGGATTGTGTAGTCGGAGTAACCATTAGCCTTAAGAGCTTGGCGTACGTGTTTGAGTTCACTGGAAATGTGTTCATGGTCGGAGATGCATTGGGCTCTATGATATAGAGTCTTGATGAGGGAATTCTTCTGGGATGGATGGTGGTGGGAATCCGGTTTTAGATAAGCATCCGTGTGGGTGGCTTTCCTGTAGACAGAGTGGCTCATTGAACCATCAGGTCTCCTTTTGATTAGGACATCCAAAAAGGGTAGCTTGCCATCATTTTCGACTTCCATGGTGAATCTGATGGCTGGGTGTATGGAATTGATGTGGTCGAGAAATTGGTCTAGAGCAGGCCGGCCATGTGGCCAGATGACAAAAGTGTCGTCTACGTACCTCTTCCATAAGGTCGGGCGTAGAGTGGCATTCTGGCTTAGCAATCATTGGAAGGACGTAATAAACCATTTCGGATCTTAACTGATTGTGTTCACGTTTACGGTGACTTTCAGACCGCGTTCCACTCACTGGCATGGTGCAGTGTGCAGAGGTAATGTATGGTGTCGTAATTGTATAGTAAACATATAGCAGTGTGATACACATTAGGGTGGGTAGAATAATACATAGTATTATATTAAAATGGATAAGGCAGCAACTGCAGCAGCAGCAGCAAGTGCAGCAGCAGCAGCAACTGCAGCAGCAGCAGCAACTGCAGCAGCAGCAGCAACTGCAGCAGCAGCAGAAACTGCAGCAGCAGCAGTAATTTCAGCAGCAGCAGTAACTGCAGCTGCCTTTAATGCTGTTAATCCTGCATAATGCACATGCATATGCAGGACTAATCACATTCTTGCATTTCCCATAAATATGCTAAATTCCTTTTGATATGTAAATTCCTTTGTCAATGCGCCCAGCTTATATATATGCTCCAAGCTCGTGTGCTGTTTCATTCAGACTCTGTCGCCTCGACGGACCTGGTTTTCACCTGAGGACGGCTGCTTGCGTTGTGGCCGAAACGTCGTGAGAATTGTTTTATTATGTTTTATTTTTATTATTTTATTACTTCCCTTCTACGTGACTTTACCGAAAGAACCAAGAAGATAAAACAAGTTGTTGATGAATACTTTCTTAATTAATTTGGCTCATAAAACTAATACAGTAAAATCTTGGATTGCGAGTAACTTGGTCTGTGAGTGTTTTGCAAGACGAGCAAAATGTTTAAATAAATATGAATTTGATAAACGAGCGAGGTCTTGCAGTACGAGTAGTACGTGTATACGCTTTGTCTGCTGAGCGTCACGTGATCACAACTGATATACGAGTTAAATTTCGATTTAAAGCTTTCGTGACTGCAGGGATTCATCTTCTTGGTTCTTTCGGTAAAGTCACGTTGTGGCCGAAACGTCGTGAGAATTATTTTATTATGTTTTATTTTTATTGTTTTATTATTTCCATTCTACGTGACTTTACCGAAAGAACCAAGAAGATGATATACGAGTGCTTTGATATACGAGTGCTTTGGATTACAAACACGTTTCCGGAACGAATTATGCTCGCAATCCAAGGTTTTACTGTACTGGTCTTCACGGGTGCAGACACACATGCGATTTCCGGCAGAGGCTTCCCCTTAATCTTGCCCTCTCAGCACAACCAGCATTGCCTGCTTAACACATTCAAACACTTTCTGTAGAAGCTCATCAGACAGAAAAGCACGTGGAGGCTATAAAGAACGGTTATCATAATAAAACACACCAAATATGACTCCTTGGCAGCAAAAGGTACCATTTTGACCATAGTCTCCCTTCACATCATGCATGTTACGTAACCGGTACCGAATAGAATAAAAATTGCACTTGTCACAGACTCAGGACCTTCAGAAGAAAAATTTACAATTTTTTTTTTAAAGTTCCAGTTTGCATGTTTGTCTAAAACACTCATATACGCGAGGGTGTACCGTTCAAGAAAGATGACAATCCAGTTTCATCTCCCGTGCTTAAAAACACTTGTGTCCCACGGGCAGAGTGCTGTGAATACCCTGTTCCTTTTACACGGAAATGAAAATGAAAGGTGTTGCTTGTGTATATTTTGTAAGCATGGAATGAATGAAGCACAAAAGCAACCGCCCGTGCCTGTAGGCTGCACCGTCTGTTAGGTTCTGAATCTCACATCACCACCAGTTCATACTGCACGCGTACAATGCCACACAGTCTCGCTTCTTTTTGTTAAACCACCGACTCAAATGGAGGAATAATTGCGTCCAATTTAATGTAGGCATCGCATGCTGCCGCCCATCACACTTATTTACGGTAACATCCGGTACGTATTTTAATTTGCAAAGTAATGAGTATTATTTACATGTCTCTGTTACAAGGCAGTATTGCTTACAAATGTTATTTTTTGCTCATATTTTATATTCGCATGTGTCAACAGCGTGGCAGCAAGAGCAGCAGTATTTATGCGAACATTGTCGCAAGAGGTCACACGCTTGGCACAACGCTCCGTCGCACGAGAACACAAATGCCCGGGCATCAATCCGAACCGTACCAAACGTACCAATGTCGATGTCCTTCTCCCCAACCAAAATGTCCTTGAGGGCGAAGGACGTGGACGAGTACTTGGCCTTCTGCCAGAGCCAGGAGCGTCTCTTCTTGGTGACGAGGCTGAGCGGGTGGTACCGGTCGGCCTCGTTCAAGCTCGGCACGGGCACCAGACGCCCGTTGCTGCCAACTTGAGTCACGAAGTTTTTGGTGGCTGCGGCGAACATCTCCGACCCACCCCAACCCACCTACTACCCCAACCCCAAATCTCTCCGCTCAAGGGAAGACGCGGCGCTTACAGAGAGAATTAAGGTCTGGTGCGTAACAATACGCCCTGTCCGTTGAAGTTGCATGCACCCAAGGACATACCTGTCAACCCCTTATCAGTGCCCCAGCTTATTCAGACCTTATTGGTGACCCCGTGACCCCTATACATCTCTACGTTCATCCTACAGTCCCATCACAAGGGAGAAACACAGACTATTTTAGTTGCTGCCCGTATCGAAACGGCTGTACGCCGTATGGACATGAGAACTCAATTTCCCTGTACAAGAATACGGGGTAAAACCGTGTGGGTTGACAGGTCAAGGATGACACCTGCACAAGAGGCGACTCCTATTCCCACAAGGCTCAGGCTCTCGATTTCAAACCACGCAGATCAACGGCAGCTACCCAGTCCCCACCGGTCATGCCCGATCAATGATGAGCTCACGGGAGATGTTATGAAGGCCCCCTTATCTGTGTCTCCATGCTCCCCAAACAATGCAATGACGAGGCCAACTGCAGGAGGCTGTGTTAGCGAGATGTGGTGGGTTTATGTTCGGCCTGGGTCCTTGCTATGGGTACGCGCGCCACCCAGCACTCCAATTCAGAGGTCATTTGACACCACAGCAGAGAGACTCTTTGAATAATGAATGGGTGATAGGTTCTCACGTGTGCCACTGCGACGAGTGACATCTTAGGAGACTAGTAATTGGCACGTTAACACTACGACGCTATTTTGTTATGTTATCAGTAAAGTATAAACTCACACAAAACCCACGCGTGTTGTAAACGTGTACGAAAAATAACCACCTTGTAATAACTTTAGCCCTTTTTATAATCCGCCGTTCAATAAAGGGCCCACGACACGTCGTCGTCAGTCACGGGTGTTACTTGACCATACTTCACCACGCTGGTCAGTATCAGGTTTGTGACCTGGTGGGGGGGTGAGTAGGGGGGGGGGTGAGTGGGTGGGGGCTGAGTGGGTGGGGGAGTGAGGGGGTGGGGTGAGGGGGTGAGTGGGTGGGGGGTGTGGGTGGGTGGGTGTGAGTGGAGGGGGGTGGGGGCTGATTGGGTGGGGGGGGTGAGTGGGGGGTGAGTGAGTGGGGTGAGGGGTGAGTGGGTGGGGGTGAGGGGTGAGTGGGTGGGGGGTGTGGGTGAGTGGGTGGGGGGGCTGAGTGGGTGGGGGGTGTGGGTGGGTGTGAGTGGAGGGGGGTGGGGGCTGATTGGGTGGGGGGGGGGTGAGTGGGTGGGGTGAGGGTGAGTGGGTGGGGGGTGTGGGTGAGTGGGTGGGGGGGGGGGTGAGTGAGGGGTGAGTGGGTGGGGTGAGGGGTGAGTGGGTGGGGGGTGTGGGTGAGTGGGTGGGGTGAGGGCTGAGTGGGTGGGGGGGTGTGGGTGGGTGTGAGTGGAGGGGGCTGATTGGGTGGGGGGGGTGAGTGGGGGGTGAGTGGGTGGGGTGAGGGGTGAGTGGGTGGGGGGTGTGGGTGAGTGGGTGGGGGGGCTGAGTGGGTGGGGGGTGTGGGTGGGTGTGAGTGGAGGGGGGTGGGGGCTGATTGGGTGGGGGGGGGTGAGTGAGGGGTGAGTGGGTGGGGGGTGAGTGGGTGGGGGCTGATTGGGTGGGGGGGGTGAGTGGGGGGTGAGTGGGTGGGGGCTGATTGGGTGGGGGGGGTGAGTGGGGGGTGAGTGGGTGGGGTGAGGGGTGAGTGGGTGGGGGCTGAGTGGGTGGGGGGGGTGAGTGGGGGGTGAGTGGGTGGGGGGCTGAGTGGGTGGGGGGGGTGAGTGGGGGTGAGTGGGTGGGGGCTGATTGGGTGGGGGGGGTGAGTGGGGGGTGAGTGGGTGGGGTGAGGGGTGAGTGGGTGGGGGCTGAGTGGGTGGGGGGGGTGAGTGGGGGGTGAGTGGGTGGGGGCTGAGTGGGTGGGGGGGGGGTGGTGAGTGGGTGGGGGCTGAGTGGGTGGGGGGGGTGAGTGGGGGGTGAGTGGGTGGGGGCTGAGTGGGTGGGTGGGGGGGGTGAGTGGGGGGTGAGTGGGTGGGGGCTGAGTGGGTGGGGGGGGAGCCCGCAGTAGCGCGCTGACTAATACGCCCACCGCTCTATGCGGTCTACCAAATGCAACGCGTCCCTAGCAACGGCGGCGCCCTAGCAACGCGTCGCCTAGCAACAGCCAGCGCGTTGTAGTACTGGGCCTGGACTTAACATCCCCTATATAGTTGTAATACTAGGCCTGTACTTAACATCCCCTATATAGTTGTAGTACTGGGCCTGGACTTAACATCCCCTATAAAGTTGTAATACTAGGCCTGTACTTAACATCCCCTATATAGTTGTAGTACTGGGCCTGTACTTAACATCCCCTATATAGTTGTAGTACTGGGCCTGGACTTAACATCCCCTATATAGTTGTAGCCCTAGGCCTGTACTTAACAATCCCCTATAAAGTTGTAATACTAGGCCTGTACTTAACATCCCCTATATAGTTGTAGTACTGGGCCTGGACTTAACATCCCCTATATAGTTGTAGTACTGGGCCTGGACTTAACATCCCCTATATAGTTGTAGCCCTAGGCCTGGACTTAACAATCCCCTATATAGTTATAGTACTGGACCTGGACTTAACCCCTCGACAAGACCCACAAGTCGAGTACAGCAGCAGCAGCACCAACCTGCAGCTTGCTACGGTATGTATAGTTTTATTGTGTTTTATTATAAATATACTCTTACAAACCCGTGCGTGCATGATGCTTGACACGTGCTGTTGCAGCTGGTGGTAAATGACGTGAATTTACGATAGAATTAGCGTGCTCAGCTATAGCGGTTACTCTACCGTTAACCGTGGTTTCGTATAATCACCAATCTACATCGTTTAATATACAACAGTGTGGCAAGCTTCACTGCTAACTACCACTATTGCCAAGGTAATGTACTCGAGTGGCTACTGCGGTTAATCACACGACAGTGATTGCTTTGGTACGTTACGGTAATTCTATGGTAATGCGTTTACTACAACTATTTCGACGGCGTTTACTATACAATACTGTGGTAAAAGTACGTGAAAGTAAACTACTGCACAGTGATTATATTATTACAGCGATCACAGTGCTATGGTGAACTGGTAATTGTTTTGGAGTTTGCTTTGTCATTCGCCGGAATACGACTTGATAAGACACTATTGTAAGTACGTACAGTGTTTACTATACAAGAGTAAACTTGTTACTATGGTTACTGTTATAAACTGATCGCAATAGTAGCACATATACATACTGCTGTATAGTACAGGCAGTCCCCGACTTACGTTGGAGATGCGTTACGACGAGCCCTTCGTAAGTCGAACGAAAGATCGTAAGTCGAAGATGGCTTAGCCTACCCAGGAGGCTTAAAGAATGGTGATAATTTAGCAAAACAGCAATTTACATTACCGTAATGTATAAACTATATACTGTATTTATTAATTACAATACCGTATTGCACAGTAAAATGTAAAGTCAAAAACAAGGTAAATTCTTAGCCTACCTATAGGAACTGCAATTGAATAGAACGTTTTTTCAGGAAACAATCCTAATCTGCTATAAAAACTTTTAACATGCATTTTTGTCTTTGATTTAAAGCTTTTGTGACTGCAGGGATTCATATTCTTGGTTCTTTCGGTAAAGGGAAATTATAAAATAAAATAAATATAAAACAATAAAAATTCTCACGACGTTTCGACTGCAACACAAGCAATCATCATCAGGTGATCATCAGGTGATCACCTGATGATCATCAGGTGATCATCTGGTGATCATTGCTTGTGTTGCAGTCGAAACGTCGTGAGAATTTTTATTGTTTTATATCTATATTATTTTATTATTTCCCTTCTACGTGACTTTACCGAAAGAACCAAGAACATGCATTTTGTCGTATCGCCGTCGTAAGATCGAAATATCGTAAGTCGGACCATCGTAACTCGGGGACTGTCTGTAAACTATACATTAAACTATACAGTAGATAACGCAATGATTATCTACACTACACCGAGGCATATTATGTTCGCCAGGGTTATCTTTAGCCAGTGTTACCGCTCCCACTCAATCTCAACCCTTGCCTCTTGTCGAGATCTTACCACGTTGGCTTCCTTGGTTTATTGTATCCCTTCCACGCCCGTGTTGTCGCTTGGTCGAATATATTTGTGTTGTTTATACTTCTAACCGTTTTGCTATATCATTATTCTTTTTGTTCACCCTCAGCACAAAATATCGGTGACGAAGAACGCCCTTCGTCCGTCTTTGTCCGGCATTCTGCGCCATTGGAACTGCCCTGTATTCTAAGGTAGTGTATATCACACTAAATATATCCATAATACAGGGGTTTCGTCTACGATATTATATCAATTGTAAATCTTGTGGCTTTGCTCTCCAACACACCGGTGTGCTGTACTAGTAACGAATTGGCACGTTCTGTTTACGTGACAAACCTTACAAATTGGTTGTGTCGGGTGGTGGTGGGTTTAACAAAACTTTTATATATTTCCGCAATTTAACCCAAAAAAACCTGTATTATGGATATTGGTCGCGAAAGCCTACGTGTTAAACACACGAAATATAACATAATGTGCTCTCCCTATCTGCTCAGCACGATATAGGTCTTGCCTTCAGCACTTGTACACAGCTTCCAACAGAACACCTTTAAAACTGTCCACCTTAACAACAACATCATCGCATCAACATTGTGTGTGTGTGTGTGTCTGACTGTTGTGCTTCACGCAGGGGATACAGGCGGACACGATGATGGCCATGATGAACCGCCAGGAGGAGAGTGTGTACAATCTGATTCCGCGGGAAGAAGTGACTCCGGAGAAGCCACCCAGGTAAGGAGTCACCTGGCACTGGGCAAATGAGCAGTGCTCGCTCGAACCGACGCAACGTCGTAGACTCCGCAAAGCGTGCTCCGGTGTCAGTGAGGGAAGATGCAACATTAAGCCAGCCGACAGGCAAGTATATCAAGGGCGCAATTATAATATATATTGGGGGGGGACACACCCCCCCCCCCCCCCCCAATATTTAAATATGCTCAAAATGTCCCTCCCCCAATATATTGCTATAAAATTGATTTCTACTTATATGATTGTGGTTATGGTTGTACTTTATTAATCCCTAATCTCTGCCATTACATACCATGAAACAAGAAAATGTAAAAAAGAAAAAACAGCAATTATTGTAAAAAATAAATACAAAGTCCATGTCATGTGTCAGTGAATTTTTTTATATTTTAGGCAGGAAATTCGTTTTCAAATTTAGATTTTTTTTTTGGGGGGGGGGGGGACCCCCGGACCCCCTGGAAGATTTGATCCCCCCCAATGTTGACTCCATGGCTACGTCCTCGAACTATATTAAAGACATTTGTGCCGCTCGCTGTGGTCGCACTCAATCACCTTCGGGACCACATCTCGCCTGTGCTCATGTCTCCGCTTTGGCTTTCAGTTAAAACCTGATTTTCAAAATCGAAGTATTTCCCATAGCTGGAGTATGACAAAAGGTAAGTGAAAACTAAATGAATACAATGTATTATTAAGCTTTTTCTGCAGCCAATGGTGACCGGATTGATACCAAGATTACAATTTACGTATTTCATTGCAAATGGTGCCGTGTGGTGGTCAACAGAGGGCAGTACAGCAACACCCATTGTAGGAGTTTCACGCGTAGGAGTAGGCTTTTGGCGACAAATATTAACCATAAAGTTGTTTTTAGGTTAGATCGCGTGAATATAAATGCGTCGTTAAACCCGCCACCACCCGACACATCCAATTAGGAAGGTTTGTCACGTAAATAAAACATGCCAATTCGTTACTAGTTCAGCACACCGGTGTGTTGGAGAGTAAACCCACAACATTTACAGTTCGAGTACGAATTTTCACCGGTAATTACAACCAGCATCATCAGGCGACAGGCAGAGTTGTGTATTTAAGACCAGGTGGTGGCGGGTATAACGACACATTTATATTTACGCGATCTAACCCATATAAAATGTAATGGATCCATTGTACTTTTGTGTTCCCTCAACGATGTTCCCTGACTTTTATCAACCACACTTATCAGCGTGGTGAATTGTGATCAAACAACCCCCCGTGACCCTCACAGATGCACTTGTCCAGCAGTGAATACAATAATGAGCTGTACATACACCCGACCCTCACTCTGCGCAGGAGATACATTCTGAGAAAAAGTAATGTAGAGTGAATCCGTGAAGTCATTCTCACTCCAATCTCACCACTGCACATATTAACCTGAAATAAGGAATTAAATACTGTATAATTATGCAACAGGAAGCTATGTACATAAGTGCTGTACTCACCAATGCAGGCTGGTAGTTAGGAACACTCAGGCGATGATGTAGGGTCAGTGTGGTTTATTGCGGGGAGAGGGTGGTGGAGGGTCATCAGGGTCAGACTCCATCTCACTTTTAACTCACATCTGGTCCAAAGACCGAAAAATATACCAGTGGGTAGGGCAGATGCTGGACTACAAATTTAGTTCGGGCAGAGTTTTTCATAACTTTAACGTTTTCATGATAAAGGAGGGAGAAGCGAGGTAGCCCTCCGCAGTCTGTTGTTGAGTACGGTAGCACGTGGCATTGTGTCCCGAAATAAATGGCTCCCTTTACACAGCCAATCAGAGCACGGCTGCACAGAAGTGTGAGTTGCGTGCGGAGTCTGGGGATAGCCCGATGCATGCACCATCAAAATACAAATCTTTATTTAGACTGGAGGAATCTGATGAGCTATGAAGCTCTTTTTCACAGATGTCCACTTTGGGGTGGGTCAGCAAGTTACAACAACATACAATGCCACCTTCAAAATCCCCGCTCCTCAACCCGTATTGCTGCAAACTGCATCCAAGTGCTTTCCGAATTTTTGGTAGTAAAAAATACCATGCAACCACGAATCCGTGAGGAGCGATTGTCAGGTGTATTAACATATAATTGAAGCTGATGGATTTCAACCGAGGATGTCAGCTGTGTAGGCTTCGTGCTCAGATATTATGGGCATTAGCTCACTGCGCCGCCCGGTCTCCTCCGTGCGTTCAGGTACATATCCAGGTTCCGAGAGTCAATCCGCCTGGAGACCAACGAGAGGAAGAAGGGCCAGCGCACGATGGGTCCAGCCAAGGTGGAGGTGCCATCTCCACAGGAATACCTCCATAAGCACTCCCGGGATGCTGCTCTGCCTGAGAGTGAGTGCTACACTTTGCTCAGAGGGCTGGACACCATTCTCTGAGTTTCCCATTCATTCACATTTCATATACTTGAATAATGATTAATTATTATCACGAGGCATTTTCTATCTATTCCTCTGTCCACACTGCCATCATCTCTTAGTATGGCGCTGTGTTCCGACTGTCTCCTGCGCATGGACTGCTCTCATCACTTTATCTTTATCGTGGTCAGCTTCTAAGGTGCATTCTGTCACCAGGATATTAGCTGTAATCTCTTTTAGTGACATGTCCTGCCTAAGCACATTTACTTTTCTTATCAGTAAATACTGTATTTTGTCTCTTGTTTTTGTTCCCTGATTCGCATGCTACTCTGTCTAACCATAACCCTTTTTCCATTTATTTGGCAGTATCAATGATTCTGATTCATGTATCTAAGTTGACCATATGCTCTAATTAACAACGTCTTCTGGTACACGGTTCAATCACATCTGGAAAATGCATTTAGGATTATTTGCGTTTGTGAGGAAACCAGAGCACTTATTAACTTCCTTGCTGTACTTCTGTATGCTGGTCACCTATCAGCCCACTGCTAGTTGGGAGTTCTTTGCACGTGGAGCGCATCTGTGTCCTCCACAAAAGCAAAGTATTGCAGGCATGTGAGATTGTCTCGTTGGACTGCTCTACCTCACGAAAACCATTGTGAAGCATTCTTGATTATTGCCCTAAAGCTGCCTCGATGTGCACCACCCGTCTCGACGGTGGCCACAAGAAGGCGGTGTGACCCCTGTCGCAGAGAAGCCCTTCCATTATCCGGACGAGGGGAGGCGGCGACCACGAGTGCCAGGGCATGACGAGAGGCCGCCCATGGGCCTCCACTCCAGGAAGGACTTTGTCAACACCAACGCCGTGGACGTGATCACGGCGGTCCCACGCCGCCCGCAGCCCACCCTGGTGGACACGAAGAGAGGTGATCGCCAGCCCTTGGATCCCTCGGGACTCGTGCCCAAGTTCGTGCGCAAGAAAGTGAGTGGAAGTTACGGGTTGCTGGGTGGCTGATGGGACTAGTGTCGTGTCAGAGCAATGAGCGGGCACCAATGAGATGCTGGGTTCCAACCTGGGCAGCCAATGGTGATTAAGCTGGCTTCTCAAGTATAGAGAGGTAATGATCTTAGTTGAGTCAATAATGATTACACCGAAAAACCACCAGGCTAATATATATATTTAATTTGGCTTATTCTAGAGCCATTGAAATGTTTTTGATTGCCATTTAACAAACTGTTAGCATTAATTTCTCTTTCAAACTATAGATATTATTTAGTTTTTACATAAATAACTTAACATGATGTTCTTATGTTATATGATAATTGTTGACATTTAAACTATTCCAAAACATATTTTCCATCTTTTCCTCATGTTATAATACAAAGAAATATAAATTTGTAAATCTAGCTCAGTCAGGCCTCATCTTTTATTAGAGAATAGTCTGCAGAAGGTGATACGATATAATTATTGATGTCCTTTTAAGTGACTTCTTATTCGCACTAGCGGTGCTGCATTTTCCCACATGCCCTGTTTGAGAAATATTAATCACATGGCAGTCAAATCAACATTTTTTTATTGTCATTTTGTGAAGTAATTTGTGAAACAGCTGAGATGATTAAGTCGCTACAACTGAGAACCCGGTTTAATCACAGGTCACTGGGTCAAACCCAGGATCTCAACAGTGCTGACTGAGTGAGCTCCCTGGTCACCTCACCTCAATGTTTTGTTGGATAATTCATGCAAAATTGTATAAAATAAACCAAATGTATATTTTCACATTTAGCAGGTAAAAAAAATCCAGCATTTTTTGCAGCATTTTTTTTACAAGAAACAGCATATCAACCATTCTATTTCACATATATTATCAACAATGATTGACTCACAACTATTGATTGAAAATACAAAATAGCCCACCGTTAACGCGTTAGCGATTAATGCTGCGGGTGTATCAACTGTCAAAATGTGCAGCGTCTACTTAAGATTGGACGTTAAAGATCCAATGGTATAATTCACTAAAGTGTGCCATTGTGTGCCAGCATCATGGTCCGCATTCGTAAAATTAACCACAAATTTCTCAATTAGAATCTATGTAGCAATCATCACCCCTCCTGTGAAAACTTGGCAGGACCCTCTTGAATAAGAATTGTTAGACTCAGTGTGAAATTTCTGTTTTAACAAGTGTACAAAAAAAAATAAAAGGAGGAAGTTAGATCACCACCAAATGGTACAAATACTTATGGTTATGGAACAACATGCCACATTTATCAAAGGTCAACTTCTGTGATCCAGCAGTGAAGTGGGTTAAAAAATACTCGGCAACACTGGCATGTTTCTCACATGGCACCATTTATACCTTCAGTATCCTTGCTGAAATGTACGACACGTCAATAGAGAAGATAAAACGGACAAACGTATGAAATGTAAATTTTAAAATAAGTTGAGTTAAATCATCCTATTCTTTGGGTCTTTCGGTAAAGTCCCGTAGATAGGTTCAAAGAAAATAACAAAATCCTTTTCCTGATGATGACCGCTTGTGTTCCGATCGAAACGTCGTAGTTTTTAGTTATTTTGGTATTTTCTTTGAACCTATCTACGTGACTTTACCGAAAGACCCAAAGAATATGACTTCCTGCAGTCACGAAAGCTTTAAGTCAAGATTCAAATCATCCTACCTGGTGCTGAAAAGCACCTGGCTCACAATCATGAGTTCAAATACTGATTATATGTCGACTCTTCCATCTGGGGTTGATAAAATAGGCACTAGTTTGTGGGAAGTTAAGATTTGTCTTATTATGGAGAGACTAGTTGCCACAATAACGTATGTATGTTGAACTTCTTTCACACCGTATGTGGCCAACTGTGCTAATGGGAGGTGTGGGGGACGGAAAAACATCGCAACACAAAACTTCCACCACTGGCTCCGTATAAACAACAAAGATTTAACGAATTATTGCTCATTTACTTCAACTCGCAATCTTCAGATGTTCATTTCGCAATGTGCAGATTTCGAGTTGAACATTTTTCAACAGTGGTACCTGACTAGACATCTTTATTTTACAAGATGCTCATTAAAGTTGGTCCTGGGAAGTTAACAGTGGTTGTCCTATTTAAATAACACTTATAATTGGAATTTGGAATTTACACCATTGCTGCAGGGTTGCCAAAGGAGCTAAACACAGTGAAAGAAACTCTGATTTAATTTGACTATTCAAAATTCTATCAATTCGTCATCTGAGCTTTGCGACGTCAAGACATACCAGTGTGCAATTTTGCGTATATGCGGATAACCTATTTCAACCCAAAATGCTCTATATGGGGTTGGAATTCACTCAGATGCGGCTATACGGTCAGACGTGGGACAACATTGTGTGTGGACTATCCACTACTCGGCAGGCGGCGGTCTCGTGAGTTTGCGCTTTGTGTGCTCTTTTGTTGGAACGCATCTACCGCATAAAGTGAGGGAAACCTGAAATGTGACCTAAACATTTCATATTGGTTATTGCTCTTCATTAAGTTTTGCCTATTAAACAAGAACATACAAATAAAGTAATGCAATATCCTTGCACCTGTTTACCCATATCACAATAGTGATCATTATAACATTTATTGTGATTTGGTTACTGTTTCGTTGAGTATCTTAGCAAACTATCTTAGCATGAACTCCCACTCACATCCCACAGGAGTATGGCCAGGTTCCGGAGTACATCGTCAAGCGCAACGAGGAGATGCGGCAGGCGCAGGAGGAGTATGACGCGTACGTGCGTGAGCGTTTGCGTCGTGGGGCCCTGAACCAGATGTCGGAGCAGGAGAGAAGCAGCATCTTGCAGGTAATCGACCGGAGATGGCCAGATCCATACAGACTACTTCACACTCATGCTCTTGGGGCCACATTGAAAGCAGGAGTTAGATGACCATTTTAAGTGTTTTGGGTTTGAATCTGGGCAGCCACTTGTGGTTCATCCAGGATGTCAATTATCGTGTGTTTGATGAGCTCAACCAATTCACCAAATCCTTTAAATACCCATCATATACTGTTACTTTTTCATGTACTTGCTCTAATATAGCTCTGATGGATAAAAAATATATGAAATCATTACTGACATGCAGGAAACCTCACTTTATAGCGCATGTAACTTTATACGTGCAGATGCCTCTTGTATTGCAGTATTGGGTAAGAAAGATCCATTGTATTTTAAATGTAGTGTTATAATGATATCGTGCATTTCTGTTGTCTTCATTAATTGCGGTGCTCTGGTATCTGAATGAGCTATACTACAGCTCTTCATCTCTGGAAATGATTGTTGGCATAGTTTTGATTTAAAAGTATAGTAAAAATGCAACAAAATATTCCTGCTAATTTGTGACCTCACTCTCAAATCAAGTAACTCATTATTAATGAGGTTAAAATGTGGCTCCATTGGTGTCAATGGGGACTCTACCACATTATTACAAAAATGCTGATGGAAAATGAGCAGTCATCAGAGAAAATACCAATGTCAACTTGCAATACCTATATGATACGTACAAAATATATTTTCGATCTCTCTTTAAATTTATTCAACAGAGTATTCTGCTTGTTTAAAGTCTCACTGAGTCTCATGCCTGTTTTAGTAGGGTCCTGACAATATTTTGACAACATAGGCAATGGTTGCAATTAAGTACTTTGCATGTTATTTTTCACTTTTTTGTAAAACTTGGATCATGACGCCCAGCATGCAATGGCCTACTCTTGCAAATGTTGTCATGTGATCTTTAACGTCCACTGCAAAGCATACACAGCGTGAAAAATTTAGTTTGCTTACACCTGCAGGATTAATCACGGCGGCCGCAGGATTAGAACCGTGCACCTTTGCAATAAGCAGCGAACGCAATACCCCTAGGCCAGTGGCTCTCAACCTTTTTTGTCTACTGTTACCTCCCTTGTTGAATTTTGTTTCAACCGAGTTACGCCCCCCCCTTCCCCTTGTCTGACCCAACATGGTTGTCTGAGAAATAAATGTAGGAATTAATGAGCATCAATATTTTAACCAATTGTCCATTTTGTGAGGTGTCATAACTAGCGAGTCACTGCAAGCGAATAACAAAAGAAAATGCGTGATGTCATTTGTTGGCGCTCGCTGGTTACTCGTGGAAACCGCATTGTTTACAATCAGTAAGTTTAGAAAGGTCTTTTATATCGTTCCAAGTTACCATATGGATTTAAATTGTATCGTTATTTTATATTCGCAAATTCTTATATGATTATTCACCAATGACTCATGTATCATATAATTTCACACATTTATTTATCACCTCATGTACCCCCTGGGAAATTTCCACGTACCCCCGGTTGGGAACTACTTCCATAGGCCATGTCACTACCCAACAGTACATATCCTAAGTGTATATAATTTGTGTTGTGGCTCTAAGAAAATGTGTTTATATTCCGCAAAGCCAACATAGACAGCAAAACCATACTGCACAATGGGAAATTACTTTTCATGTAATATCTCTTGCCTTTTCACTCAAATAACTTTAAAATATACATTTTTTCTGTGTTGATAACCGAGCTTTGATACACATCATGCTCCATTTCGAGATAAGAACCTCTTTTTGCGTATTTTTTAATCTTGAGGCTTGCAACTCTGGCATTAAGTCTTGCAACTCTGGCATTATTGTACTGTTTTTCCACCAATGTATTATATTTCTTTAAGCTGCACACTTTCAATTGGAGATGTTTGTGAATTCATAGCAAAGTTGGTCCTGCTTTGTGTGACCATTTTGCCTTGCAATAGACCCACACAACATACGTGATCAAATGTTTTCCTCTGCAAACATTTGGGATAACATGTTTACCATATGTTTAGATCGAGCCCATGAGTTCAGAAGGTGTGTGCGTTTCTTCTAAAGTCCAATGTCCAAGGATTGGCAAGACAGTCCAGGTCGGGTCACGTGATAACACGAGCACAGCGTCATAAAAGCAATGTTGGTAAATAGTTTAGAGACAATTTAGATTACTTTCAAGTTAGTCCTGGAAAACTTATATTGTTTACAATTAGATTTTTGGTTACATGTTGAACTATTAGGGTGGAGTGCGATTGACTATTATTCTAAAATACATTGGAAAGTCTTTACAGCATTGTATTAAAATAATTGCCTGCTGACATTTATGTGGGACGGTTAAATTTAAACCGTTGATTTTATGCAAGTGCATTGACCAGTCGGATACCCAGCCACACCCATAGGACCTTAAAGCTGCAATAAAATATAAACAGTATTATGGAGGGCCCTGCATTGGGATGTTCTAATATTTGTTCATGTAGGGGGAGACAGGATTAGCTTGAGAAAAATGTACTTATATGAGAGCGGAACACTCCAATTATGCGTGGATAGAATTATAGTGGAGTGATGGTGCAGTGGTAAGTGCACTGTTGCTATGAACCCAGGAATACTGGGTTCAATTCCTGGCCACGGCAAACATCAGTAGGGTGTAATTTTCTAACCGGCCCCCCTTAACCAGCCTGCATGGATCAGCGTGCTAAATTATGGTTAAACAACGCCCACGAGAAACACGGTGTGAGAAGGTGTACTTCCAGCAGTGGATTGACAAAGGGCTGTATCTTTTTTACTTACGTTACCAAATTTCTATAGAAATTGTCAAGCAGCCGAGTGCCTCCATGAAGGCTTCATCGGTGTATGATACACCAACCCCAATGAAATGCTGTGCTTATCGTGCTGATTATGCATGCAGGGCCTGAAGCAGAACTGGGATGAGCTGCATCGCCAGTACCAGGGACTGTCCGTTGTGACCGACACAGCCCCCAAGAAGCATCGCAAGGAGCGCCTGGAGACGGAGATGAAGCAGCTGGAGAAAGACATCGAACTCATCGACCGCCACAAAATCATTTACGTCACCAACAAATGAGTGCACAAGGTCCAAGGGCCAAAACACGAGCCATTGGCACAGAGGTTTCCATCATCTATGATTGAGCAAATGTAGGCTTACACGGCTTATAGCCAACAATACTTCTTAAACTCAGTAGATTTATTAGACATTTAACTCATTAGATGTACTCATCAGAACACAAATAGAACATGAGTGTTAAGCATGCTATGTAAGGCTGAATAAACATTTACATATATTAACCTGTGTTACATTTTGGTTGGATATTTGTAAAACCTTGAAGTTTTCTCCAAAAGTGCTCAGACTTATTTTACAGAATAAGTTTGAGGTCTTGGTTTAAACATACGAGGGAAGACTTGTAGTACCATCCCTCCAATCAGAGGAGATCTGTTTTACATGTGGTAAATAAAATCCCCAACAGAGTAACCATGCAGATTAGCGAAAATCTTCCTGAAACGTATTGAGTGTGACTCACATGCTGGTGGAGAACTTAAGCCTGGCAGAGCGCCGGGTGCATTTTTCCCATCTCTGCATTAAAAGGCAGAGCGATCCGTCGTGCAGGAATTGACCCTCAACCAGCATGTGAATAGCACACATTCGAAGAATTTTGGCAGAGCAGCAAATATACGTCACCCACCAGATAACTTTGGTTGCATCAGTGTATACTACTGCATTGTTCGCATTGCACCAGCCAAAAATAGATTTTACGGACCAAGTGGCCCTGTGGTTGTAACGCACAACTTACACTTGGAAGGTTGCAAATGTGAAGCGTGGTTGGAGGCTTGACTCGGTTTTTCATTCTGCGAGGGTCAAGAAACGATTGCCACTTTGGCTGCCACTCCAAGTTCGTCTCAACCACCGCCCATTGTCCCTTCTAGTGATGTGTCCTTCCCAAGCCCGCTTACTTTTCTTAGCGGTCGAGATGTCTCTTACAATGTTTTCTTTGTCAATGTCCATATTAATGATTACATATGCCATAGGTAATATACTATACAGCACCGCACCTCCGATTAGCATGGTTGGCTACGTACGGTGCAAAAGAAGTTCAACATACTCTGTCTTGTACAGTGACTATCCTCATCATGGGGCATACATGGAATTCCCGGTACTACCAGTGGGCTGGTAATAGATAACATCTGTAAGCTTATGAAGATAAACTATTTGATATTGACAGCAAGCGGTTCAACAACTCAAGCCTTGTGCAGACGTATACAATATTTGTTTTGATTTTAAAAGGTTACTCGAAACGTGTTATATCACTTCTCTGGAAATAAAAAACACTAATCCATTTGACTCATCTGAATACCTTTAAAGACCACGTTTTCTAAGAGCATTTATCGAGAGTGAGTAGTATTTTCTAATTTATATTTATAAATAATCTACCTAAAACGATTTGTAGTATTCCCATGATAAAGTATATGTGTTTTACTTAACTTACCTATTATTGTTGTTGGTATCTTATTGTCATTGTTGATGTAATTGCTGATATGTCAAACGTCCACCGAAGAGATGGAGCGGTGAGATCAACTCGACTACGGGAGCTTAAATGGATTGTCGCATTGCATAACTATTCGGGATGTTGACAGCTCGGGATGATGATACTCCTGTGGCTTATGATGGCCGATTTATGTTTGACAATGTGCATCAATAGTCACGGAATTTTTTAATATCTCATAGCATCGTCTCATAGCATCGTCAGCAATCATTACTCCTGGCTCTCGCAAGAACAATGTAGAGCTTCCACATTCCTATAACTGGGGCACGTTCTTGTGTGGATCTTCCACATTCAGGGTACATATTCCATAATATGTAAAGTTATTATTGCTCATTGGAGCGTGGAGGCACTGACTTTAAACATGAATTAACCACAAACATCGCATTACACATGCATCAAGCATAACATGTGCAAAAATTTAAACAAATTGGTAAGCCAGTGTTAATCATTCCTTGGGCACGTTTAGCAACAAGTTAAATGGCTAAACGCCATTGTTTTTAAGGGCTTTTTTTTACCAGGAAACCTTCGTTTGCAGGGGCGGACCAGGGTGTTAAGTAACACAAACACATGCGGACATTCAAAAATATGAAACTACAGCATATAGAGTCTACGTGAGCGCATTCTCAAATACATTTCTACACTGTCAATAAGTTATTACAATGATTAAGGCCCCTAAATAACTCTTGAACTTTATATTTTACAAGAACAGTAACTTGATATCACCCACAAAACACCAAGAATATCAAACAAAATAAATATGGTTTAGTCAAATATGAAGATGTTCCAGTGGTGTATACGCAGCTGGGGTATTTTTAGGGCCGGCCACACCGGCTCCATGACACATAAACAATGGAATAAGAAACTACTGCAACACCACCAGTAACTACAGCAGCAAGTGCGTCAAAGTGTTTGTGGTGAGTGGTGTCAGTGCAATCTGGGAAAGCACTATGGCAGTTCCGATAAACAGTACTTTACTTATTTGCTCTTGAGATTTTCATAACTTGAAGATGTTAAAACATCTGCGTTCGTGGTGGGGGGTGGGGGGTGACATTTCTCCATAACATCGTTGCCCTGTCTTCTATGTCAGAGTGTAATCGTTACAAATGTTCGCGTATTACTGAATAAAATACTGAATAGCGTCGGTATAATATTGCTGAAATTACGCACTGCCAGAAGGCCGGGCTGTGTAAAAAATATAAACTTGGGGTGGCGAGACATTATGTCTCTTGCCTGGTGTGAAAGAGGCCGTGAGTTCGATTCGTGACCCTGACGTCTGTATGTATTTCGAGATTGCGTGTCTCTCCCCCCGTGGTCGTGTAGATTTTTCTCTAGGTCCTGAAAATCAATATGCGTTGAGAGTATTTCGCTGCAATACATTTCCACATGATAGGCCACTTAGTATTGAGCCAGAGGGCCGCCGTCCACGCGGACGTCCGAAGAAGCGATGGATGGATCGAATAAAGGAAGACATGAAGACGGTCAACGCATCCCCTGAAGATGCCAAATGGAGAAGACAAAGCCGAAAAGCGGACCCTGCGCCACAGCGGGAACAACGCTACGAAGAAGAAGAGGCCACTTCGTTGAGTTATTCGAGGCCAGATAGCTTCTGAAAAAGAGCTAGATAGCTCAGTGGGCCTTGCCAGGTAAAATAGTTTAGTTTTTTGTGTCTGCTTGGTTGTTGTATCCCCGTATGCCGTCTTTACGCTATAAGAGTGATCATGATAAAAGTGGTAACTTTTTTGTAATCTGTGCTTGGGCACCACTGCTAAAGAAATCCGTTATATTTTAGTTTAATTTGCTCCGAACTAAAAATGTTAATCATAACCAACTGCAGTATTCCATTCATAATCAACGTTTTTGGGTTAGATCGCGTTATCAGCAAAAAAGTGTCACGTTGACAAAAGACAAAATAGTTCACTGCTTTAGCCCAAATTGTAAATGTTGTGGTTTCACGCTTTAACACACCGGTGGGCTAAAGCAGTGAACTATTTGTCTTTTGTCAACGTGACACTTTTTTGCTGATTGGTCGTGTCGGGTGGTGGATGGTTACGACACATTCATAAGTAACGCGATCTAACCCAAAAACGTTGATTATGAATAATATTGGTCGCGAAAGCCTACGTGCAGTATTCCAGCATTATCATTGTTTGCTTGTAATTAATCATGTGATTATAATCCTGAACATCTAGTTTCTAAATCATCTGGCTTTTCAAGCCAAGTTTGTCGATTGTAATTATTTGGCAAATTCTATACAGGTACATTTACTTTGAAGGGGGATTTCCTCAGGGGCGTATTATCTAACAGGTACAGTAGGCACTGTGCCTCGGACCTACATAAACTAAAGGGACTATGACATTTTTTATTATGTATTTTGTTGTTTGTATGATACAACATTTTTTAACCAAAACATCTTCTTAAATAAATATATTTATATCGCAAGGATAGGCACAGTGTATATCCAAAGAGGCAGAGTCATGTGAATCTGTTTTTTCACAAGGTGAGATACATGAACATTTTTCGAGATTTTTTTCATTGCAATATCTGCAATAACATCTTTAAATGGTGTTTTTCGCACAATCTCATTCTCAATAGAGAGGAGTGCAAGTGAAGACAAAGTGGCATTGTCCTCTGGTTGATGGAAAAAGAACGCTCCCCTTCACAATTCGCTGAAAAAAATTGTTGAAGAAATTTTAGCTTCGTATATTTTTAGGCTTACCTTGTTTTTTAATTTCAATCATTTCAAATTAAATTTGCTTATCTGCGGCACGCAGAGCGCTTCCATCGAATTAGGGCACAGACTAAATAAACACATTCCTGCGGAGGGAGCTCGGTCAATGGCCAGGGTCAACGGCGGCGTGGTGTATTCCTCAAATATGCCCGACTGTGAGGGCGGGCACAAGCCGGCGTGAGTAGGTTAAACGTTGAGTTTTATAAGGGCACCACGGGGTGACCAGCCCCTCCCCACCCAGCCCCACCCCCCACACAGCCCCACTCTCCCCGCCCAGCCCCTCCCACCCTCCCCACCCAGCCCCTCCCCACCCAGCCCCTCCCCACCCAGCCTCTCCCTCCCCACCCAGCCCCACCCTCCCCACCCAGCCCCTCCCACCCTCCCCACCCAGCCCCTCCCCACCCAGCCCCTCCCCACCCAGCCTCTCCCTCCCCACCCAGCCCCACCCTCCCCACCCAGCCCCTCCCCACCCAGCCCCACCCTCCCCACCCAGCCCCTCCCTGCACGACGGACGGACGGACACAATAATCCCTTGTGGGCTGGTGTAACCAGGAGGTTCCTACCAGTATGAACGTGTCAGCAGTAACAACATCTATCCAGCGGCTGGACCAAGTACTGCGTGAGAAACGAGCGGAGTGACAGTGGTGGTAGTAACATGGGGCAGCAGCAGCAGTACCATCTGTAGAGAGTTATCACTGAAGGCCTACGAAACAGCAGTGCCTAGGGCCTACCAGAACCTTAATCCGGCCCTGGATTTCCTTCGTTTCAATGAAACCTACGATTGACACATCCCATACCCTCCCGTGATGCCACGGATTTGTGCGATTCAGAGCAATTATTTAGTTCCAATAAGTCACTTGACATTGTGGTGCATGGTGTCGTGGAAATTAAGAGACGTGCATGAGTCACCTGAGCCAATTTTAACAAACACAAATCTCACGCGCAAATTGAGATTTGTACGAGATTAAGTCAACACTACTCGATGAATGAATGAACTCCCGACTTGCTATGCAGCTGATACAGCCGGTTTAAAATTGTTGTTCTGAAGCCTTTGCACATTTGGCAGGCGAAGTGCGTCTAATAATAATTTCAAAGAAAGACAATTTTAGTACGGCACACTCTCCCTATACTCACTTTGATGCATTGTCAGTGCGGTGTAGAGGTATGCGTGCCTTGCATTCTGGTATTCTGTGAATGGATAGCAACAGTTGGCGTTCCTGCAAGCGGGTCAGTCTCTGGTTTGTTTCATTTGCCATTGCTTCGTGTGACCTTAACACTCAATGGTAAAACCTTACTTGTTTAGAAAATATGCATTTATTGTAAAACCGACGTCTTGGGGAGGCGGAGGGGGGGAAACCCCTGGCTAAAATAGCAGGATTAATGTAACTGCATTTAAACATGTAAGCGATACGTGTCGTAAGAATAGAACGCTTGATGTAAAATAAAGTAAAAACTCAACACATTTGTTAAAATATATTGCCTTCATATGTATTGTATGTACAATCGGCAGCTATTTAGGAAATGGTCCTTCCTCGCACATAGAGGCCATGTATGTATGTTGAACTTCTTTCGCACCGTACGTAGCCAACCGTGTTAACGGAAGGTGCGGGGGCAGTTCTAAAGAAATGAAAAAGGCCGGAGAGATACAGTCGGAGACTGCACTTTTAACACCATGGGGCATGACCATGACATTTCAAAAAAATATTTTCTGATGCTTCGTTTTTAAATTGTCATCTGAAAAGTAGCTCATTTCTGAGTGGGCTTTACCTGGGAACTAAAATTGAAGTGTCATACTGTAAACATAACATTCTGCAAGTGCTGAAGTTTCATTGCCGTAATAATCTACAGACCAGGCTTGGGTACAAGATAGCCGCTTGAAGTTCGATGAGCTCTGAAAGCAACTCGAGCATCTTTCGTCTTTCATTGATTGTTTTACGACGACGCTCTGCATCGCCGGCGACCTGAGCATACGTGTGGACTGGACCGTGCGACGTTGTCGCCTGTTGTGTGGGGGCGCCACGGTGGCTAGGAGATGTTAACTACCTCGCCCGGTGTACAGGAGGGC